GGGGCGGAGACTGAAAGAATTTTTGAGGTAAGAATATGTTAATCGGGGATGTCATCTATCATCATACCAAATTTCAACCTTGTCGGTTTAGTATTTTTCGCGTTTGCTTGTCACAAACATCCATCCATCCATACATCCATGGTTTGCACTGTAAACAAAAAGCTATCACAATAGTTCCATACCGACAAATAGGAAAAATAGGAAAATATAAATAAATATGGAAAAAGGGTAATTTTCTAACATATTTTAGTGAAATTATATAATCAGGCAAATGGAAATTCAGTCTACAGATTTGCTGTGGCAGGGGGATTATATTACGGTTTACACAAAAATAAATCAAAACATAAACCTCATAACACTCAGGAAAAGGGCCTAGGTTGATAGGGCAATGATTATAGAATCTTAATTATTTCCTATATCCATGATGAATGATTTCTTTTAAAACGAATTATTCCCACTGTTTCACAGGAAACATTTTTAACCATTGTAGTAACATCATTATAGCTTAAAAAGTTGATAGTTTACATAATATTTAGCACATTTGACGGATAAAACTTTTTTGAATTCGTCATATTATAAGTGTATGAAAATTCATATATCTGTGTATCAATATCTACTTATCTCATTTCTGTTCAATGGAAGTTATACAATTAGGCCAGTCATATTAGGTAAAAATACCCCTCTACCTGGAAATAATTCCCTAAAAGGGGAAACTTTGCATATGTATAGTACTAGCACCCAGTAACAACATATCAAAAATCAACACTCGTGCATGCTGTGCTAGGGCTCCATCTTGGAAAATGGCGGCTGATTTTCACTTTTTTGACCATATTTCATTAACCGTTGGATGTACAAAAATATTGTTAATACAAAAGTTGAAGAGCTTAAAAAAATACATATTTTTACTATTTAAACTTTTGTCATATATCTAACGGTTATCGAGAAAACTTAAATTAATAATAATAAAACTTGAATTTTGTTTGAATTTCTGCAGATCAAGTCGAAAATTCAATTTATCACGATCTTTAATCTCCAAGATTTGGCATTTTAGCATACTTGTGAATAAAATAAAATACATTTATTAGTTACAAATTATATTTGAACATAATTATTTAGAAAAAAGTAAAACAGTTATTAATATTACATTTTGATTTATTCATCTTGTTCGACCATCTTGGATTCATCAATGTCCACCTCAGGCGAATTCTCGCATGACAATCCCTCACATTTACCACACATTTCTGAACAACGCAGACCTGCCCTTTTGCACTCGCAATAGTCAGAACACCTCTTACAATTGCAAGAAATGACGTGCATAATTCTCTCGGGTGCTGGTGGAAGAGTCGTTGGAATAGGTTGTAATGAATTGTCAACCAAACTCCAGCCCCACTGACACGGATCTAAATCATGTCCAAGCCATTTTTGAACTTGGTGATAAACACTTTGCATACACTGTCTCCCACAGTTCCTCAATTCCGCTCCCTTTCATTATATACCCAATTGACCCAAGGAATGAAAACAATCAATGAAATCCACCAAGCCTTAAAATCACAGAGCTTAATCTATCATTCTTATCAGCGGACAAAACTATTTCAGAGCACTTCATGTATAGTGGTTGATCAAGGGTTACTATACAAGATTGGCCTTGCTATTTGCTTTGCTCAGCTGCGAAACTCAATGCTGAATAAAAAGTTGTCTTCAGAGGGATTTTGGTTTATAAAAGGAATAGGTATTGTCTTTGTAATATCCTTACCAGATTGCGCCATTGCAGATTGCATGAATCCATTCCAGAACGCCTGTGGCGTTTCGTTATTGCCATAATCGGTAGCCCAAAGCAAATCAAGACATGTACCTTTATTAAGGTCATTTGAAGCTTCTTGTGAAACAGTCACAGGTACCAAAGTTATACTTTTCATTCCATTAACGAGTGGCTTGTAGCTTAGCAACGGTATTTGATTTGCTTTACTGTCAATCTTTGTTGAAATATCACGTGGGAAGGTTGATCGCATGGTGACTGCATTTGAAGGAGAAACACACTTTATACCTCCCAGGGAATGAAATGTTCCAAGTCCAGTTAAAGTGCGAATATTAAAATCCGCATTGTCAAATACGTATTGAATAAATGCTGATTCGTCAATAACTGGAGCTGAATGCACTGTGGCACAATTAAGGTACGTTGTTGCTTCAGCATATGAAGAACACAAGCCAATCGAATGGAAAAAATTGATTAAATTCCTTGACCAATATTTTCTGTAAAGGTAAACTGATGTAGCAACATGAATTGTGGCGTGAAATGACCGCTTCCTGCAAGTAGCCAATGATCGCATGATTTATTGTCACTTGTTTCCTAAGTAGACCTTTCGGACACTTTGCACTTTTTAGCATCGTTACGTTCTCGGTAAAACACTTTAGTGTCTCTGGGATTGCACTCTGGCCATCTTCTTCCAAGTTTGTGAAGGAGGAATACTCATTTAGGTTATAGAACCTGCCACGTATGTCATCTCTGATTATGGTCGCAGCAGCTTTAACAATACGTAATTTCTCATCTTCTAGATTGGACTCTATTTCTGAATGCCACTTTTCAATGAAATATTTGTCGGCAGTACTTCTGAAAGTAAAAATGCATGCTTATTTGGCAAAGTTGTGCACAGTAATTTACTTCCATAACGTTGCTTCAGAAGGTCTTTTACATGTTTATCCGAATACAAATGCTCCGTACTCGCAGAAATTTGTAACATAATATTTTTTAGTTCATCAAGAGTGTACTGGCACTCATCATTTTCATCTAGAACAGAAAAAAGCCCATCAAACACACTAGCACAAGATTCAATCTTGGGTCGACCTCTTTCGTTAGATTTAGTGACTGTCTTGATTGAGGTAAAACAATCTTTATGATAGCTCGCTTGAGCAGCTATTAAATCGCTTAAAGTGCATATTCGTCGTTTTACTTCATTCCCCCATTCGTCTTGGCGCTCATCACAGTACCTCTTGATATTTTCACACATACCATAAGTTGTTACTTTACATACCACCCGTCGTCTACTCTTTGGTAGCTTGGTGTTTGGCTGATCAGTCTCCTCCGCACAGAATATGCAATGTGTTTTAAGATCGAACGGAATGACATTACTTCGTAACGTAGCTGGACTAGAATCTCTCTCTGCAAGTTCCCGCTTCCGTGCCTTAATATTTTGCTTCGCAGTGTACTTCTTTTGGCAATTGACGTGCACTGTAATTTGCGTACTTGATGAAAACAGTGTATGAGTTCCGTCATTTCTTTCCTTACTAGCTTCAACTAGAGAGCTCAGTCCTCTTTTAACTTCAACAATTTCACCTTCTTGTAAACTTGATTTGCATATAACACAGCTTTTGCCCTCCATTAAATGCGTATGTAATAATAAATATGATATATTTAACTTTCCCCTAATATATTGTTGATGCAATGTAAACACAACACAACACCTCAAAATATTAAACTTTATTTTTATGATTGTCTACTACTAATTACTTATAATCAGCTGAGCAACACTATTCACCAGTGTACCTGATCCACCTGTACCTTGTCTCTCTCCATAGAGTAATATTTCCTGCAGTCAGAACATTGCCACACTCCGAACCAAACTTCTGACCATACATAGAAGCGTAGTAATCAGTGAATCTAAATATATAAAACTCAATGTCTTCAAAAATGTCAGAAAACCTAGGGGACAATTTTAGTGTTTAATTGCCAAAAATCAAACAAGGTGTTGTCATTATTAATTTATTATTGTTATTATTACCTTTTTCTCGATAACCGTTAGAGATATGACAACAGTTTAAATAGTAAAAATATGTATTTTTTTAAGCTCTTCAACTTTTGTATCAACAATATTTTTGTACATCCAACGGTTAGTGAAATATGGTCAAAAAAGTGAAAATCGGCCGCCATTTTCCAAGATGGCGGACGTAGCACAGCATGCACGAGTGTTGATTTTTGATATGTTGTTACTGGGTGCTAGTACTATACATATGTAAAGTTTCCCCTTTTAGGGAATTATTTCTACGTAATATCCTAATATGACTGGACTAAATTTCAATGATACCGGTACTTAAATGGGAAGTCTTACAGCTGTTATAAAACTGTGCATACATTTTATCTTACGAGTAAATTTACTACCAATTGATATAGTATGACAATTCTATTCTACTGCAGTACTTAGAATTCTACCACTACTCACATTAAACCAACCATATTTACTTTTGGGCTAGTGATTAATTTATTGTATTAATCATACAATATAGTGAATAGTGTAGGTAGTCATTTATTTATTTCGTTTCTATGACATAGCTCTATTTTGTAGAAATCAATTATGCAATCATAACAACAGAAATACTGCATCATTACATTTTACAGTGACATAGTATTTATTTTACATATAAAAAATTTAAGCTAATGCAATAATTAGTTCAATTAGAACCATTGAATATTGAATAATTTAAACATTAATCGAAGACGAAGCGGTTGACAACTTTCAAACAGTTGACTAGGAATAGTTGCCTTTAATAATTGCAATGCGAACTGTATGCACTGAGGTCGGCAAACAGTGTTAGTGTTCACAGTGTGCAGGCACTTTGGACGTCGTGGCACTTGGACGTCGTGCAACAGTCAAATATTGATTGGACGTCGTGGCACTTGGACGTCGTGCAACTGGCAGAGGCTTTGGACGTGGTGCAAATGATACGTCTTTACAATTATATAGTGCGCTGTTTCACGACGTCCAAGTGCCACGACGTCCAAAGCTTGTAGAAAGACTATATTTTTGGCAGTTACTGTACTTTTGGACGTCGTGACACTTGGACGTCGTGCAACAACTCAAAAATTATGTTTTGGACGTCGTGGCACTGGAAAAATATTATTGGACGTCGTGGCACTTGGACGTCATGCAACACTCCCCTTTGTTGCTGCTTGTCTGTAGGGTGTGTATTTGTCTTAATGTGTTCTAACTCTTGTTTGTGATTTGCAGGGATCGAATCAGTTTCAAAGGAGACCCCTGGTGGCATCAGTACTGTGCCTACATCTACTTTACACAGACATTTATTCCAATTGGACAGTGTTATTTTTGGCTTGACTGGCTCTAATATTTAAATTATTTAATTTGTTTGCTCCAAAAAAAACTCATTAAACATTAAATCTATAGTTTTATAATTTCTATATGAAATTGTTGTTAAGTCCTTGATCCTAAATTAATGCCATTCGCTGTGTAACTAAAATTTAGGTTTTTTTTAAACAACTGCTTGTTATAATCAGACACGTGATATATCGGTGCATTTTTTTTTAATATATTGAAAAAATTAAATTATTTCTTTGGTGATGCGATTTTGTCTTTTTCCTTTGAAACAGATGGTTTTCTTGTGGTTTAGTGAGTGAAGTGATTCAATCGGATCGCAGATGAACTTGTGTCTTAGACTTGAACAGCTTCGGACAAACTGTCGCTCGAGTCAATATTTACTGTTTCATAAACTATAATTTGTAATGTATGTGTAATTATCGTAATAAATATTTTATCGTTATGTTTTATGTATTCTGAAACGATTGTGCATTAGAAATAGAGGGGTTGCTCAACAATGGCTGAGTGAATACTGAAGACAAGTTTAACATTGAAATGTTGTTTATCATTCGACAGACAACTTGTATATAGACTAGGTAGCAACTTTTCTCACTGTTAAGTGCTGATTGTGTTGGTGCGTTGACATAGACAGTTGACAAGTTGTGTAATACTGCAAACAGGACGGTAAACACTCACTTATTTTGACCATTTTTTATAAAGCTGGGAGAGAAACATTCTCTTTATTGGCCTATTAGGAATTAAATAAATCCCTATTGTTGCATGTAGTAAATAAAATGAACAGTTTATCAATATTGTGATTTAATTTAATATATTTTAGTCTATATTTTATTGTTGAATGTTGATATTTCAAAGCATTGTATGAAATCTTGAACTATTTTTGAGCTTTACAACAAAGATGTTTTCTTCACGATTATTGATTATTCTAAACACTTATCAGTCCCTCCTTTTAGTTCATATCCTTCTTTTAAAACCTATCAGCTATACGTAGGTGTTTATCTATTGTTGCATTACCAACTTATTTCATATATATGGAAAAGTCAGCTTGTAAGATGAAGAAATTTTGAAAACTATCCATTTGTTATGTATGTTCTTTAAAAGGATTAAACTGCTTCAATATCAATAAAGTATATTAAAGAACTCAATAATTAACCAAGCTAACGACTTTCCAATTTTTTAATGGTTGATATCAATCAAAGTGTCTTTTGGCCAAAGACAGTATGATAATTTAATATAGAAATACCCCTGCCGTAACAAGCCTGCAGACTAAGCGAATTTCCATTTGCCTGATTTGATTTTCACTTCAATTTATTTTAATAACATTAGGTTTAGCGAGTACCAAGGTTTGCTTCTACAGGGAGGGTAATAAAGTATGTTTTTTTAACAAAACGTTAATAGCTTAGTATGAAAATAAATAAATTTTTCAACTTTGATCAAAATATATCCATACAGTACCAGACTACAAAAGATTATTTATTCTTCATAGCATGAGAATTTTAAATTTACAATTTTTTTAATTTTCTTTGTAACCAATAACCACAAAAAAACACTGCAATATACAAAATTATTTGCTTTTAAAGTTCTTTAAAATGATTCAAAGATAAATTGGGAAATTTTATGTTTTGAGAGTCTAAAATGAGAAAACTTAATTTTTTCCCCATAAAACCCCGTTCCCATGGTCCGATCATGCTGGTTCACGAATTCATTCAAGTTTATGTCGCCCGAGATCTTCAAGCGAAATTGATTTAAAATAGGACAAAAAATATCAAGTAATCACATTCACGGACATCTTATATATAAATAAATAATCTATTATATACATGTATAAACATTTAAACGAATAGTGTTTTTAGCCTCTAAGAGACATCAAAATGAAAAAGTATATTGGTCCCGGGTCTAGGTCTTACGGTGCAACCTACTTCCCTATCGGGAAAATTCGCTATAAACGTTTTACCATGTATCGTAAAGATTTTTGCTGGTCCTGTGAATGATTCTACCAAATGAGTTTTATACACCCAACCTCCATTCAAGACGACCCTCTTATCTCTTATTATGTTCAGAGTTGCACAAGAACGTGTTGGGAATCAAGGCTAATCATTGAATGCTGCTCTCAAATTTTGTCCTTATTGCTGAACCTTTGAATTACATGTTTGTAGGTGAGATTTCAATTTTCATCCATCAAGGTATTATTTTAATCAATTCTCACCTTAATTGGTTAAGCGAAACTAGCCAAAACATTTGCCAACACTGTAAAAAAAAAATCATCCTTGATTTTCTTTGGCGTGCAAATGTAGCCTACATTTGCTTTGTTATTACTGTATGTATTTCTATAAGTCATTCACTAATTTGAGGTGAGAGCTGCCCTATAGTTGCAGCTATATAAAATACTGAACTCAAATGTTCCTTTGTTGATGTGGAAATATGACATTATCTGGTAATGAGTTGATTGAATAAAACTCATTTTAAGGGTTATTAATGTAATAATATAGTAAACCTTCTTTGAAAGGATCTTGTTTGTTGTATCGAGAGAAACAAAAATCAGTTGCTACAATAAAATTAATTGTTTACAGTTTAGAATTACTTGCTGAAGAAAATAACTGTGTTTTATAAGTAATAATATGAAGTATATTATAAAGACATTTATTGGTTGTTTATTGGGGTGAAAATAAAGCTTTAAAATAGTGAATATGTTGAAAATATTTTTAAATTCTTATGGCAAGGGATACAGTTGCAGTATTATCGATTACCAATTATTTAAAAATCATTGCTAGAATGGTGTTTTGAAGTTGAATTTTTTCAAATTTTATTTGTTATCTTTCCTTTCAACAAAATGTATGTTTGCAGTGTGTACTGTGTAAGATAATTCGATAGTCCTGTACAGCCAAGGGTTTAATGTTGTTTGCATATGAATTTTCATACTCAAGAAAAACACTAGTAGTGTGATGTATTTACTTTGTAATGTAAGTAGGCTATTTATGTAATTCAATGACATAATAACCACTAGATTAATGTGGGGCGTCAAATGATGTATAAAGAATAATTTTTCATACACATTTTGTTATGACGTTTTACTTACTTGCCAGTTTATTTGAATTTGTTTACGCGGATAAATATGAAACAAATCTGTAATGTTACGTTAAATATTCAAATTGTTTAATATGATACTGTGAAGTAGTATTTGTGGTTATTTTTGTTCTACTTTGATATTGGCTTAGCTGTAAATAAACTAGGAAACTAATTATTGGATGTGTTTTTTGTAATCCCTCTTTGTGTAAACCTTGGGCATCAATCTGTTTCTTGCTTACTACCTCGCAGGGGCAGGCCAAAGCCACTAAGCACTTAATTCGAATTTGTCAATCTTTTACACACAACAATAAGCTTTTTTAATAAGAGACCTCAAATATACAAGCACCTGGTAAATGCCTACAATCTACTAAGCAGTTGCAGTTACTAGGCAGTTCAAGAATTGCCCTTAACTCAGAGAGCTCCTCAGGCAAAGAGCAGGTGATCAGCTGTTTCCTCTGACCTGCCACATTTCCTACTTAGTGGTGCATCATCATACAAACTCATACATTGTAGATGTTTTCAGAACCGCCCATGTAATGTAAGGTTAACAACCTACATGATTAGCTGTAAATCCGGCATCGTCGGGGTTATAAGACATTGATGTCACGCACACAATAAATAGACACAAAACAAACATTTAATTAACATTAATAGGCCTATCACATGACACGGGACTGCCAATTGTAGTTGGTGTAGAACCTTAAATGGCTTGCCAAAGGATAATTTTTTGGACATCAATACTTGGTGATGTTCCACTTGAACAATTTTAGAATGACCCTTGGTAATTCCTGTGGTTTTCTGCAATTTTTTGCATCCTAGGCGGAGTGCTATCTTCCTCGATACCACCTTAAGGCCTGGGGCTGCCGCACGATTGAGCGAGGTGGGAGCGAAGACTTTGTTTCACCGCACATTGAAGCGATGCGGGACAGAGGTTTCCTTTGGTCCTACATTGTCGAGAGTAGAGGGAGAATTTTAGGACCTTGAATCAGCGAGTTTAACAATATAGTTTTACTCTATTCGCTATCCAAAAAAGTAAACAAAAGTTTTTGAAAAAAGTTTAACCATGAAGGGTATGTTTTAGACCGGTCTTTTAGAGAATATTTTTGTGTGAACAAACAACAGTTTGATAATATCCATAAGATGATTGCATTATCCACTAGATGTGACATTAGTGGAAAGGAATGTAACGCCCAACATCCTATAGCTTACCAAGAAAAGCCATCTGAATCAAATGCTCCATCAATTATGAATATGAATGCTTCATCAATTATTTAAGATGGGGACGCCACTATGTGCGTATTTTAACCCAAATATGAGTGTAGGATGAGTGGCGCGATCATGTAGTCTTGTTAGTGACAAAGGCCGACATTAGACATAATCCTTAGACACAGCTGTTAATTAATAGCCCACACAGCTATTGGCAACTACCACATTCTTATTTTTTGCCTTGGTATTAACGAATTGGTCTAATTATGATAGTACGGTACTGCGGATAGTCGTAGTACTCACTAATGCGGACGTTAATCCACACCAGGGATTATCGCATCCACAGTGCATCTCTATAAATATCCACAATTTGTGACCTAGTAGTGGCTGGATTACAGGACACCGCCGTCCCAGTCTATATCTATATTACTATATCTTTCACTCACAAAACCCTAGAAAACCAACGCAGGCCCGATCGAGGTACAGGAAAACTGTATTCCAACTACAACGCTACAGAGGCTGCAGCTGTGCTGTGCGCAGCCTCTGCTCAATGTGCGGTGCTCCATTTAAACACAAGTATTACAGAATCAGATTGAGAAAATTTTGATTGGTCGGGTTCAACCAGAACTGTTGGTTCAACTGATTACATTACCAAGAAAACGTAGAAAACTACCAATAAAAAGGATATGGTATTTAGTGTCCACATCTTTGCTTATGAATCTTGTTATAGATGTTAATAGTTCTGAGACAAACTTATAAGTTATTGATGAAATAGTTGTATTTTATCTATGAACATTACCGGTATTTTAATTTATAGCTTTATTAAAAACTATGAAACCTAATTTCTCTACTCAACTGGCTTTCACTGCTATGAAAAAAGCAATCCTAGTTTATATGACTATATGAGAAACAATTTTTTTCTTAGGGCACCATACAAGTGAACCAAATGTCATGGCAGGTCAGACTACAGATACATACAGCCAGTTCAATAGACTAGGCTATAACCCCCATTTTCAGCCACCAGTCGCCTGCGTGCCTCGGTCAATGACTCTGATTGTGCGGTCCGGTCCCCAGTATTAAACAAAAGTATTACAGAATCAGCCGCACCTAGCCTCGCTCTAATGTGCGGCGGGCCTAATCCTATTTGATCTATTTATAAGTGGCCTAAGTGATCTATTTATTACTTCAACTGCAAGATACTTCACCTAATTCTGCAGCGCAATTTCCGTGTCTTGCATTGTTAGCTTATAACATTTGCATCATTCAAATAAAATTTATGATAGATTTCCGTCATGCTAAACAAATTATTTCGATACCTGTGGTAATTGAAATAAAACCTTTTCTTTATAATGTTACTTGATACTGAAAATTGCTCAACATTTACAGTAAATCGTCATTGGTCAGTGATTAGTCTCATTCGGGAGTCTCGCATAAAGGGCTCGCCACAATGTTGGCTGGTAATGCTTAAAAAATAATTACTCTACAGTGACCTAACAAACCAAACTCTTGTTATCATAGATTTGTCTTTAAAAAAATCTTTACCATACTAACAGCAAAAGAAGATTAATTTTATTTGTTTGTTTATACATCATTATGGCAAGTCTGTGCCCTATGCAGCAATGGTCAGTTCAGTGCTTGTCCCATTGATCAAGACGTCTAGGCCTATTGCCTAGTTTCCACTCTCTTACTCTACTCCATGTAAAACTCTCAGAATAGTTCAGCTAAATACTAATTTCCAAAGGTATGGAATTGAATTCACGTCAAAACCATGCGATTAAACCCTAAGGCTTAAACTTACTAAAGGGTGTTTGAGGAGCAAACAAACATTTTCCATAACAATACATAGTATACTTTATAACAAAAGACATGACTATAATAACAAGGGTAGAATATAAAACTAACTAAAACACAATTCACAAATTAGATTAATCCAAATCCACTCTTGAAAAATAATCACAAATGATTGTAGATGAATTTTACAAGTAAATTTAGTCTCAATCTGTCTACTCAATTGCAAATTTTACAAAAAAGAATGAACATAAAATCTGTTAGATCCTAAAACCTTAAGTCCTACTCATGAGGAATGTAGTACAATAGGAGTAAAAATAGTAAATACATATACAAACAAATAATATATAAAAGTAACAAATTCATCTGAAAGAGTTGCACAATTTAAAGACTTGAAAAACTATGAAACGCTAGGTAAGTGCATCTATGAACAAATAATATTTTTAAGTTATATATTTGGAACAGTCTTTATACTATTTGAGCCTCAATAATACTATAACAGTACAGTAACCCCGTTTCCATAAACCTCGTACAGTTTTCTTTGGTGAATCCTCCTCACAGTTTGGCCTCAGCTGATATTAGGGTTTTAAGTTTTTGTGTCAACATAATGTTCCCTTTTATCTTCAGTTTTCCCTTCATGAAGGCAGACTGGGGATTGAGCTTCCCAAGAGCCTGTTGGAAAAGAAAATATTTAAGACACATCTATATACTTAACAAGGGTCTCTTCTGTAGCACCCATTTCTCACCTGGTCTAAGTTATTTTCACAATTGAGGTGTCATCATTTTAAATCAGCGGATTTTAAATAAAAGCTCACAAAACAACTCTGACATTTTGAACAAATATACGTTCTTCAGAGGTATGTTGGAGAGGTTTTGTACTTTTATTGTGTAACTAATTAGCCCCTGGACTCAGGCAAGCAAGCTGAACTCCATTCTTTCTAAAACAATCTATAAATAAAATATTTTCTATTAGTGTTCCAAGGTTATGGATTGGTAAATACCAGAAAAAATAAGAAATAACTATATTTAACAAAATATCCAGAAAAATTAATAAAAATTTAACACAGGAAAAAGATAGTTAAAGTTCTTTTCTAGATTAGACTAATTCGACAAACATAACCGAACCAGTTAACATCCTTTTGTATTTCAATAATTCAAAATTACTTTTTCCGCTCGTAAAAAAAATTTAAAAAAATCAACAGGCAAAAAGTCATTCAGTTGGTGCATTTCTAATTAAAATATTATCTCTCTACCGGTAAACTGTGATAGTAAAAGATGCAATTACCATGTCCACCATATCAGCATCATCAATAGTGAGAGTTGTATCAGCCTTAGTCCCAGCCTCAGGCTCTCCCTTGTACACCGAACCCTTCTTGAGATCCAGAGCTGAAAGGAAAAAAACTCGATGAAACACCTCAAGAAATAAAATTTTCCTTCGATTCACACATAATAATATATACAGCATGCAGACCAAAATTGGCGTTTGAAAAATATATTTAGTAACTTGTTAAGAAATAAGTTGAGTAACAGGTTAACAATGTTGTGAGGAGTATCATCCATGTTGGTTAACATGGAGTAAAACTCCAACTATTCGGATCAATTGAGATCTGATTCGGATAGTAAAAGATCCTGATAAATGTTTTCATTAAAAATAGTATATAAAACAGAGGTGCTACACATGATTCATCACCCGCTGATCAATATGGCATCACTATAGACTGTCACATCATTCATTCAACATCTCATTTTAGCCATAAAATACACACACTAGTAAGTTGGCATCTTATAAATCTTATCTAATACGCATGACTGTCTCAAAGAAACAACTGAATGGCTTACTCCACTGCCCCTCGACTTTTCCTCCCTTCGTGATGTTCCAAAGGAACACTCCCTTGACTGACTTGGCCTTCTCTACGTCAGCGTTGATGCGTTCCTGCATTCCAGCAAACACTTCCTGACTCTTGAGTTGTGTCGCTGCAGTCAGGTGACGTGAGACCACGGGACACTGTCTGGTCAGGTCCATGTAGGCTCCTGGACAACAGTTCAGCTTCAATATACGACAAGCGATAATTATCACTAGCCTAACAACATAGGACCAAGGGAGTTTCTTTGGAAATAAGACCCATTCTGCAAACATTGAAACATTGAAATTGTTTCACAACAATATTGAATCGACAGTTTGGTAATGCTTAAAAGACCCACATAGCCATCATACGTTTCATTTTATACATGGAATATAGACACAGGAAACGAATAACGATTGAATCCCACTTATGAACAGTTGATCAAACCTTTCATAGTGTGTGTATTAAAGTTATTCTCTCGTTTAGTTAAACAAAAAATGATGTTTTATGGACACATTAAAAGATGCTTTAGTTTATAAAGCTTTAGTTCATTTAGCTTATGTGAGATTAGAAAAATACCCCCGCCGCAGCAAACCTGCAGACTTAGCGAATTTCCATCTGCCTGATTGGATTTAAACTAAAATGTCTCCTTAAAAATATCACATTTATTCCCTATTTAAACAGAATTAGTTTAATGAGTACTTAGGTTTGCTGCAACAGGGAGGGTAAAAAAGTTTTTTTAATGTAAAATATTAAAAGCTACTGTGTTTTAGTAAGAAATTAATGTATTTTCCAAATTTGATCAAAATATGTTCATAAACAAGCAAACTACAACAGTTGACTTATTCTCCATAAGAATAACATGGGAATTTTAAAATTAAAATTTTTTTCATTTTCTCCGTAACAATTAGGCGCATAATAACGCTTCAATATACTAAATTATTTGTTTTTTTAATCTCTACAAAATGGTTTAAAAAGAAATTGTGAAATTTTGTGTTTTTAGGGTCAAAAATGAGAAAAACCTATTTTTACCCCATAAAATCCCCCATAAACCCCCGTTCCCATAGTCCGATCATGCTGCCTGATCATGCAAACTCATTCAAGTTTATCCCGCCTTGCACCTTCAAACCAAATTTTATCAAAATCGGACAAAAATTACTCAAGTTATCGTGCGGATGGACACATATATATATATATATAAACATATATAAAAATTTTAACGAATCGTGTTTTTGGCCTCTGGGGACATCAAAATGAAAAAGTAAATCGGTCCCGGGCTTAGGTCTTACCGTGAGACCTACGGTAACAGCTACTTCCCTATAGGGAAATTCGCTAAAACATGAAGATCTATTCAATAAACTGTCAAAAAAGGCATGGACTGTGCCCTTTACAAGATTTGATTCCATTCTAAAACAATGGTTGAAGGAAAATGTTTTATTCCATAGACAATTTATCTGGCCTTTGATATTAGTTATCTCTGTTCTTATATAATTGATGTTAGGCCTATTATTTTTAAAGTTGTTATTGTTGTTCATTTATGTAAATAGTTTATTTATTTTAGAGTTTTATAGTAAACAATTAATAATTATATCTTAAGGCTTGATTGCTAATCACTTGGTACAAACTCGCTGTTTCTTTAACACGAAATTAATGGTTTGTTAGACTTAAGAAAACATTGAAGATGTCTGTTGTAATACTTGTATTGCTACTTAATGATAAATAAAGATCTGAAATCAAATTGTTTTTTTATTTTGGCTTGGTTGAACAGTTGGTCTGTAGAAATGAAAATTGTATTTTACAAAATTATACACCTCCATAGCTTGATTGAACAAAGTATTTTTTAAACATTTTAAAGTAACTACAGTTTTAACATGGAAATATGATATCTCCTCGTGATATTTCAATGCAACAACAATCAAATGTTTCTAATAAAATTATAGTTCCACGGTGACAGAACTTTCACAGTTAACTTATTTCACACAGTCCATTGCATTAGTTTTATTTTTTAATTTCGTTGAATTAAAATGTCTCTACCTCATTGAAGCCAGATATCTAATTCACCCTACCCTAAGTAAAAAAAGATAGTTTGAGAAAAGTTTAAAGAAAATTTACGTCCTTAAGGGTACACAACAACGTTGAAAACAATTTTAGTCTCACCAGCAATAACGGTGTTCTTTGATTCCATGACGGATGTTTCAAAATGGATCCTGTTTCCTTCTCTCCACATATCTACCTTCAGGGTTTCTCCGGGAAAAACGGGTTTCACAAAACGGGCCTGCCAACACAACACAATTCATCAGCAATATTGCAAAACTAGCCACACAAATGTGTTAGGGCATTGATCTTCTATGTTGGTTTAACAAGTAAATGCACTGTCAACATGACAGTCCATGTTAGTCTGATTCTATTGTTGAAAATGCTAACATATGCGGCTGTCAGCAGTGTGAACCTTTAGTGTAGTAGTAAATATATATGGAAAACTTGTACATTATCAATAGTTGGATTTGTTACACACTTGCATTTGTGACTCAAAACTCTTCTAACCTATTAGTTTTTACAAACACAATTTCCCCCCTGACAAACCCAAGTTTTACAAATACAAGCTAAACATGTTATTTACTTCACAAATTCACAAAAAAACACAAATACTCACACTACAAACTTTATTAAGATTTAACTCTTCAGATATCAATTTAATAATTAGGTTGACGTGAGTCTTCAACCAAAACAGATAAGTTGCGTCATATGATTCACCTTATCACAACACAGTAAACAAGGAAAGAAAGAGAATGCTTATAGTACCTTGTGTGTGACTTACGAACAGTTGGAGATGAATTTGTTAAAAATGCACAATTTGTATACGACATTATCTAAACCATTGTTAGCATTCCACTTACTGATTATAGCTGCCTTAATTAAACACAGCTGAAACTGTGTTAACACAACTTTAACTGTTAAATATTTCAACTGTGCCAACTCATTACAATATTAGAATGAATAACTCATTACATTGTCTTTGAAAATATTAGTATGAAATATGATACTGAATAAATCTTTCTAAATAATAAGATGAAGATAAGATTTATGGATTAATAAGTAGAATAAAAAAGACAAACAATAATATAAACAGTATTTATAAAATTATTAAAATGTTAAAAGATTAAGACAACAACATACACTGCAATAATCCAACTTTAGTTATTTGTTTATTATCTAGGCACCAATTGCACTGCTTTACCTCAATACTTTCGACCCAAGGTGTTAGAATAATTTTCCTTAAGAACTTTGCATAAAACAAAAATCTGTAATTAGCTAAAGGATTATGTAGAGCCTCTAATTTTCTTACCCTCCTTACAATAATAGCTAATTATGAGAAGTATTATGTGCAGCTTTAAAACATTTTACGCCACACTATACATTATTTTGACGAAATTCCCACGCAAGGATTTAGTCCAGAACAGCTGTTTGCTGCCAGCTTATTCAAATGGGGTTTCATTGTGTACTACTGTTCTGAAATGAGTTTTACCGGACACCAATCAGCTGATTATACTGTATTTATGTGGCAATAAGTGGTTATAAACAAAAACATAACCTCTCTAGTGATTTTTAGTCCTTTAGTTGATGGAAATATATAAGGATTTGTACAGATTTAGTAGTATGGCGTAAACTATCGTACGTAACTCGTCCAAAATGTATATACCGGACTCGTATGGTAATCCCGTACTCGACTTCGCTCGCACGGGAACAACCACACTTGTCCGGTAAACACTTATTTTCAGGACTAGTAACGTAATATACTATTACTAAACATAGTTTCCCATTACAACTAGAGCAAGGACTCAATTTCAGGTGCAATACAATACAATTGTGATCAGTCATCTCTTTTCAACAGAAGGGTGTTGTATGCATCCACCTATTATTTAAGTAAAATGTCTAAAAGAAAAATCAGCCTACTCTTGTTATATTGTTTATCTTCTTAATTTTGTTCAAGTAGAGTAAAATGCTTAAACTGGGAAGGCTGAAATTGAGATGGACTGACCAAGTATTGAAAGACATCAGGACAATGGGTGCAAATGTCAACTTGGCAGAAGACAGAGAAGGGTGGAAGAGGCTGGTACATGAGGCGAAGAATGAACTGAGATTTGTGGAGCCACGGCAGTAAGTAAGTAAGTATAGTAAAATGCACATAATTTGTTTGACCCAATTCTTTAACTTTTTTCTGCCCACCTTAACATGCTAGGTTTCCAGGCTATAGCCCAAAAATGTTTCACACATTACTTCAGGTTAGACCTAGGGGTACGCGGCATAATCACATGGATAAAATCCATTGGCGACTTGCAGGATTTTAATGCGGGACCTTGGGGACCGAGGTCGTTCCAGATTCTTTATATCTTACTAGCTACTAAATAAACTAAGCTACTAGAACTAGATAAACAAAGCTTTACTAACATTAGTGAAAATGGTCTACAAGGGAGGAGGGTCGAGGGATGCATAAGAAAGCTTTTCTAGTACTTACCATTGGCAAAAATGTTCAACAACAGGGAAAGGAAAGATAGATCAAAAAAGTTTCATATGCCCCAATTTGTATAAGATCAAGAACTACTTACAAATGAAAAATATTGAAACTGTAAATCTACAAAACCACTACACGACACACACTCACCTTGAAGGCTTTGCAGTAGGCTGGGTTGTTGTCTCCGTAGGTTTTCAACACAAGTCGCAACGAGTAGCCGAGCGAACACAAGCCATGAAGGATCGGCCGCGGGAAACCCGACACAGAGGCGAAGCTCGGGTCAATGTGTAAAGGGTTGAGGTCACCTGACAACCGGTACAAGGCAGCCTGACAACAGAGGAAACTCACTTACTGGACAAGTATTGGATTATGCGGATCAGAATATAAAGATTAACATACCTTGTCCGTCTTCAGTCTTTTTGGATAATATTTCAGGTCAAGTGAGCCATTATCAAAAACGACATCAAGTTGAGAGTTTGTATCCAAATGTCTTTGACAAAACACACAATATTGACACTAAAAAACCTAATCAAATCGAAGATAAAAACTTAAAAAAGGGTATATTAACCTTCATATATTCCAGTTAACCAGTCTTGATGACAGGAATGTTTGGGTTATGTAAGCAAGATATTTTAGGAAGAGATCCTAAAAAATTTTTTTTATGGCAATTGTAACAGCCATTTGTAACAAATGTTGTATTTCTTAGAAATGAGTGACATCTTGTATGAAAGAATCAAAGTCTATCTAATGCAAAACATGTATTGTTGATTTGGTCAAACAATATAATTTAAATATTTTACTTTTATACCTGGTTCGGGTCGATCGTCTGTCTAGCTGTAAAGTCTGGGTTTCTCCTGGGGTGATCCACAGTAGGGATGGCTTTAGGAGAGTCTCTCTTGCCACCAAAACCACCAGCACCTACAATGAAGCCGGCCAGCTGTGTGTACGACACCTTGTCTCCACTCTCGTCGTAAGTGTCCACTAGGGAGAAATCAACCATTTAGTGTTGTGTCTCCTAATGAAGGTGTAAATTTATTTCTTGAAAATCTGCAGCAGCCTACATCCAGGGCGACATGAAGTACTCAGGTGTAACAAACTAACAAAGCATGATGTTTTAGGTAAAAAATGGCTTTAGGGCAGTGTTTTTAAGGATTTTGTAATGGATAGGTTTAACATCTGGCTTACATATCTAACAGAGAAATCAGTTAGCCAAAGTGAAGTGAGTTTTGAAGTCTAAGGCTTTACACAAGAAACAAATCTTTTTCTAGGACATTCTTTCAAAAATAATTCTTATTTTATATAACAATACCAATGGTAGTTTTAACTGCATAACTGATAAATAGTTGCCAAAAGGTGTGGGTTTAGTGCAATTTAGTGTAAGTTTCATAATTAGGAAGTATTTTCTAAAATTCTTTTAAATGAGGTTTTTCTATAAGCTTTGTATAACTTGTAGACTTCATTGGCTTAAGGGTGCGCTCTAACTCAGCTCGCCTTTCTCAATACGAAGTTGCTTGACGCCGATGTTCCTTTACCATTGCATTGAACAGCGCCATGAAGAGCGCTTGCAAGCCTTTTGAATCTGGGTGATTACATTGTTATCCTTAAAGTTTTTAATAAACTAGCTGCAGATTCTTGTTTTTAAGAATCTATTGCACTTTCCCCGTTTGTTATTTGTTCTCTAAAAATTATTTGTATGCGTTAAAATTTATGATAAAAAGCGTGTATTTTAACATTTAAATTTACCTACCTTAAAAATGATACCAACATTTTTTAAATTATCTAAATTTAAAAAAGCGGAAAACCTACTATATTATTTAACGACACCAAGATCTTTAAATGGGTTCACAATTTATTGGGGCTACAAACAGTAAGAACTAAAACTAGAGGTGTGCGGATAGTGAAATTTCATTTCGGATCGGATTCGGATCGGATAGTTGAGGCTCGGTTCGGATCGGATCGGATATTGGGAGGTTCGGATTCGGATATTTTCGGATTCGGATAGTTCGGCGCGGTTAATAATAAGCTGCATATGTATTTTTAACCTACAAAACAATGTAAAGCTGTGTAAATAAACTTAAATGACGATTTTGAACTATAGAATTCAAATTAGCCAAGTCCACAGTTTTCTCTCTCTTGAAAATCACAATTCACAACATTTATTTTCAAAAGTTGGTTGCTTGAATTAAGTACACTAGCAGCCGAAATCTTCACAAACACCTTAGCTCAGCAGGACTGGTGTCAAACGTTTGGGCTTGTTTACTTGAGGTTATGATTTATCTTGTTTCCTGGTTCTCACAAGCCAAGGAGTTCGATCTCAAGTTTATTTTCACATTGTATTTCCTTACGTTTTTGGGACGGATTATTGGGCTTAAGTGGCATTTTGTGGGTTTACCAAGTGTAGAATCACTAATGCACTAAATTGGCTCTAGCTCACGATTTGATGTTGGGCAATTAGACTTTATAACTGTGTAAAAGGTGTGTATCCCTGAATTTATAAATTGCATTCTACACATATTCACTGCCAAACATAATTCAGTAGAACCTTGATGAACCGAGAATTACACTAGCCTAGACATAACTTCATTACCCCAAGTAAAATACCAAGATAATCTTTAAAATTGTATTTGAATCGTATAATCTTAGTTTGTTAAAAATGGATTGTATGTTCAACAATAATTGCAGTCCATTATTGTTAAGCAGTATGGTCCCAAATTATTATTTTTGATTTTGAAACATCACAGTTCATTTGACAAAATTATAATTGAAGCAGCCCAATGTCAAGTCACGCGCGCTTGTGCAATAGTTTGTTTACAAGCTTTCTCCAGACCACGGGGGAGGGGAGGGGAGGGTCTGATAAGCCGTCTATTGTTCACCCCCAAGAAGGTCCGACCCTCATTAGTGCCGCTCGGCTGCACTCAGTGTTTTACCCCCTGCTGTGCGCTATGTCATAAAAGCTGATGACGTTGAATGCGTGATAAGGGAAACCCAAGAAATAGAAGAACGAAGAGAAAGAATAATGATGTTGTTATCTTTATTCCCTTTTTACAATTTCCGTTATTTTTTGTTATCTTTATGTAAGATTTTATGATTTTGTTTTATAGGTTTATAAAATAATTCTTTTTAACTACGGGAATATCAATTTATAATTTATCAACGTGCTTCTCTTCTGAAACAGCAATACCGGATGCATAATAAAGGTCAATGACCTAAAATATCACGATTGTGCAATATTGTATTTTGATGTTGAAATTAAAATCACGACAAAAGTTTGTATACATCCATGGTCCCTATCGTTTAATCATTTAATATGTACACAATAAATGCTAAATATTCGTGGTTAGTTCTAACTTTATTTTTTATTATTCAAAGTTTCTACACAGTAAGACAATCCAAAGTCAAACCGGGCAATGAATACCCAAAAAACAACGTATCTTGTCCTGTGATTGGAATACCACTCGCCGGCCAGTCCTTTCGGTTTAGGGAAGTAGTGCAAGTCTATATATAGCTTCAAGGTCTTACCCACCCCTTCCCCCTCCGGTCCTACTTGACTCACTACCCGCGCTCCTTTCGAGGTTATTGCCCAACCCCTACCACCCTTCTATTGTGTTGCCTTTCTATTGTTTCTATTCTGACTTTTTTTCGGGAAACATTTAATCTATTGTTTACGTAACATCACAGTAGTAGGCTAGATTTTTCTACTTTGAAACAGTACTGTAAAAAAACTATTACGCAGCGCCCCTAGTATCAGGAGCATGACAAGCACGAGTTGACTTTCATTTGACCATGGTAGTTCTTTTCTGCTTTATGTCTGTTCGTTCCAGACGAATCTCGTAAAGCAAAACAGCCGATAACGACTAAACTAGTTATCAGTATTGCATCATACGGCTTCTTTTGCCGTTTGCTGTTAGGTCGTTGGAAACGTATTGCTGTAATTTTATCCTGGGAAACTAATGGTGGTTATGGAGGTTTTCTGTCCAAAACGTCAAAATATATTGTCTATCCGAAAAAGTCGGATATATAACGGATAGTGTCGGATATCGAATTTGGGCTCGGTTCGGATACGGATATCCGAACCGAACCGAATCGGACCCGATTTTTCGGATATCCGCACACCTCTAACTAAAACCCTTGCATTTGCGCGCGCCAGACGAGTGGAGCGCAGCCTTAAGGCAGTTCTGGTTTAAACCAATTTGAAAACCTAATTTTTTAAATATAATTTGTGAATTTGAAAAAATGTTTGAAAAAAACTTTGCCAAAAAAACTATAAATAATGAGGACAGCAAAATGGTTTACTGGAAACTAAAGCAATAAAAAAGGTTTTGAAACTTAAGTTTGTCAGGTGATTCTACAGTACAACTTCCCCACCAATCAATTTCCCAAAACTAGTTGACAAATTAAACCACCTCTGCCTGATTTTCCACTGATTTTCCACTCACCATCGTACAGTACGACAGCACCCTTCCCTTTGTCAAGGACATCAGCCACCGTCACCTTAGAGACTAGAGCTCCACTGGTAGGCATCGGCTTGAACAACTCTACGTATTGCTCTCCATGTAGCACCTGACATACAAAACATTAGTTGCCCAAAGTGCAAATGACACTTGGTAAATAAATTATTGCTGCAGTAAATAAGGTTTTCTTCCTTATTTTACCTGATAGTAAAGTGGTAACAGTAAACTGAATAACAGTTTACTGTAAACAGTAAAGTAACTGACGACCTTTGCTTGATTGCCCAGAGGTACACTGATATTCAGGCGAAACTAAGTTCTCTACAAAGAGAGGCTGAAGAGGTAGGTCTTAAGATAAATGTAAATAAGACAAAGGAAATGAGGTTGAATTCCAGAGTAGCCCAAGCCTTAGAACTAAATGGGAAGGTGATTGAAGAGGTCGACTCTTTCCAATACCTCGGAAGTAAAGTCACAGCAGACGGAGGAGCAAAGGAAGATGTTAGGAGCCGCATTGGGAAAGCTAATGCAGCATTTATTCAGCTTTACCCAATATGGTGAAATAGAAATATTTCAATGAAAACAAAAATCCGCATCTTCAACACAAACGTCAAGTCTGTCCTTCTATATGCCAGTGAAACTTGGAAAATGGATCAGCGTAGTACTTCTCAGCTCCAGGTGTTTGTAAACAGGTGTCTCAGACGTATAATGAGAGTGTTCTGGCCAAACACTATATCAAATGAACAGCTTTGGGAGGCAACAGGGCAACAAAAGATCAGCCGAGAAATCAGAAGACGGAAGTGGAGGTGGCTGGGTCACACTCTTCGGAAGACGGATGGTGCAATTGAAAAGAAGGCCCTGGAATGGAATCTTAAAGGGACCAGAAAGAGAGGAAGACCCTGTGACACCTGGAGGAGAACAATAATGAAGGAAGCCTTGAGTGTCGGGAAGACCTGGGGTCAACTGAGGGATCTGGCGCAAGACAGGGATGTATGGCGAGCTCTTCTCGATGCCCTATGCTCCCGCTAAGGAGTGGCAGGAAATAAGTCAAGTAATAAGTCAAAGTGGTAACACTCAACTTAGAGCCATTAAACACAGGAGTTACAAACAAGGTTGTTAAATTCAACTGCGAGATTGGTGAAGTACACTAGGGGGGAACCAAACCAACATGTTTGTTGATAGGATAGATCACACTAGATAAACCAATTCTATGTGTAATCTTAATCACTCCAATTTTCTTGTTCTGTAATAGGAAACACAATAATGTTTCAATAAGTTTTCATCAAAGGTTTAGTCTTAAGTTTCATAGTATACACTAATTAGACGATAAAACCTAAGTTCTTTAGTCTAACATAATTGGTAAGAAATGCTAGTCTCTGTAATATCTGTTAAAACACATATAAAATGATTTAAGACATTTTTGGAATAATACTTTTGTTAACACTAATACCGAAACCCCACCTAGGCTGACGTTAACCGAAACCCCCGGTCTGTGAGACCCCATTTGAAGAATAATGGACCCCGCTTAGAAACACACGTAAACCGAAACCCTCGGTCTGTGAGACCCCGCTTTAAAATACACTAACGCTGGGCTTCTGAGACGGACATGTTATGAACAGACGACCTGTCATGGTCACGGCACCCATGCAAAATGAACAAATGATATATCAATAGGTAGGGGAGGAAAAGGGGGGAAGGTATTGGGGGAATTGAATCTACCAAGTAAACAGTGTTGCCAACATGCGTTTTTGAAAATTCCCGTGGGCCTGTCAGACCGGGGTTTCGGTATTAGTGTTAAGTCAAATAAGAGATTTGAGAATATCTTTAATTAAAATATTACTTTTTATTACTAAATTGTATAAGACTGATTTATACCTGCTGCAAGTAGGCCTACAAGCTCATGATAGTAGGTGTTTTGTGAATAACCTTAACAGGCTTTGAATAAAATGATAAACACATAATAGACTGTAGATAAGATAAAAAATACAATAAATATCACATTTTTTGTAACGTATACTTTTTTAACTGTTTTTTTTTAGAAAATGATTTCAAGTTTAATTACCTGAGACAAATCAAAAGATCGGCCTGGAATAAGGTTCTGCGAGGATATGTCCGAAGTCATGATTGCCATCTGGCTGGGAATACAAGCGTATGACGGAAGAGCGCTGAACTCTTCGTGGTTCTCATACAAATACTTTAAATTGGCGCTGTCAGTTAAACTGGCCCCAACTACAATGGAAAACAGACAGTTTGGTATAGGATTCAGGCTCAACTGAATTCATTTAAACAAAAGGCTCAACAAAGTGAAAATGCAGCCTATATCTAATAATGTACTCATATTTAATCAAATCTATAGGCTACTAGTAACAGTTTTGATAATTTTCAAAAATTTTAATAGTTTTATTTTATTTGCTAAGTTGTCATTTTTACAATTGCTCTACAGATTATTTTTCTTTGATGTGTTGCGAAATAAAATACATAAACCCTCCTAGTGCTTGATTTAATCTTTCAAATTAAAACACATAGCAATTTCCAACTCATCTTAATTCATACAAAACTCACAATAACTTACTTATTGGTGAGAAGTAACAAATTCTAAAACACAATACCCAACTAGTTGTTTTACAGTAGGTACTAAATAATACCTTACAAACTGTAAATTGATTTTGCATACACGTGTATTGAGACAAATGATACATTAAGTATGATGTAAATGATTTTGGTTAAGTCCCAAAATGACATAATGTTTTTAAGAGAAAATGTGAAATTTAACATGAACCAAGACAAAACAAAATATTTTTGACCGTCAATACTTACCCCCCAAAGCGTAAAGAATGCTGTCTTTACTTGTTACGACATACACTGATTCTTCAACTGGCTGAAAGATCAATCAATAGTTAGTATTTTCATGATGAAAACTGAAATATTTAAATACTTCTAGCTCTGTAAAAATGGAGCAACTTTCAAAAATCCAAATCAACCTAGCTAAAATTGATCATTACAATACAATACAATACAATATTCTTTATTGTTAATTCGTCAAGAATTACAATAGTGTCAATACAATAGTGAATTGTACATGTTAATTTTCATAAAATTCCTTTATTGAGTAGAAGGGTCTTGCGATTAGCCACTTCTTCAGCTCCTGGTGTAGCTTGTTGCCAGTCAGGTCTCTCAGGTAGTCAGGTAGATGGTTTCTCAGCTTGCAGCCAGTGTAGGAAGGTTTTTTCTCCCAAAGAGTTGTTCGGTGAACTGGTAGTGCAAATTTGGAGCCATGACGGGTGTTGTAGTGGTGCAGGTCTTGGTTTCTTGGGGGGTTAATTTCATTCACATACTTAATGGTTTCAAGTATGTAGAGAGACACCACTGTGAGGATTCCTAGGTTTACGAATGCTAGTCTGCAAGTCTGTGGTGGTACAAGGTTGGCGAGGGCTCTTATGGCTTTCTTTTGAAGGACAAGAATTCGATTCATATTTTTTGTTGAAGTTCCTCCCCACACTGTCAAGCCATATCTAAGATGCGACTCTACCAGTGCGAAGTAAGCTGTTTTGGCCACAGAGAGTCCGCCTATGTAGTTTATCCTTCTGACGACATATATTCCAGTACTGATTTTTTTGCTTAGGTGGTTGATGTGCTCTTTCCATGTTAGTTTGTTATCAAGGATAACACCGAGAAATTTTGTGTAGTTTTCTATTGTTACATCCTCTAATTGAGGGACTATGTCTTTTTTCTTACTGAAATTCAGAGTTGTAGTTTTTGTGGGGTTTATTGCTAAGTCATTGTTCTTTGAGTAGAGGATAGCTTTATTTAAGATCGATTTTGAATTAAGGTAAAGGCTTTGGGCTGTGTTGTCCTTGATCAAAATGGTTGTGTCATCTGCATACATGATTGCAACAGCATTTTCACTCTCAATTTGTTTGGGGAAGTCATTAGTCAATAAGATGAATAGAATCGGGCCTAATACAGAGCCTTGTGGAACTCCTCTCGTTAGCTTGCTTTTTGAAGATTTGAAACTTTCTGTGACTTCATTTGATGAGTTTTTCAGTTCCACGACTTGTGAACGTCCCGTTAGGTAGCTTTTGAACCATTCTAGCGCAGAGTTTCTTATACCGAGTCTTTCAAGTTTCTTGCATATCAGGTCGTGGCCCAGGCAGTCAAAAGCCTTACTGTAATCAAGGAAGATGGCGGAAATGTATTGTTCGTTTTCTATCTGGTCTAGGACGTACTCAATTAGTGCTGTTATAGCTGAGGATGTAGATTTATTCTTCCGAAAGCCATGTTGGTTGTCAGTTAAGAGTTTGTTATGATTAAGATGTGCCATTAATCTAGCCAGAGCAATTTTTTCTATGATTTTAGAGAAACTGGAGATGAGAGAAATGGGCCTGTAGTTTTGAGCATTTTCAGTTGGTCCTTTTTTATGTTTGGGGTATATTTTACTGACTTTTATGGCGGATGGGAATTTGCCTTCTTTAAATGATTTATTTATAAGATAAACCAGAGGAGAGATGAGTTCTTGAGAGCAGTGCTTTATCATCTTAGAGGAAAACTCATCTATTCCACTTGATGTTTTGGCTTTTAGGGAGTTTATTATCGTTTTAACTTCTTTATAGGATGTTGAAGTTAGGGTAAGGTGTATTGGGCAGACTGGTTCCTCTCCACTCAGCACTGTTTCAGGGTCTATAACGATTGCTCTGTTTTGGTCAAGGGTATTTTCTGCTATATTTGAGAAGAATGTGTTGAAGTGTTCGGCCATTTCTTTTGTGTTGTTTGTGAGTTTGCCATTTATTTCTAATTCTGCAAGGGTTTTCTCTTCACATTTTCCTTTCCTTTCCTTGTTTATAACTTGCCATAGTGCTTTTGGTTTGTTGTCAGCTTGTTCTATGAAGCTAGCTGTTGAGGACATTTTTAGGTTTCTTAGTTTCATGTTGTATATCCTTTTTCTATTAATCATTTCTAATTTGTCTTCATTTCTGTTCGTTAACTCAAACTTTTGCAGAGCTTTCAAAAAGTTCTCTTTAAGGTATTTTGCTTCAGGATCGTAGTACTTCATATGTTTTTTGTTTTTAATAATTTTAGTTTTCTTTAATGGGCATGTATAATCCAGTGCTGTTTGAAGAATATTATGAAATTTGTTGTAGGAGGTTTCAAGATTGGGTGAAGAGTAAACATGTTCCCAATTTTGTAGATGGAGGTGGGCCTTCAGATTGTTTAGGTTTGTGTTGTTTAGGCTTCTTTTCATTACAAATCTTTGGGAAGTGTCTTCTTGGTGTGTTTTCAGCAGGCACAGCTGCGCAGTGTGGTCAGATAGACCAGTATGCACAACTTGTCTAGTAATATACGCACATGGTATGTTTGAGCATATACAGTCTATTGAAGTGGCATGGGTTATTCTGGTGGCCTCTAGAGGAAATCTCCAGATGTTTTGTGTGGTTAACTCTTCTTCCAGCATGGTGTTTTTGGAATCTTGGGTGAGCCTGTCGATATTTATGTCACCGATAAGTATTAGGTTTTTCTTGTGTACTTCTTGTAGTTCTAGCGTGTCTGATAGGAGGTCAAGGGCAATTCTTGCATTTTCGATTGGTGGTCTATAGATTCCCAGAATGTAGATATCCTTTTTCTTTGTTGTCTGCATGCGAATCATTGCTGCTTCGAAAATTAACTCCTGGCATGTGTTTGATATGTTAATAGCTGATACTGTATCAGCAAGGGATTCCTTGGAATATATTGCAACACCTCCAAGTTTATGTTCTTCTCTACTAAAGTGGGTAATTAAAGAGTAGCCGGGAATTTTTGTAGCTTCTAGCTCTGTTTTTTTCAGTCCGTGTTCAGTCAAGACTAGAATGCTTGGTTTTGTGTCATTGAGAATATGGTGTAGTCTGTTCGTCTTTGTAGCAAGTCCTCTAATATTTTGGTGCATTATTGCTACACAAGAATTATTTGGAGATTTGCAGATTTTTCTTTTGCTTTTTTCAGGCTGTTTGTTTCTAAAAAAGGGGTTATAGTATGGGGCACTGTAGAGTGATTAGATTGTTGACTTGAATTGGGTTCTTGCAGCTGCTCATGTTTCTGTTCTCCTTGAGAAGAGAGGCAGTCCATCTCGGTCATGTTTAGTCGCTTGGTGTGTGACAGAATATTCTTTTTATATAGGTCTATATTTTTCCAAAAGAAGTCTTCAATGGTCTCTCCCGGCTTAAGAAGCTTGGCGGTGATCGGGGGTTTCCCTGTGTTCTTTGGTTTAGTTGATTTGTTTGGGGGAGATATAGTGCCCTTGAAAGTAGAGCAAACTCCTTTTGGAATTTTGATGGCCTTGGGTTTTTTAATATTTTGATTTTGTGTTTGTTGTGGTTGACTTTGGTGTTCTGGTGCTTCTTTCCTCAACTTGCTTTTTGCTATTTGCAAGGAAACACTGAAATGGGTTTTCTTAGTAGTTGCCAATTTGTTTTTATTATATGAAACTCGTCTTGGTGTGTTAATTGGCTTGCAAGGAGTCTCCTTTTTCTCAGTTATTAGTTGCTGGGAATCTTCTACTGTTATTTTATCTTCTAATTTCTTCATTTTTGACTCCATATTATTCTGTTTTTCTTTTAGGGCCTTTAGTTCAAGTAGAATTAGTGTTTCTGTGTTTGATGCTTCTGGATTTTTGTTGTCTGAAACTGTGGTTTTGTTTGTGAGGTCCTTCACCTCTGTAGTGGTTGTCTGTGTGCTTGTCTCTCTGAATGATTTTGTAGATTCTTCTCCGGTGTTTATTCTGCTGCATGTATTTTTTTGCCTAAGGCATTTAATTTCATTCTCCATGTCCTTTATTTTTGTGTTGAAGCTATTAAAAGTTTCTTCCCTGTCTTTGTCATAATCTTCAAATGTTTTTGTGAGAGTGTTTCTCAGGCTTACTTCCTTTTCCAATTGGTGTTCTAGTTCAGTTATTGTTTCGATTAGGTCGTTGTTTCTAATTAGAATAGTATTTTTCTCATCTTCTAGTTGTTCAATTTGAGCGTGGTAGTTCATGATGTCGATGGTTTGTATGTTTGTTAGTTTCTGGGCCAGACTCGAGTTTTGTTGAGTCAGGTTGAGTACTTCTTCTCTTAGTTTGCTATTTTGTGCTAGAAGTGCGTTTCCAACTTCTGCTGCAAGTGTTAGAGAAGTTTCTAAATCGGGATCTTCTGAGTTTTCTAGTTCTAGACTAGAAATCATTGGGTTATTGATCAAAATGCTATGTTTGCTTTTTGATTCAGCAAGCCTTTGGCAGTATCAAACCTATTGCGGCTATTTTATAATACTAGGCCTACTAGTGGCATGTAGAGACATAAGTCCTAAAAAAATTCACATGTAAAAAATTTATTATTATATTTAAACAAACTAAGAATCAAATGATATCTCACGCAGCAACCCTGAAAATTGTTAAGTTAAATCATTTTTAGATCACTTTAGGGAAAGCAGAATTGATCTATAATTATTTGTAGATTAGTTAACAAACTTCACGTACTCTATCAACATAATTAAAAGTAGAATCTATATATAATACGTGAAGCCGTTTTTTGTTAACGCAACTCCTCCCTTATTTGTGGACCAATTTCAACGTTTGAGGTGTCAAAAGATTCGTCTCAAATATGTAGTTTTGCAATAAGGGTTTAGAATTCTAAAATTCCTGCCCTTAAGAGCGTGAGGCCCACTCAAAGGTCGGGTTTTCCCCATAAGAAATACATAGAACAAATTTAAAACCAAAAAACAGCTGTTTATAAGAAGCTGTAGCTTTTTGGGAGTAAATATTGATGTTTGTAATATTTAGTAGGTTAAGACCAAGTTAAACAGTTCAAATCAGTTTTGTTGGAAGAACAGAAAATGCCTCAAGTTCAAAGAAAAAATATTGAACACGGTAGTAGGACACAATAAATAATAAGATATTTTGTGCGTATGAGGAGAGTAGAAAAAGAGAGACATGGTCTAACAGATACCCATCCAGATACACATTCACTTTGTGAGATGAATAATATTTGCCAGTTCTGCTATGCAACTTACTTTGGAAGTGAAAAAATATACGAAGCTCATAGTGTTGTCACGGTGGGAAAGTAAACTTGCCTAAATGTCAGATCAAATGAATGCACGCAAGAAATGTTTACTTCAGACACTGACAGATCGAGATATTTCAAAACATTTTGTTAAAATTACGTTAACTAACTTTCAATGATGTTGCTGCTTTAGCCTATTCAAAGCAGGTTATGGCTGTCCAGTTGGTAACCCCGAGTTTGTGGGTAAAAATGGAGCACATGAAATGGTTGACATCACCCCACTTTTCAGGTTACTCTACGGAGAAAATTTGTTTGATCGGGGGATTTCTCAAATCAAAGGAATAAAATGGCCCAACTTTAATTACTTAAGAAAGGTTATCAGTACGGCAACAGTGTTCTTCAATAATTCTCAATGCTGGAAAAACTTTGTTGCAACATATTAACTCGAATTGAGGCAGATCGTTTAGCATTCATTAGAAGTTATCAGTTAAAATCGAGAGCAGAAATGATGTAGGTGAACCTTGGTGACGCCATTAGAGATATTTAAAATTAGTTTCTAACAAGTTTTCAAATAACTCTAAGATGTAACTAAAGTAACTAGAATTTAAGCATAAGGTTTTCCTCGGCGTTATGTTTCATACTAGGCGGCTCATTGAGCCGCACGGGTTCCCTAGTAACAAAAATAATATTTTTGTAACGACATGTTTAATGTAAACAAAGCAGACGTTTTTCAAACCCAATGCATTTTACATGGAAAATATTTTTTGTTATTTCTCATTATCTGGTAGATTTTGACGTTATTTGCTATTTTTTCCCTAACCCCTGGGACCAAGACCTTTAATTTGAGCCCTCTCCCATCATCCTGCAAGCTGTCAAACTCTCACAATTTGTATTTAAAAAATAGCTTACAGAATTAATATAGATATTCATGTTACATTCATACCTGACCTTATTTACAGCTTATTTCACAATACTACACTATTATCAATATTTGGGACTGGTAAACTACTGGGTTAGAAATATGACAAAACTTATTGAAAAACGTTTTAAGTCATAGATGATGATTCAACACGTTTGAACCAAAATTTATCAAAATCGTATGATTTTTACACAAGCTATTGTGCTACATACATCGGACACTTTTGATATACTGTAGGGCCTATATAAATTATACAGCAAACTCCCATTTATCCGGACACCTTTTAACCTGACATCGATTTAACCGGACTACACTCGGCAGAAATGACATCTCTTTAATCTGCCTAACCTATCACGGTCAATTTTTATCAGCCCATTGGTTTAACCGGACTGGATCGGCAGGAAGTGGGCGGTACTGAAACGACTGTTCTTGTGGGAAAGATTTGAGACCAGTGATCATGTGACTAAATACAATTCTCTTCTAAATTTAAGTCAAATACTGTATACAGTATGGATTTAAACGGTCTGTTTTAACAAGTTTTTGGGGTCGTCGGTTTAACCAGAAATCCTGTTATCCGGACTGACCTCAGTCCCGAGAAATCCGGATAAGAGGTAGTCTACTGTATTTGGAAATCTTTTGCTGCAATCACAGTGAAATTATTGCATAAAGACCTATAAGAGGTCATAAGAAAGCCATAAGAGCCCTCCCCAACGTTGTCCAACCACAGACTTGCAGACCAGTATTCGCAAACTTAGGAATCCTCATAGGGGTGGCTCTCTACCTACTTGAAACCATGAAATATGTCGATGAAATAAATCCCCCAAGAAACCAAGACCTGCACCACTACAACACCCATCATGCCTCCAAATTTGTCCTACCAGTTCATCGAACCACTCTTTGGGAGAAAAAACCTTCCTATACCAGCCACAAACTGAGGAACCATGTACCTGAGAGACCTGACTGGCAACAAGCTACACCAGGAGTTAAAGAAGTGGCTGATCGCAAGACCGTTCTACTCAATAGAGGAATTTTATAAACATTCTGGAAATTAACACGTACAATTTACCATTGTATTGACACTATTGTAATTCTTGATGAATTAACAATAAAGAATATTCTATTGAATTGTATAAACCAAAACTGACATTTTCCATTGATTCTCGAGTCAGTGTTTATTCCTAATGGTTGATCAAATGCTTAAATCTATTCTATTAATTATAAATATTCAATGCCTTTTACCTCTATAGAGTATAAAATGCCAACTAAATCATATTGAAATGAAATATGTAAACGGTATTATGAATTATAATCAATATCAACATACCGTGGAAGATGTTGCATTTTCCCGCATTTGTTCCAAAGTTCCCATCAGAGTTCCTGTAGCTTCCTATGACAAAATAATACTGTAAAACTCGGTGACTATTTTTTCCAAATGATATGAAAAAGTTGATAAATAGAATAGGTAACTTCACAGAATTACACAGATTTGATTTATCAGGCAAATGTTCTTACCCACCAAAAAAGAAGATAAAGCACAATTTTAAGTTTTTTGTTTCAATATTACATTTTACCAAAATTTTTAATTCAATTTCCAAACTTGAGATTTCCAGAGTTTTCATACACAAGCAGAAAAGTAGAAAATAAGTAGAAACAATATTAATACAACTTAACTGTCACATTCAATTTCTGTGTGAAATCCATCAAACTGCAATGTACAGAGATTAATTGGATGATTGCTAACCTGGATGGATCCGAGAGCAATTGCTTGGCTCATGTCCGTCACTCTCTCCCAGTAGTTCTGTACATCTTCTGGAGAGACAACATCACTCAACCTGAGTCTCAACGGACTACCTACACCTCTCACCAGCTCACCTGTACAACATCAACATGACAACAGAGGAGCAAACATGGCAACATGGCAACAGGGTCTGTGGGACCCCTTGGACCAACAGTTAGCTTGAAGGATCGGTTTAGACCGGAAATAATTTTTTACTTAAGCTTGGGTCGAGTATTGTTTTGTAAGAGATGTGCGAGCGGCTTGATTTTCAAGTCAAGTCGAGCTTTTATCCTGGCAATTGAAGACACAATTTGCAAAGATGCGCTATCGAAAACTGACAATTTTGCAGCGATTATGAGTGATTTTCACAGTTTTTCTGCAAAGACAGAAGATCAAAATTATGTCTCCCCAACTGTACTTGATTTTACTGTGATTGCGGGAATACTCTACAATATTGTATCGATTACAGCATTACAATAATTACTTTAAAAATCAATATTTTCCTAAACGATCTTGGCCCGAGCCCCGAAGGGCAAAATATTTTACCCAATTCGACGCAGGACTTTAAGTGAAAAGTCTGGCTCCTACAATAAAGTCAACATCGTAAAGGAGAGGACATCACATTAGATTCAACATTACGATTCAAAATTATTCTTTTAATGACAGGAATTGATTAAATACTTTGTAATACGGGGGGCTCGTTAGACCGATGCTTCACCAGTGGTCTTATAAGTCGAAACAAAACAAGTCTGCAGCGACGTTAATCACTCTCCATGCGATTTACTGTACTTACTTTAATTTACTATATTTTGCGCTACGAAGTGAGGAAGAACCCCCCTAAATACAGAGCAAGATAGTACAGGGTCAGTCGAAATATAATATCTAGTTCCTAGAATATGTATTTTTTTGTATTTGTTTATATTGAAGGAATAAAGTCTATTATTTCATTTTGTAGCCATTCATTTCGTAGCCGAGTTAAAATCAATTACTACTGTTCCATACTTTTTGTTGTAATTTGTTTTGATGTTTGTACTGTTCCAAATTCAACATGGTTATATTAATAGTACATTAGAAAATAATCTTGAAATGAAATGAAAAATTATGTATTTTTTCAGGCAAAGTTAGGGTCACATGGCCCTTTCTTACACTTAACCTGACATACATAAAACAAATAAGAATGCAATGGGATTACTTAATCTAATTAAACAAACATTTACATATTTAAAAATGTAAGTAAATTTCTGTAAAAGAAAAAAAACAAGCAAATTTAACAAAAGAAAATAAAACACATTTACATATTCTCGCATACACGCATCAGCAGACACGTAAAGAAACAGAAGTCCAAGGACATGCCAGCCTACTAAAAGTAGAGCTTCTTCAGTGCCGCCACAAACTGGAAACGTTTTTCAATTGTTTTAAGTGCAGGGGTAGGCCATTTTGCATACGGCAAGCGGAAAAACAAAAGCCCCGTCATAAGCCGGGGAGAGATAATCTTCATATTTTATCTCGATCAAATGCATAAAGATAAAAAACGATCTTGATAATCCGATAATGTTGGTGATTTGACACTCTCCTGGTCCTATACCTGTTGGATTATTGAGGAACAGCGGTAACATACTTGTACTGTATTTTTATTCCACAGTCAACCGACTTCTATTGTTACTACTAGGTTTAAGCTTTGATAAGAGCTATGCTCCCATTTATATCCATGTTAAATTAAAGGTCTTGGGGTTTCTTGCACTACTTAACACTATTCCTAAGCCACTGACATTTAGCAGCCCATCCTGCCGCAGATTCTATGATAGCTCCTGAGTCTTGACACTTCTCATGACACAGCCACACTACCACAGGAGCAATCAGCTCAGGCCTTAGCTCGGCGAAGAAATCTGCGCACAAACAACAGTCAAATTAGAATATATCTATTACATTACCAGACTAACAATTTATTTATGAAACAAAACTGCAACACTCTCTGTTCAGACTACACATTTTTTCAACTAAGTGAAGTAAAGAAGGGTTAAATTCTAAACATAACAAGAAATATTGGCTCAGAATTTATGATTTTTTATCAATTAATATTTTTTTTCATTTATAACCAAACGTTGTTCACTTAAAATATTTATTTTTTAAGGGGTAAATGCACTTACATAATATGTTAGTCATTGTATCTAACAATAACAACTAAAAGTTCTATGATGGTTTCAGTTTCTCATTATACATTTTGAAATGAGCTTATATTGATATATAAAACTTATATGATGACTGTAAGGAGTTGAAGGAGAGTGCATTTGCTGCGTATTGTGCTGACTTTAATAAAGGTTCCTACCATAAAAATGTGAATTAGATGATAAATTTGTACCATAAAATTGCCTAGGTAAAATTCACAAAATAAATTTACAGTCTTAGAGTGTATCTTATACTAGTGCACCTGTTGCTCGCTTTCGAGCAATTGCAAAGTATTACAGGTCATAATTTCGGTTGACTTAAAAGAGTCAACTCAAAGATAATGTAATCAATAACTCCACTCCAGTTAACGAAACTGAAAACGAACTCACTCTGAAAACGAACCCTTTTGTGTGTATCATGTGTTTACTATGAACAGCTGTAATTAATACTAATTATTCTTCTGTTTAAGTAAACAAAATATTTTTTCATAAGAAATATATTGGGAGTTTGATATCCTGTGGGGCAAAGCTCGAGGACTTTTATTACACAAATTGGTGAAAGGGGGCGTCTACACAAAAAATACTTAATTTTGACACATCGTTTGTAAAAATCTGTCCATTATTAATGGAGGAGTAGTGTTTAGTAGAAATCGCCTTCATGTATTATATATAAGGATATCCTAAAAATTAGGATATAAAAAAATGTAAGGCATTCGCCAAGGCTCGTACCTTAAATTTTCTACTCATGTCATTAACACCATCTTTACACAATCCTTGCGTAAACTCTCATCATCGTTACAGGATTCATCTTATTTCAGTTGTGGCATTTCAGCATAGATTGCATTGATTACTTTGTAAAGTTACATTAGAATGTTTAAGATGTTGTAGTACCTGGAGGTAGAATATCTTCAGTTAGGCGAGAGGCAGCAGTTGGTACAATGACATTACAATGTATGTTCTTCTTGCGACCTTCGATAGCAAGAGTGTTGGCCAACCCCACCAATCCCATCTTAGCAGCACTGAAAAGAAAAACAATTATATACAAATTTGAATAGTGTGTAAGTGAATATCTCGGGGGTTTAAGGGGATAAAAACAACAATAGCTCAAAGAAAAAGAAGTATGTAGTGTACATAATACTACGGTGTCCAAAACCGAACAGCTGCATTTGAGAAACATCCTTCTGAAGTAGGTGTCAGGCTCCTTAACTGTCTTCCTGAAAGGTTTAAAAGTCTGGAAAGTTCCTATCTATTAAAAAATAAACGGAAGCATGACTTAAATAAAAAATCAGGCGTTCTATTTAGTTGATGAGTACACTGTGCACCGTTAGAGTTGAGGGCACAATATTATATTCTCCAGTGGTTAAAAGATATTTGAAGGCTTTCCTGATAAATGTACAATGTTTTGTAGTTTTCCTCAGTTTCTTATATGCATTGATTTATTTGTTAAAAGTTAACTTTTATTTCAAGTGTAATTTGATCAAAAACGTCTATATAACCTATTTCAATGTAAATATTATGCTACACAGTGTAAAAATTGTCAAGAGCAATAAATAAATAAGTGTAACTTATTATTGTTGTATGCAATAATATTGTGTGAAAAATGTTAAGCTTATTGTTGTCCGATCATAGTAAAGTTTTAACAAAATTGAAATCGCACCTGTAATTTGCCTGGCCAAAGTTGCCGTAAAGCCCAGAGTTGGATGAAGTCATGATGACTCGGCCGTAGTTTTGCTTCTGGAAATGTGGCCAAGCAGCCTGTGTGGTCTTGAAGGCACCCTTCAGATGAACATCGTGGATCAAATCTGCATCATAAAAACATATGAGAAGGAAACTTTAGTAAACCTGTGTAGCAAAGTAAATAAAGTATGGAATCAAAATCAAACCCCAGATTATGAGTGAAAACTTTCTTTAAATAGTGTGGGTGATTGCCAAAAAAGATGAGACACAAGAGACAAAATTAACATCAGGCTCCATCAATCATATTTCAAGAATCCTGTTAACTAGCCTATAAGGTGAATCCCAAATTTATATGTCTCATTATACTTTTAAAATATATCCAAACTTTTACCATGCTCGCTTACAAAGGGGTTGGATTGTGTTTGTTTGCCTCAGAATATTTAAATGCCAACATTTAATTTGATCAATAATAATTTGTGTGCATTTTCAAGTTTAGGACTTAAAGAATGAAAAGCAACTATTATGTAAGTTAAATACTTTTTTTGTTGTCAAACCACCAATCTAGTGGACAAACAGGTACATAACCTATCGATATATTTAAGTTAAGTTCAATATTTTCATTCTGTTGTTTGGGATAACGCTTATGAAAGTCTACCCTAGTCATTTAATCAATCTTGGGGACAAGAATGATTTTAAATAAGCTAGCAGTAAGAACAGTGGTGGCTGCTTAATTTAAAACTTACCTTGTATCTTAGCAAGCTAACCACTCTAGCACAAGAAGCATACAAAAACTTTATAATATACAAAAAAGTTAGAACTTACTGTCACTAGAGAGTACTTCCAACCGAGGAAAGTTTATGTTAGGAAGAAAGCTTCAGGTCCATGGTGGCAAGAAAGTTGTTGACAAACTAAAGTGTTGTCAATATGACACAATTTACTGTATAAGTTTATGGTGTATTAGTAGACTACTGTACTTGACGGATGAATTGTTGACTTACTCCAGTCTGTATCACTGATACGTGCAAAGGACTTGTCTCTCAGAATGCCAGCATTGTTCACAACCACGTCCACACGGCCAAAGTTTGCCAAAGCTGTTTCAATAATTTTATCTCCTTCAGTCACTGAGTTGTAGTCGGCAACTGCTATACCTCCTACAAACAAATGAGTTGCAGCTTAGATAAAAAAACACCTCATATTTTCCCTTATATGTGCAGGGTGGCCACAGAACCCCTCAAAACAAATTCACAGATGATTCCCTATTTTCCAGACAATAAGACCTGGTTTTCCCGGTCTCCAAGTGTACCTTTACCTATAAATGTCTGGGGGATCAAATCAAATCGAATATGCTTTATTCATTAAGTACAGTTTTGTACACCGAATGGTGTCAACTAATCTATTTTAAATTAATAATACAGAACCAGCAAATGAAAATAATCATAACTAAATCAATTAAGTTTCCGCTCTGGCTGGGCATGACAGGTGATGGTTTTAAAACCTGTCAAGGAGGGGAGGGGCTAACCGGGGTGTTCTGCACCAGGAGGGAGGGATGGGAATCCTAAAAAATAGATTACCTACCGACAGTATAGCAGGTATTTAACCTTTTTATTTGTAGTAGTGGGTTTTAATTAATTAATAATTTTAGGATAATAACTTACTAAACTAATTTATAAAAGGAATATTCAGTAGATTGAATTGTCTGCTTTGAAGATCTTTCCGGAAAAGTCATAACTGTAGTAATTTTACTTTTAGAAATTTCATATTTTCTGACAATATATAATAGGACACTCTCTTTACTGACCTTGGGATAACCAATTCCTTTAAATATCATAACACTTAATCTGTGTATTTATTCCTTAATAATGTCAACGATTTTAGCAATCATTTTGAATGTTTAACTAAATGTCTTAACCGTTGTTTTACAACCTTACTTAACAAGATTTAACTGTACCACATTAATTTTGATAAAATTTGATTTATTTACAAATTGTATAGTAATGCAAATAATAGTAAAACATTGATGTATTCTAAGTCCTAATTTAAGGTTAAAAAGCCAGCTAAAATTGTCACCTAGTGTGGCCACCACCAGCGACCAGGCTGTGAGAAAACAGTCATGGTGAACAGCTTGCGGAGATAGCATCGCTAAGTGTAGCCGCAGCCTTAAAGACTTCTACAAACTGAACTAAATTTCTAAACACCCGAAGGATGTTCTAATATACAACAATCTGATTGGATACACACAGAAAACTTACCTTTGGATTTTATCTCTTGAACGACGGAGTCAGCAGCCGCAGAACTCTTCCCGTCGCCGTGTCTGCCCCCTCCGAGGTCATTGACTACAACTTTAGCACCTCTAGAGGCAAACAGAAGAGCGTACGCACGACCCAAGCCTGAAAAAACATAATTTACATTGTTTGCTTCATGTTACTGTGATTTCCATTTTAAGAGTTGAAACCAATCTTTGTAATTTAAAAAGGTCTGTCGATTGCTCCATATGTAATAAAATATCAATTAACACAAAGAAATAATATGTTTTATCAATTTCTTAGCCTAATGAAATCTATGTATTTTAATTCCGTAAGCAAATGGGTCCCCACAAAATATCTCGAGCTAGGAAAAAGGTAGCATGGCTGTTGATTTAATAGTCCAAGGAGGGTAGGAAAAAATATCAGAATTGACAAAAATTACCCCTACTCTGCCCCACAGGCCGTCAAAGATTCAGTCATTTTTCATGGAAGTACTGCAACAGTATTTCAATAAGCAGTTTTAAATATACCAGCTGATGTAAACATTTCGTATTTGTATGTTTATTAATTTTAGTGTACTATTTTTAGGTTAGAATGGTAATGTAGTGTTGAAATGTATCCTGTAAGGGAAAGACCGTGACCAAATGTGTCAAAAGGTATGTATTTAATTTCAATTGCATACATAACTAAAAATCAGCAATTGCTGCCATGGTCCCCTATATAAAACCTTTGACTATTTTATAAAACAAACTATATAAAAAACTCATTTGTTTAATCAATCTTACGCAATTCGCTTCAATATTTAAAAAGAGTGTAATAGCCATTGGTCATTAAATTGGGAAATAAAGTAATTGGAAGTTGAGGTGAACTGCAGGTTCGATGAGATGCGACGATGGTAGGTGAGGTGAGGTCGTGTGTGTTGTACAATAGATGAACCGCCATAACACTCCGTAGCAATTAATAATAAGCAATCTTTCATAACTTTTACTGTGTTACGAACAGTGATACAGTGTAACAAGTTGGATGAGACAATCTTCAATTTATATTCGTTGGCCAACGAGAAGGATTAGTGAGTGTTGGTCATCTCAAAGCTAAATTAATTTCACACCTCACCGTCATTGTCGTAGTTGAATTGTAACCGCGTCAATCACTTTCCTACCAAGGGGATACATTCAGTTTTACACAAAGATTAGTGGCATTTGCACTCAAGTTTGAGAGATGTACCATTGTTTTTGATTGCAGCTCAAGGCACATTCAACCAAAGATTAAATAATTAATTCAAATTGTTGCTGTGTGAATCTTTCAATAATTATTGTTCAATAGATCAAATTGTTGTATATTTTCAGAATTTTTAATAACCTTGGTATTTCATTTTTGGTATTATGCAATTTCATTCAATGGATTTTGGTAATTATAGTAATTAAGAAGCCACTACAAAAGATTCACATTGAGGTGCAACACTAAAATTAGTGTGGTAGTGTGCAAAGTAGAGTCAGTGTATATTTAAGATTGTTTTCAGCACTGGAAGAACTTTAAACATTACCAGGGACGTCCCCTAAGGATCTCTGGGAATAATTTTATTCAACAGGGCCCACTCAATTTTCATTTAACATCGCTTCCACTGCCAAACGCTCTGTTTTTTATTTTTATTCACTTTGTTCTTCCAACCCAGGGGCAACCAAGATTTGATAAGAATCAATCATTTGAGAGTTATTTGAGAATATTTCAAGGAAAGCAGTATATATTTAAATATAAGTCAGAGTATTTTATTTTTCTTTTTTTCTTTACATTGGTGGTGCCTTTAAAGGGCCACACGTTCTATGGTGGGAAGTGTTGCGTTTGTCCCGTGGTGGGAATCAGGGTTTCGTGGGTGCTTGGTGGTGCCTTTAAAGGGCCACAAGCTCTATGGAGGGAAGTGTTGCATTTGTCCCATGGTGGGAATCAGGGTTTCGTGGGTGCTTGGTGGTGCCTTTAAAGGGCCACACGCTCTATGGTGGGAAGTGTTGCGTTTGTCCCGTGGTGGGAATCAGGGTTTCGTGGGTGCTTGGTGGTGCCTTTAAAGGGCCACACGCTCTATGGTGGGAAGTGTTGCATTTGTCCCATGGTGGGAATCAGGGTTTCGTGGGTGCTTGGTGGTGCCTTTAAAGGGCCACACGTTCTATGGTGGGAAGTGTTGCGTTTGTCCCATGGTGGGAATTAGGGTTTCGTGGGTGCTTGGTGGTGCCTTAAAAAGGCCACACGCTCTATGGTGGGAAGTGTTGCGTTTGTCCCATGGTGGGAATTAGGATTTCATGGGTGCTTGGTGGTGCCTTTAAAGGGCCACACACTCTATGGTGGGAAGTGTTGCGTTTGTCCCGTGGTGGGAATTAGGGTTTTAAAACCTAAACACCAAGCAACCGCTTGGTGGTGCTTTTAAAGGGCCACACGCTCGGAAAAACTTTAAATTTTGTTGGTATATTCTTATTAAATAGTTTTTTGCCAGAGCAATACTGTATTGTTTCTATTATTATGTCAGCTTTTGTCAGAGTTTATCAAGTTGTTACCATTTCCATCGCCATTGATGGCGAGTTAATGTTGTTCAAAGGTTTATTGCGGAAATTTTCCATCACGATAGTAAAAAACAATACACAACGTTTTGGGATCTAGAATCTGATCCCGTTCTCAGGCGAAAAAACTGAACTAACACATTACAACTAACAATACACAAACGCCCAACCTAAGGTCGAATAAGGTATTGTTAGTTGTAATGTGTTAGGTAGTTAAGTTTTTTCACCTGAGGATGGGATCAGATTCCAGATCCCGAAACCTTGTGTATTGTTTTTTACCATCAAGATAGAAAATGTCCGCAATAAACCTTTGAACGACAACGAATGTTATTGTTGTTAATTTTGTTCACTGTTGTTATATAGTCTATATCTGTTATCAATCTGTACTGTTGTTTATTCACACTGTTGTTGATTTATACTGTCGTCATTTTATATTGTTATCAATTTACATTGCTCTAATTTAAATTGCCACGTCACATCATACGTTAAAGCAATATTTGTAAACTAATCAGCATGTCAGCTTCTTACGCATGCATATTATGTTTTTCTTCTGTATCTTGTCACATGTGGCTATGCCATATCATTATGTATTTTTTGTAAAATGGTGGTTACAGTAAAAGTACATAAATGAATATTTTTATACTGTAGGTACAAAATTTGAGCTTTGTTTTAAAAATAAAAGAATTAACAGCAAAAGTTGAAAAAAATGTAACAATAAATAAAAAAAATCATTATAACTACTGCACATACAAACAGTATCAGTTTTACTTTAAACTTATTTTCTGTTGACTTGAAATTAATAATGTCAAATAATCTACGTCTGTTAAAATTACTTTTATCTAGTAATCCAACAAAAGCATTGAGCTGCACCCTGGCGTATAGATCGACGCAGCTGTAAAGCATCTAACATGACCTTGACATGGCATCAGTTCGTTGTCACCTGCCAAACGTCACACTGTGTACATGGTGATTGTTGTGTTTTTGTGCTAAGCAAAATTACGGAACTGGTAGAAGAGTTATACTTCATTAAATTTTGTCAAAATCTGGGTGATACCCAAGCTCAAACAATTTCTTAAGATTCAGCCAACCTTTGGAGAAGACGCTGTAGGTGTAACACAGATAAAAGAAAGGTACAACAGATTCATAGATGGCCGCATTTCAATGGACAGTGAACCTTGTTCAGGGAGACCATCAACCAGTCGAAACAACAAAGTTATCGATCAAGTTTGAGTTTAACTGATGGAGAATCTATGTATTCACAGAGAAGTAAGATAGGCCTACAGAGGATATAAGCTTATGGGACAACCGTGCGCCAATAGCATCTGGTATGTTGGGGCGGAAATGTACTAAGTTATGCTGACTGTTTTTTCAACTTTAATGGACTTAGTTTATCATACTAGTATGCACCTGAGGGACACCACATTACTAAAGAGAACTTACTAGTTCTAAGTTTCGTACTAAGTTCTATGGCCACATGCAAGATGCAGTGCGTAGCAAGTGTCCTGATTTATGGGCATGTGACTTATGGCATGTTCCCTACCTTGAAGATGCCGTTTAAAGGGCTTTAATGCAAAATGTGACAGCTCATCTGAAGTCCATTAAGAACAAAGAGTTCCAGGCTTGTTTCCAAAAGTCGCAGGAGCGCTGGAATAAGTGTTTAAAGTCCCAAGGGGACTGTTTTGAGGGAGATCACTTGTTAAAACTAATTTATCAATAAATTGTGCTTTTCCTGAACAAGGTCGGATACTTTTTTAACAGACTTTGTATAGTTACTTACTGTATATAATGTTATAGGTAAAATTGTAGGGATGGACGGGTCCCGAAATTTCAGAAAATTTTTGCAAAAATATATTCTCGATCTTTGGGACAGGATTACATTTGATTCTGGAATTTTTCGGGACGGGATTTGATCCGATTGTTGGCGATTTTGCTGCTTCGCGAGTGACAATGACAATGCGAACGCAGGAGGCGAAGTCATACCGACGATCGCGCTGTGACCACGAGTCTTACTGACGATTGTACTGTGACCGCGAGTCATTTCGACGATCGTGCCGTACCGCGAGTGATTTCAACGATTGTGCCGTTAGTTTAAGTCATACCGACGATCACGCCGTGACCGCGTGTCATACGGATGATCGCGTTGTGCCCGCGAGTCATACTGAAGATCTCGCCGTGACCGCGTACTCATACCGACGATCACGCCGTGACCACGAGTCATACCGACGATCATGCCGTGACCGCAGAGTCAAAACGACAATCACGCTGTGACCGCGGAGTCATACCGACGATCGCGCCATGACCGTGAGTCACAAGTTTCTATACCTGTAAAATTTTACCCAATTTTTTTGTTTTTATAGATCAGTGCCAAATTGTAAAAATTGATTTTGTTTGTCTTTTAGTTAACTGCAATACTCAAGACTTTCTTTTTATGCACAAGAAATAATCTCGTCCCGTCCCGAACTAAAAATTCAATTCCGTCCATCCCTATAAAATTGATGATTTTTTTTAACCATTCTAAATAAATAATACATATTAGGGCCTATAAATTGCAACAAAAAAAGTCTTACCTGCACCAGCTCCTGTTATGACCACAACTCTTCCATCAAATCTCAGATCGCCCATCTTTTACAGAATAGAAGGGAACTGATTTATCTAAAAAAAAAACATAATTTCCTATAACTTACTTCACCATTGAAAGGTCATTAACGTTGTTGGGGACAGCTCATTTACTGTCTTGTAAATTATTTTCAGATTATAGCGTATATGAGCCTCGTAAATAATATTGAAGGTTCACTAGCACTACAGGCTCGATCGAAAATATGAAATAAATAAAGAGGGTTCACCTACTCTAAAGATCATAGTGCATATGAGCCTAGTGTCTTATATTTTAAAATACAGTCAGAAGGTTCGCTTATTCAACAGATCATAGTGCTTATGAGCTAAGCGTACGAATTATTTATAATTCAGGTATCGGCTCGTTGTGTACTTATACAATACAATATTATGTATGTACTTATCGTATTCACTACGAGCCAACAGGAAAAATATTAAAGATGGCTCACCTACACTACAGCTCATCATGTCTAAAAGTCACGCAAATGATTTTGTGAAATATAACTATATTTGAATTCCCCGGGAAGTCATAAACGAAGGCATATAACTAAGTAAGTTACGACCGGAAAAGCGTTGTTTAGGTTAGGTTACTAACAATACCCAAGTTATTGATAACCTAACCTAACCCAACCTTATCTAACTTAATCAAACCTATCGTAATCTAACCTAACCTAACCAACGCTTTTCCAGTCAAAACATGAAAAAAGAAAATTTCATTTTCCAAGGGTGCACTAGATGATAAGAATTACCAAAACGATAATAAATCTAGTAGCTCCTAACCCAAGTATCAATTAGATATCCAACACAGACCTTCTTGCTAGCTTTCCCCAACTGCAAGGACAGTAGCTACCTTATTTTAAGAAAGGTGACCCTTCTAAGGCCAGGGCACACTTACTGGCAAAATCGCTGGCCACCGGATCCGGTGGAGTTGCCAAAGTTGAAATGAAGGCATGGAGAAGTACACACGGGACCGCGTCTTGTTGTACCTACGTCATACCGACTTGTACCTCATACACCTAGGGACAACTAGTCGTAGGTACAACTAGACGTAGGTACAAGTAGACGCTGGCAAACCCGACTAGTTGACCTACAGATTTTTAAGAGGTACAACTAGGCGTAGAGACAACTAGACGTAGGTACAACTAGACGTGTATGCCACCGACAAGTAGTGTCACCTAGCTTGTACAGATGCGACCATTTAGTTGTCCCTACGACTAGTGGTCCCTACGTCTAGTTGTACCTACGTCTAGTTGTACCCACGTCTAGATGTACCTACGACTAGTTGTACCTACGCGTATTTGGCGTCCTTATAGTCTAGTTGTATCTATCCTTCAATTTGTTACCTTAAACAGGCCTGTTTAATTAAATACTGCACGAGTACTTTTTAATTATACCCTTAATTAAATCAGAAACTGCAGTGTTCCGAGTCAATTGAGTATGATTGGCTAATATTTTTCACCGCACTACGATGTCTTAGCTGTTTTACTGACGTTAAATTGGAGGCTGAAAGCTACGCATTGTTGCCCAGGGCCGAAATGGCAGCTATAGTTGTAATTATATTTTTACAGCCCTAGGACCGAAAATCACACGTTCCCTTATTTACTTAAAACATTGATATACAGGGTGTTGAAAATGTCTGGAACCAACATTATATCTGGTGAGTGGTTAAAGAAAAACAACTGATATTCTGTGTACGGATATACTATGGTTTTACCTATCTTTTGGTGCCTTATGAAATGTTTACCACTTATAGGGAACGTCCTGTGGAGGATGCAGTAAAAAGTTTTAATGGAAGCCTATGGTAAATGATACATCATTTTAAAGGCCATTTTTTTCTGAGTAAGGAGCCACAAGTTTCATCTCAAAAGGACCACCCTAGCAAAAATGGCGACTGTTCGGATAGCAATGTTTTTAAATTTCAAACAGTCGCCATTTTTGCTAGGGTGGTCCTTTTGAGATGAAACTTGTGGCTCCTTACTCGGAAAAAAGTGGCCTTTAAAATGATGTATCATTTACCATAGGATTCCATTAAAACTTTTTACTGCATCCTCTACAGGACGTTCCCTATAAGTGGGTTTTTAAATTTCAAACAGTCGCCATTTTTGCTAGGGTGGTCCTTTTGAGATGAAACTTGTGGCTCCTTACTCGGAAAAAAGTGGCCTTTAAAATGATGTATCATTTACCATAGGCTTCCATTAAAACTTTTTACTGCATCCTCCACAGGACGTTCCCTATAAGTGGTAAAAAATTTCATAAGGCACCAAAAGATAGGTAAAACCATAGTATATCCGTACACAAAATATCAGTTGTTTTTCTTTAACCACTCACCAGATATAATGTTGGTTCCAGACATTTTCAACACCCTGTATATTATTTAATATACAAGTAGTATCCATAATGAACTGCAATAGACTTGTTTGATTGCAACCGCTGCCTAGGAACTGTTGTTTATTATTATTTTTAATTTTTGCTGATTCCTTTAAATATTTTTTTACGCAACCCTTATGTGATATTTGCGTTGATTAGTGTACATTTTATAGTACCGGTATACAAGAGGTCGTCCGGTGGTTGGAAAATTTACCAAAAATATGCAATGTAGGCCTACAGCCTTCTCTATTTAACCCACACTGTAAATGAAACATGTGATTGCAATTTCTTCCATTTGTTTAGATTTTATGTTTATATTTCGTTGTTATTGTCATCACCAGCATAACAAACCATAAAACCCATGTTAAATTTTAAATTAAATGTTAAAAAATCACAAATTTTCTGAGCCAGGTGATGGCTGAGTTATCCAGACTGCCGGGTTATCGAGTGCCGAGTTTGCGAGACTCTACTGTACAACTAGACGTAGGTACAACTAGTTGCAGGTACAACTAGCCTAGTTGTAGGTACAACTAGTCGTAGATACAAATAGACACAGACGTATGAGGTACAAATAGACAGTGGCGTACCCGACAAGTTGTACCTGCAGAATTTTAAGAGGTACAACTAGACGCCTGTCACCAAAATGCAGCAGGTACAACTAGACGCCGGTACAAGTAGACATCGACCAGTACACACTGCTCCAGGGTACACTTCCATATCTGTTGGCACAAACAACAGAATGAGTAATATAGATTATTCGATTGTTTAATTTTATATATCGTTTGGTTAGTTAGGTTAGGTTAACCAAATGATATATCGAATAACCAATATATCGATCGATATTTTCATTTGGTTGTTTGTGCCAACAGATATGGAAGCATACCCCTGCTCCAGTCCGGCAAAACAGCTGGACTGTAAATATCGATCGATATTTTCATTTGTCTGTGCCAACAGTTATGGAAGTCTACTTAAGTTACCCAAAAATTGTGTGGAATATAGGCCTATATCGAATATAAATACCAGGCCAGCATATGTAATCTATGGGACCCTCAAAGCGGTAGACCTAAACATAAGATTAGGCTTATTTACCAGTACCCCGTGATGTCACCTTACCCAAACCCTAAAATAACTTGAGTTACTAGGCCTACACTCGGTCAGGAATTAGGATCCCAAAATTCGCTTCCCAAAAGCGAAGGCTACAGTAAGTAACTTAAGTTACAAGATTTAGAGCTGAGTTAAGCCCATCAAAAAGTCCCGTTATTAAGATCTAATGACGAGATTGACTGAGCTTTGAGTAGTGATGTGCGATACGTATCGTATTGGAATATCGCGATACGCGAGGGACGATACAATATTTCGATACCATATTTGAAAAACGATACGTATCGTATCGCCTAAAACGATATTTGTATTTATATTGGCACATAGAGCGATACAATTCATGGCTAAAACGATATTTTTAAATTTTTTTTGCGCAGGCCGAGCAAACTGCAAAATTTGTACTCTGTGGATGTGTAGTTTGAAATAGGAGTTTTTGACGTCTGTATTTTTGGTTTTTACTTGATAATGTACCAGTCCCATCCCAGTCCAGTCCATTTCCACTAGCGTGCTATCTAGCACTAGCAGTGCAGAGTGTGGGAACTGTCTGGGGCAATTACATTAATGTATCTGCAATCCTAAAATGCTATGGGAAGGATATGGAAACAGGTCCAAGACGTAGGGAGTTGTGAAGGAAGTAGTAAAGGCGAGCAATGTGGAGTGTGGAAATGGATTAATGTATCTGCAATACTAGACTGTTTTAGAGTAAACTAATGATTTCCCCTGAGCAAAGCTTGGTCCCCAGGTACTTATATAAATTTGCCGTTTCTAGGTTAGGTAGGGGAGGGGGGAAACAATACGATATGTATTGTTTTTCCATATTTTTGATGATACGATTCGCGTATCGCGATACAGACGCCCGATTCAATACGGCGATACGATATTTTTTTCCAATACGTATCGTATCGCTTTAGCGCGATACGCGTCCGTATCGCCCATCACTAGCTTGGAGGGATATTAGGCCTACCTACTTTTTTTCGGCCCAGACATAACAATGACAAACAAATTAACTAATTCCAACCCACTAGCCTAGGCCTAGGCCTAACTTAAGTCACAATAATTTTGTTAACTAAGTGTTTTGTAAATACTATTTTAGTATTGCATATTTATCATTGACTATTGAATAGTCAAAGATATTATATAAGTTATAGGAGGCCTAGCCTTTGTTACTTACATAAAAATATTAGATACAGACTTGCTCGGCCAAAACTTAGTAACTTATAGCAATAATATCAAGGTCAAGGTCCTGGTTATAAATTCTAACAAGTCACCACGACTGAATAAATTAGGCCTATTATTAGCCAATGAACAATGACTGTGAAAGAAAGCTCAACCAGTGACTCAACACTAGGCTTCACTCACTCTTATTTCACCAACAATTTAACAAAATAACAAAACAATTTATTAATCCTTGCGGCTTTGCCTGCCTAACACTTAAAGTAAAACACGAAAAAACACTAAAATGACAAAGACAAAAGTGACAGTTACTGCAGTGTCAGTGACGACGACACGATTTATTATTTTATAGTAGAAAATGAAATTACCGTCGAGCACATATTTATATTCCAAGGACATATTATATTTATATACCAAGGATTACGTTGGCAATTGGGTATTGTCATATAAGTATATATTTCTTTTGATTTTATTGTTATTGTTTCTTTAACGTTTAGTAAAATGGTGTTTGCAATATGAGTGACGTCAGGAGTATGACAGGAGTATCACACATATGTATTTTCCTTCCACCATGGGTGTCACCAGTGCCTGTATGTAAGCCATGTTATCTTATGGGATGGGACGTCTAGCGCTAACAACACCACTTGCAACGTTGCCAATTCTACCAGGCCGCGGCCTTCGAACTGGCAACGTCGCAAGTGGTGTTGTAACAGCTGTTTTTGTTTGGAAGTAGTTAATGGTATTTGTGTATTTACGAAAGATTGGTTACTGGACTATGACAATATTGACTCCGCTTAAAAATGTACAGATATAGATTTTAATTCATATTGTTTTGGTTTTCAATTCTGTACGTTAATTTTCAATATTTAATAAATTTATGTTCATAAATTTAAATTTAAATAAATATAGTGCGAATTAATGAGCTTATGTCACCTGTCTGCCATGTTATCTAATCGGACGTCTGTCACTGAACAACACCTACCAGCACTTGCGACGTTGCCAATTCTATCAGGCCGCGGCCTGTAGTTAAAGGCGGCCGTGGCCAGTGCCCTCGCCGTCGCCCTGCATTCGCATTTCATTCTATTTATTTATTTATTATTTCAACGGAAACACCATTTTTACATTCAAAATATACATTAAATAGGATTAATCACTATATAACAATAGCATAACTAGGTAAATAATATATGAGAAAGCATGCACGACGTGCAAAAATACATAACCAGTATAAAAATATATTTAAAAAAAACATTATATAGGCCGAGACACTTCAAGTAAGAAAAATTGCAAAATAGGTATAGGCTACCAAATACGTACAATAAATAGGAATGAAAGTGAAAAGCAGGCATAACTTAACATGCAAAAAAACATAACCAGCAAAAAATATAGTGCATAAATAACAACAGCAGATAAAATATGAAGTGCAAAAACATAGCAACAACAAAAAATTAACAATATGCAACCGAGACATAACAACAATTAGAAAAAAAGGAAAACAACAAGTGCAATACCGGTAGGCTAACGGCTAACAAAAGTATGGTTAGCCATATTAGTCCGGTTAGTCTATTCTCAATGTTGCCACTCCTAGGGATTTGTCTCGGATCTAGGGACATTTTCAACCTGAAAGGGACGTTCTAGGGAAAAAATAGTTTCTTGGGGTTCTAGGGACAAAAGGTTTTTGAGTATTTCTTGGAAACATTTCAGATATATCCTTGAAAATAATATTTCTTAGACAGTAAAGGTGTAATAGATTGTTTTGTAAGTTATTAATCATGGACACATTTATTTGTAATATGGTAAAACTCCTCCTTGAGGAGTATGTTTTATCATCTATGGTAAAACTCTGATATCCAACTCAATCGTATGGAACACAAAATGTACAAAACGGTTATAGCGAAACGACACCTAACTTATTAACGAAACAACACTTAATTTAGCGTGCATAAAAACCTAGCTTTATTACATTTATCCATTTGAACACATTGCTCTGACATAATGACTTGACTATTTATTTACTGACATAATCTATTGCATTTTATGTATTCATCAAATAAATCTATACAGCTTAACCAAACTCAAACTTCTATAAGTTATCCACCGATTGCTCATTGCAGCAATCCATAATTACGATGGAGTTGGATTGCGATTGACGGATAGAAGTTAGTTGTGCACAAGACTATCTGGATTGTTTAGCTGATTTTTTTACATAATATATTGGTTTTTCAGAAAATATTTTGAACCCTGATATCCAAGATCCAACATCCAGCTCTATCGTACTATCGATTGAGATTAGGTTTTGGTTAGTTTTATGTTTTGGTTATTGATTGAATCAATGCTATTATTGCGGGGGGGGGGCTGATATCAAAGTATAGATTTTATGAAGAGTTTGAAAACCAGTGAGCTATACCATGCTAAACGCTAGTTTTTCTTTACTAAATTAATTGCCTATTAATTGCCATAATTATCTAAGGACATCTAGGGATTTCTAGGGGCAAACATTCCTTGATCTAGGGACTTTTCACTCAGAGTTGGTGGCTGGCAAGTGGCAATGGCAATGCTGGCTATTGGCATTGGCAACACTGCTTGTCCCGTCCCGTTCGCTGCCCGTTCGCCATGTTGGATGTTGCGCGTCAGTGTCGTTAAGTTCTTAATTTATCGTTTTAGTAACGTTTAAGTTTGTTTTACGGGATTAAATTTATCTTTTGTTTGTGTGATGATAATCACAATTGATGCACGGGATTTCTGATAGTGAAAAGAAAAGGATTACTGTAAAAATTCGCAATATGAAAAGGAGCCCCAGCCGTGATACACCGCCATTGAGAAGCAAGAGATCTCGTTCGAGCATCGGAAGATACGATGATAGTTCTGATGAGCGAATAACACCGGAAAGAATTCGACGACGAAGTCGTGGCCGTTCACCTCCAAGCCCTAGAAGATATACGTCAGATTCTCATCGAGACGAGTATGCTCGCTCAAGGGATGTGGAAAGGTCCTATCACAGTTATAAGGTTTTGTGTGTCAGTGCCTTACATCCCAAAGCTAGCGATGAGCTTATTAAGGATACTCTGTACCGGGAATATAAAAAGTTTGGTGATTTAAGCATAAGGATATCTCATGACTTAGATGAACGTGTTGCTTATGTTTGTTTTCGGAGTTCTGATGATGCAAGAGATGCCAAACACAGCAAGCCTAGGATAATTCTTTTTGACAAGGTCGCTTTGGTTGAACCTGTGTATGAAAGTAGTCGCAGTTCGAGTGATATCTATCGAAGTCGTAGTAGGCCTAGATCAAGGAGTTTATCTCCAGATTATGACCGTTACTATCATCGCTCTCCTGGACCAGACAGACACCGCCCCCCTCCTGACCGAAGCTATGAAAGATTGTATGGACCGCCACCAGTCTTGCCACACAGGGATTTCAGAAGAGAAGGACCGCCTCTACCACACCATGACTTTATTAGAGGACCCCCTGTCCATCATGGACCTCCTCCACATATGCCACCAGGACCTCCTCATCATTACGGCCCTCCTCGTCACATGGTACATGGATTCAAACCCCCGCCTCCACACTTTGAGAAGACTGAAAACAAAAAAGATAAATTCCCTAATTATCTTCATCATGTCCCCCCAGAAGATGATCCTTTAGCGACTAGGACTTTATTCGCTGGTAATCTCGAGATTAATATATCTGAAGAAGAACTAAGAAGAATATTTGGACGATATGGCGTTGTTGAGGATATTGACATCAAAAGACCACTCCCCGGAACAGGTAATGCATACGCTTTTGTACGTTACCAGAATCTTGATATGGCCCATCGCTCCAAAGTAGAACTCTCTGGTCAGTATATAGGAAAGTTTCAATGTAAAATTGGTTATGGAAAAGCGACTCCCACTACTCGAATTTGGGTTGGTGGTCTTGGACCTTGGACTTCTTTATCTCAACTAGAGAGAGAGTTTGATAGATTTGGTGCAATCAAGAAAATAGACTATATTAAAGGAGAGACCTGTGCTTATATTTTGTATGATTCCATCGACGCTGCTCAAGCTGCTGTTAAAGAAATGAGAGGATTCCCACTAGGTGGCCCAGATCGCAAGTTAAGGGTCGATTTTGCTGATGTTAACCCACCTTATCCCTACAAACCTAGACCTTTCCCTGATGACATGGCTGGTGGTGATTTTAGAGTTAGAGTTCCAGGAAGAGAAGACTTTCCTTATGAGCCACCTTACGGTGAACCTTGGCCTGAAGGAGAGTTCGGAATGGCAAGGGGATTTCGTGGTCGAGGAGGTGGACCTTGGCAAGATAGGCGTGGTGGTGGTCGAGGTGGTTATAGAGGATCAGGATATCCTGGAGAAGGGTTTAGTAAAGATGACCCTGATTGGCCTGGTGGACGCAGACCAGATGGTGAATATGATGGGAGGTCATTCAAACGTGGATCTGGTGAGCCTGGAAATCGTTCTACTTCACGTTCTCCACGTCGTCATTCTGTGGAAAGCGACTCTGGATCAGAGGGACGCCCAAATGGTGTTTTAGGCTCAGCTAGAACTTTGCCGGAATTGGCCCGAAAGTGTATTGCCATGTGGCAAGGTGCACTTATTCTGAAGAACTCGCTGTTTCCTGCCAAATTTCATCTGACGGATGGAGACACAGAAATTGTTGACAGCCTAATGAAAGATGAAGAAGGAAAGCATTTGCTTCGCATAACACAACGGCTCAGACTTGACCCTCCAAAATTAGAAGATGTATCAAAACGCATTGCAACCTCCAGCTCTCACGCCATATTTCTGGGACTTTCAGGTTCATCTGCTTCGGTTTCCACTGAAGATACATCAGTTCAAACTAGGCCCCTCAGGAATCTTGTTTCTTACCTAAAGCAGAAAGAAGCTGCTGGGGTAATATCATTGGTCAATAAAGATACTGAAACGACTGGTGTTTTGTATGCATTTCCACCATGTGCATTTTCCACGGAACTGCTAAAGAGAACTGCCCACAACCTGTCTGATGAGGGTTTGAAAGAAGATCATCTGGTTATAGTGGTGGTTCGAGGCGGCACTGCTTAAACCTTGGAATCAGTAGGCCTACGAGTATGAATTACATTATGATACCTACTTAGTAAGTCATTTAGGCCTAGGCCGTAACTCGTTTATTTTCATAGGTTAGAGGGTAGAGTTTGATTGGCTACATAGTATATATAATCACTCAAACTTAAACCTTTGTTTTTAAATGATAATAAAAATTTGGTACTTTCCTGTTAAAGGGAACATTCATTATTATCAATGATTTTTTCTCGATATATCGATATCAACAAATTGAAACATATCAGCTGACAACTACGATAAATATTGTTCAGTATCAACAAACGATAATAAATTAGAACTGTTCTAGAAAAATAACCTAACATAACCAAACTTGCTGTGTAACATTTAAAAATTCCGTGTTTAACTTGCCTTTTCTGTTATCAAAAGGAATTTTTAAATAGTACAACAAGTTTGGTTGGTTATGTTAGGTTAGCCTGGAACAGTTTCATTTATTAATCCATATAATAGTCTATTTTAGCCTAAACAAGATCAGTTGTCAATTTGTAATGGATCGGAAAACAAAAATATCCATATATCGAAAAAAATCATTGATAGCCTAATAATGAATAACTCCCTTTAACAGGAAAGTACCAAAAGTTTTGCCATTTATGAAACTGATCAAAGTGAGTCAAATATTGGATCAAAGTTGCCTAAATTAAATCTTTGAAAAAGTAATAACTTAATGAGAAGTAAACTAATTTTACTTTCTGTTTAGGCTACTCCTTCCAGCACCAAGATTTATAAATGTTGACTTGCTCTTTATTTTATCAAAGTGCTTTTAACCAAAATATGGGTTTAGGCTACAAAATTAAGGTTGGTTTTCCAATGCTATAGCCTAACTTACCCCACAGTTAAGACATATCAGCAAAGGCCTAAACTTATTTAATTTAGCCTACCTCCACCTTTAAAAAAAAGTTAAGTTACTCAACTTCATTAAATAAGTTACAGTAACAAAGTTATTGAAGTCTATTTGTATTTTTAAATTAGAACCAGTTGTGGAAATAAGTTTTGAATTTCCTATCACCATTGAATTACAATAATTATTTAAAAACTGGAGATTGAACATCACCTTGTAGCCTAAACGCACCATTGTAAAGAAAAATGTTTAAAATAATTCATGGTGCTTTCCCATTTTAAAACAGTCCTTCACTGCAGAGGATAATAATAGGCCCCTAACTTAATGTTATCTACCGGAGTTACTTTCGAATGTCAACAAGATAATTATTTACCTATTTGATAATGTTAATGAATTGTTTCAGAGCTACCATATCGGTTTTGTGAAGTCGGGGGCGATTCCTTGTGGACTACCAAGTGGTGAAGTTATTGTGACCAGTTTATGAAGCTTTTGTCGGTGTTTCATCTGTGTTTGTGCGCAATGGACTAATATCATTATCAACGCTAAGTGTTTAAACATTTTGATCAAACGATTGTTTAGATCTTTGATGTTTGACGGTCAGGTGTAAAGAAATTGATTTTACTGTAAATTATTGTGACAATGCTTGTTTACGTTTTGTTCAGTTTTCTTATATTTTCAAGAATAATATATTATTGATTATAAACTAATATCTAGGTATAAGTAGGAATTCAATCTCTCTTTTTTGACATTTTTTTTGTTGTTCGAAACATTTAATTTAAATCATGTGTTAAGTGATTTACTCAAAGTTTTATCTATTTACAAGTTAATTAATTTTTCCTGTAGACCAGCTGTTAAAAGTGCAGTGTGATGTGTATTTTATTAGTGTGTAGGAAGTTGTCAAATAGAGTTTGGTTCTAAACTATTTTGTACGTTTGTCATACCCTTTGTTCACAAGATCAGTGTTTTTGTGCTCGCAAAGTGCTCTAAAATCCGGTTACGATTGCCTCTTGAATCTCATTCAAAAACCATAAGCGTTACCGTATAGTGAGCGTGTACAAGTGACTAAGAACATTTTCAAAATTTTAATGTGAGTGTGGGTAACTTTAAAGTAAAAAAAAAATAAAGGTGATAAAAGTATTTGATATTACTTGATATATAATTTGATCGAGTTATGTGCCATGTGCCTCGAAGCAGTGTGTTTTAATGTTTCTCAACTGTTTGGCCTAACTTGGTATTTTGCGAAAATACTTGTCCTGCATTATTTTCACTGCTAATTTGAGTTAATCTCAATTGGAATTTCTGTCTTTATGTGTGGTGATGATGAAATTATATTGATGAAGTGCTGTGGGTGATAGGTGTAGAACTAAAAGAAACATATCTTTGGTTCGCAACATGGTTTAGTGAAATTTTTAATTAAGTGTGTTTCTTGTGCCGACAATGCAGGCTTCAAAGTGTTTGGTGAGTAAAGTAACAAATCTAAATGCATAAGTAAATTAGATAGTTTAGCCTCTACCCAGTTAATGAATTTTATATAGGCTAATTCATAAACTTAGTCACTAGGAAGACTACAACATCGTGTTACTCATCCTTCACTTACATTTGGGTTTAAATACGCACATAGTGGCATCGCAATCATAAATAATTGTTAAAAGTTAAATTGGGAGTTAAAAAAAACATGCTTTTAAAAATTTTGATCACTTGATTTAACTTTAAAATTGCCCAACTTGAATTTTTAAGGGTAGACATTCAGAAGTGGGGCCAAAAACGCCTAAAATGAAAATATCATAATAATTATTCAATTAATATCGAATATTTCATTCGGTTAGTTAAGTTTAGGTTAACCTAAATAGCCAAACTTGATATATCGAATGTAATAATCAATATATATATACAATCGGTTGTTTTTGGCCCTCTAATGATCAACGCATTTCTAATTACATTTTCTGCTAGTACCAATTTTATCCAAGCAGTGAACTCCGATTCATCAGGTGCTGCTGCAGTTGGGTTAACTTAGGTCAGGTTTATACTGAAGAATTTTCATAAGGGTATACTTCCATATCTGTTGGCACAAACAATCGAATCAGTAATATTGATTATTTGATTTTTAATTTGATAATCATTTGGTTAGTTAGGTTTGGTTAACCTTACCTAACTAACCAAACGATATATCGAATAATCGATATATTTATCGATATTTTCATTCGGTTGTTTGTGCCAACAGATATGGAAGTGTACCCTTTTCATAAAGATAACATCATGTCAATTCTCCTTTTCCAACAATTTTGTTATTAGGATAAGTTTTTATGTATTATTGGGATAACTTTTTATGTATTTTTAGGGGACATTCTACAGTATACGTTTGTGTACGTGACACTTCTTTGATGTGATAATCACGGCTGCACTTTACTTGACGTCCTACACTCATTTGATTGTTTTTTTCGATTCGATATTTTCATTCGATTGCTTCATTCGATATATCGTTTGGTTAGTTAGGTAAGGTTAACCTAACTAACCAAACGATATATCGAATGAAGCAATCGATATATCGATCGATATTTTCATTCGAATGAGTGTAGGACGTCAAGTAAAGTGCAGCCATAATCACGGTGAAGAGTAAATAATTTTAATGTTGGTTTCAACACAATACATAACTTAGGCCTACACAAAAAAGGATAATTTTACCTTATTACCGTATACCTATTCATCTTTTACACAAAAGGAATTAATGGCGTCAGACTTTCAAATTAAAAAATATACATTTATTTATTCTAACAGACATAAATACAGAACATATATTAACAACATAGGCATGTGGATAGGCAGATCAGTCAGAAAGTTCTGGAAAATTGTCTTTAAAAAATTCTTATTAGGCCTAAATACAATGACCAGCTTACAAATGATTAAGTTACAGATAGCAGTAATAATAAATAACAGAATAATTTGAGATTTCTACAATGCAAGTACCTAATACAAATAAATAAAAAAAATGTCAAACAATTTCTCCTCAAGTAAACCTACAATATTAGGCTACCTTACAGTACGGTAGCCTAAGAGATTTAAATGTTTGGAAAACTTGCTTGGAATGGGTTTAACTGTTATTCCAATTAATTGAGGTTATCAATTTGTTTAACTATAGGCCTAAACACTGAGAGCAATGGCAGCTGTTGTCTATTTTGAAGATGCCTAGTAAAAACATTAAATTGTAAAATTTAGGCGGTTTGAGTGGAAGTTCCCTCACAACTTTTTTTACTCGTATAATATGTTGCATCTGATCACCACTTTGGTAAATATTTCTGCTGTTGAGCTATTGTGTTAAGGTTAATCAAGGGAAGGGGATAGATTTCTTCCTCTAAAACTGCCTATATTTTGTGAACATAGAAAAGGATTTTACACCTGTTCAGTACACTATCGCTGAACACATTCGCAACATGGACGCTGACGTCGAAGACTATTCTAGGCAATTCTAGAGTTGGTGCTAGACCACTTGAATATCATCCTCTGTTTCTTACCTTTTCTAAGCTTTATAACTTTAAATTAACCCCCCGAGTGTCATGCGTCGCTGCAGCGACGCGTTACACACTTTGTGTAGTGTCATGCGTCGCTGCAGCGACTCACGAACACTGATTACGGCGAAGGCTCTATGACTGACAAAATCGGATTGAACTGGATCGAGTTAGGTATCGTTCTTTTCATTAGATTCTAAGCTTTCTCCAGAGGTCTATCTCTAAGCGCTTTATGTTCTCCGAGCCGATCGTAATTGTAGCAGACAGCTGACGTGCGTATTTGTAAACAGGTTAGTTAACCTCGGACCTATGACTGATGTGTTTTATTATGTTTATCATTGTTTTAGTGTTAAAAATCAAAAGTAGTGATATACTTGGTGCATTATAAGAAGATTTAAGTGATTTTGAAGGGCTGGTTGATGATCCTGAAGAAGTAGGTAGTGATATTAATGTAAATTATCAGCCAGATTCCTAGCTATGGTTAGGCTATGCATTCTTAGCTAAACGCTATGTACTGAAATCTGTTTTTTGCCCATAACTTATTTATTTGCAAATCTACTTCCTTATATTATTATATATTTGTAATCCTGTAATTAAGCGCAAACTTATTTTTTTTGAAAATTTTCCAAAATATTTATTTTTTTTACTTAAAAATTTTTTTTAAACAAATGTTCCTTATGTTTTATATATAATATTGAAGCCCATGATTTTCCAAAAATGGTATATAGAACAGTATAATTAACATTGTTTTTAAGCTTCTCAGATCCGTTTTAATAAAACCTTGCAAATGAGCTAAAATTAGGCAGACATTAAGGCCAAAACAAGGGACACTTGGAGGGTTAAATAAAAGCCGGTATTTCACTGAAGGGTCTTGACCAAAATATATAGGATTGTAAATTATAACTGGTGAAATACATCTTAAGTTAAAGTTAGAATTCGAAAATAAATCAAATTTATATTTTTTGGTCAAATAATACAGTACCTACAAATAATACACGGTAGTTAAACATGCCGATACTTGATGTGAAATCTTTGCGTGCATACAAAAAATGTATGCATGAAAATGGATCAGGCCAAACGAACCCGGAAAATAAAAATAATTTTTAACTCCCATAAGAAGTATATGGGGAGCAAATTTCTTTTACGTATAAGCCGTGTGGGACTGTAGATAAATGTATGCTGATGCTTGATGGGAAATCTGTGCATGCATACCTTCAATTTGAGACCTCAATCATGAAAATCGGTCGGGTAGAAGAGCCAAACAAACTCGGAAAAGAAAAACCAAATTTTACTCCCATAAGAAATACATGGGGCGCGAATTTCGTTTACGTATAATCCGAGTGAGACTGTAGATATATATATATTATGCCGATGCTTGATGTGAAATCTGTGAGTGAAACCCTCAATTTAAGACCTCAATCATGAAAATCGGTTGGGTAGAAGAGCTAAACGAACTCGGAAAAGAAAACCCAAATTGTTTTAATCATATACTAATCCACAAACCAATTCATCGCTAATACGAGTATAGGGGTTACTTAAAATACTACGTAAGGTTTCCCCAAGTAAGCCTAGAACAAGCCTCCAAACTCAACTTCAACTGTTAATTTAGTTGGATGCAAACATAGCAAACATGTTTGTTTTATTATTCAAAATGGAACTGTCAATAAACGACCAAACAAAATGTTAAGGCTATAAAGTATACGTTTCAGGCTAGTGTCGTCATTTGATTATTATTTATGATCTATACCGTTTCTGTTCTAATATCCGTGGAATAATGCTGTCAGCTATTTCTTAATCTACTTAATTCATAAGTCACCAGCTGATCTTATGCCTGCTTTGTTTATGTGTCAAATACTGCATCCATAAGGATAACATTAAAACTTTGAGGGCCCGTGGGGCGGATACCTAAGAGATTTGTTTGACGCCATATAGATGTTGGCACTCACCGATATGGTATTTATCACCATTCAAAATTTGAAAACAATTGCTTCAGCCGTCTAGGAGGAGTTTGCGTATTCGAGGAAATGCATAAGAGTCTTCGCTCGCTCCGCTCAATAATCAGCTGGTGTCCAAAATAGTATATTACGTTACTAGTCCTGAAAAAGGGGTTTAGCGGGTGAACGTGGTCGTTCCCGTGTGAGACGAAGTCGAGTGCGGGAGTACCTATCATACGAGTCCAGTTAACACATTTTGTACGATTGGCGTGTACGATATTTTACGTCATACTACTCTAAGCTAACTTAACAATAAATATCTAGGTACAAATCCTTATTCCCACCGACTAAAGGACTAACAATCACTACTCATGAAAGAGGTTATATTTTTTGTTTATAACCACTCACAGCCAAATATAATCAGCTGGTTGGTATCCGGTAAATACTCATTACAGTACAGTAGTAATGAAACCCCATTTGATTAAGCTGGCAGCAAACAGCTGTTTTCTGGACTAAATCCTTGTGTGGGAAGTTCGTTAAAGCAGTGTAGTGAAGCGTAAAATTCATTACCTTAAAGTAGCAAGTAATGAAATCCCATTTGATTAAACAAGTGGCAAACAGAACCTGAGCAGATGCTTGCGTGGAAAGTCCATTAAAACAGTGGTGAAAAGAGTATTCCTAAGGCCCGTTCTACACGAGCGTGAAACCTGCAACGGGATTCCTGCATGAACGCACCAAATCTTTGTGCAAACTACAGATGGCGGGATCCCCGTCGCTATAAATGGAAGGGCTATATCATAGACTAACCAACACAAGTAAACTTCTCATATCATTGTAAATTTTGAAGCTTGTTTTTCATGTCTAGTTTATGATGGTGACACTGGGCGCTGGTAACGACCTAATTTTGTTTCTATTATTTCAAAATTTGTAGAAACTAATTTCAATTTCTGTCTACAAGATATTTTATTTCTGTATAAATTTAATTTTATCTTTAAAATTGAAATCTTGCTACACATTGCAGTCTGCTGTAGAACAAAGAACTCTCCTTAAAGAATAATATAACGTAACAATTTTACAAGTTTTCCCAAATTATGATTATTATTATTATAAAGGTGGTTTATTATAATATTGATTGAAAATTTTATGACTGAGATATTTAATAACACTTGATTTACCAAATTGAATTTCTTCCAAAATTGTTGGACTAAAGTCTGAATCACTTACTTATTAAAATTTGTGATTCAGAACAAGTTTCAAATTGGATTTAAAAATTTCAAAAACAAACAGCACAATTAAGGATTTTGGTAGATAGGTTTAACTTTGGCTTACTGACAAGAATAGATGAAATGCAGAAACAAACACAGCATTTTCTGAGATACTAGCTCCTTCTTCAGTCGTAGAGGCTTTCTTACGATTCTTTCTTGATGTCTTATGAAAGACTCTACCACTGAACAAAGAGCTAGTAGCTCTTAACAGTTTTGTTTTTTTTTTGTGTATTTTCATCATTGTCTGCTGCCAAACCTATCCATCACAAAATCCTTAAAACCCCTAACCTGAAAGCACACTTTAATCATCTATTCAGAATGGTAGTATTCAGAATGTTTACCAACAAAAACTAAATAAATAAGATTCTAACACCATATGTTGTCAAACACATATGACTAACAACACAGTAACAATACAATCATCAGGGAAATCCAGGTAATCAACGCAGGGTTTGGAAAAAAGCTTTTCATAAAACATTTATTGTTCATCAATATTAATTAACAAAAGGTCTGGTATATATTTACTTGGCGTGTTAAAAACTAACCATTTGAAACAACATAGGTGTGTTGTATGGTTCCACATCTCATCTGTATGATCTTTGCGTGACTGGAAGGCTGCGGAAGTCTCTCTTTGCAAAGCGGGCTGTAGATCCGGCCGAAGTGTGAGCCAAGTAAGGTACATGACCTGTCACAAGCTCTCCTTGATTGTAGTACAGAGAGTCAGGTAATCCTATGTTACCCTTCACCAAACAATTCACACCACTAAGTTCTGAAGGAGGTAGAGGAGTTATCAGGAACAATGTATTGTTCTGCCAATCTACTGCCCGAACAATACCTGAAAGAGATTGAAACTGTTATTTTAATACCTGAATAATTTATCCACAATTTAAATCGTGACTTTAAACAACATCAACAAGCTACTTTGACTCTATAGAACTACAGTAGACATCCTATTCCTGTTTATGCTGTAGCATTATCAATCCACAGACGCTGATGCTGACAAACCGAGACACTGAAACAAAAACTATAACCATAGCCTAAACTAACAATAATAGGCTAGAATTTTAATCCCACAGTAAAAATCTGAATTTTGACACAGGAATCAGAATTTTGAATTTTGTATCTATAAATACAAGGTTGGGAACACAATGCAAAGCAACATTTACTCTTAAAATAAAATATAATAAATAAACGGTATCAGCAATCTGACACATACTCTCTCCCATTAGCATGTCAAAAGTTGCAATAACCTTTGAACCCTGATTGTTTCAGCAATGCGATTGCACTAAGTTTTTTTACAACTATAAGGACCATAACACATTAGGTATTTGTAATCAAAACCAGCTTATTTACTCAAATCTGATTTTTTAAGGGAATTTCTCTTCAGGGAAGTAGCTATTACTGTAGGTAAGACCTAGAACTGGGACCGATTTTCATTTTGATGTCCTTAGAGGCCAAAAACACTATTCCTTCAAATTTATATATATATATATATATATGCAGGATAAATTTGAATGATTTCACGAACCAGCATGATCAGACTTTTCCAGCAGCATCAGCATGATGCCTATGTGCTTACGCCCCTTTGGCTTGCAAGCATTGAACTATATAATTTTTACCCCACATCAAATGGCATGGTAAAAATAGTAAGGGAAAACATTAAATATTGTCTCCATGAGTGTCTACAGTATGTTCAGCTGGTCCATATGGAGGAGATGCAGTATTATGTTGTAAATGCTAATAGCAAAATTCACTACCTACAATACCAACAAGCTAAAATTAGAGAGCAAAACTCCAAAATACTTGCAAAACTTTGCAGGAGGGGGTGCCCTCCTGAGAAAACACTAATTAAAAACATTAATTAAGCTTAGTAGGGCTTTATATAGCTAAATGTTTTTAAAATTAATATGCCTAGTTTGTATTATAATCATTGATAAAGTACTTAACACACTAACAAAAACCAACTGGGAGGGCCTATTTCCTTACCCCTGTAACAAGATACAGTTTGATTTCTAAATATGAAACTCATGACAAAATGCATGCACACAAGGAAAATTATTCTTGACTAAACTACTGGAATATTGCAAAAGAAATGTTTCAGTAAAGAATTTAATTACTTGATTAATAAAAATGTAAAGCTTCCCTAGAGACATTGACTTTGGCTGAATCTATCTTCTTGCAGACCAAGTTGTTACAGCTTCAATATTAACATAATAAACAGCCCAGCCTTTGGACTGGTGTTCAGACAACACTATAACAATACTATAGATTCATAGAACTAGTGATGGTAAGTGTGTGAGGTGCCATGTGTTTTGAGATAAGCCTTTATTTTACACGGTAACTTCCCCCTCTATCCATTGTAAGTGTGAGTTACAATTAATGATAAATCAACTTACCAAATCCTCGGCAATCAAGAAACTTGTTAGAAGGCGTTTCGAGGCATAACGCCACCATGTTTCCATTCATTGTAGCAGCTACTTGACTCTTGGTTAAATTGTACTCGTTTATTGTTAGCAATTTTAGTTTGTCCATGTTAATCCTGAAACATACAAAGTATGTATTAACTTCTTAGAAATCTACCACAAACTGAGAAAAATTTTATTGTTACATAAAAATACTTAGTAAACTTTTTACTAAAAATGATAACTAATTTTGGTGGCATAGTGGTCAACAGTTCTGATGAGTAGCAGCACTAAATATTCAAAGAAATCTGAAATTCCGGCACAGTAGGCCTGATCTCTTTCACAGTTTCCCTAATCGGGAGGATTTGAAAAAAAAAACCTATAAATAGACCACTCTTGACTATTTACCCAAATTGGTTACGGAAAGTAAATAAAAGAAACACCTTATAACACTTAAACATACATTTACACCTATACTGTTACTTACAAGACGGTAAATGTACACAAAAGATGGTAAGTGGTGATCGATTTCGATTGGACACTCCAAGCATCATCAGATCCAATAGGCGAATGACAAGAATTTTGAATGGCGTCCCTACTTATATCCTATCGGCTACCGGAAGCACCGGCCAATACATTTTTATAAGTACAACTGGAGTCGAAATTTACTTGTTCATTTCATTTCATTCATTTCGACTCCGGTTGTACTTATAAAAATGTATTGGCCAGTGCTTTCTGTAGCCAATAGGATATAAATAGGGGACAACATTCAAGATTCTTGTCATTCGCCTATATTGGGTCTGATGATGATTGGAGTGTCCAATCAAAATCGATCACCACTTACCATCTTTTTTGTATATTTACCGTCTTGTGAGCAACAGTATAAGCGTAAATATTATGTTTTAAGTGTTATCTGTAAATTTATAACACGTACAATGCTGATCAAGAAGTTACCAAATTGGTTCTTATGTGGGGTAAAGACTTGTGAGTTACTTACATATATGGTGTGACTTGAGATAGACTAGAAGTATTTGAGTTCAACATTCTACTCATGTAAGAAAGAATAACCAGGTTCCTTGATTCAGCAGGGCTCATACCTCTGAAAACATAATTAGGTCCAATGGTAGTTTAATATTTACAGTATACATTTACAGTCTACACGGTGGGTCAGCACCTGGCTACGATGGTATCTCAGCCGAAGTCCTGAAAGCCAATTTTCATTTGTTTAAAAAACCACTCTTACATATAGTAAATTTAAGCATTTCATCCGGTAGATTTCCTGAATGTTTGAAACTTGCCAAAGTTTTTCCTCTTTATAAATCAAATGAATTTGCCAATATGAATAATTACAGACCAATATCTATTTTGAGTGTATTTGCTAAGTTAATTGAGAGAATAGTAAAAGATCAATTAGTTACATTTCTTCAAGCAAACATTTTGAGTGATTGTCAGTATGGGTTTCGCTTGGACAAAAACATTTCAGATGCACTTTTTGACATTAATAGGGTCTTAAATTCGGCAATTTCAGATAATGAACATCCGATATTAATATTTTTAGATCTTAAAAAGGCATTTGATTCAGTTGATCGATCTAAGCTTTTTTCCAAATTAGAAGCAGTTGGCGTAAGGGGTAACGCTCTTCAATGGTTTAAAAGTTATCTGTCTCAAAGATCTCAACTTGTATCAATTCTTAACACCAACAGTAATATTGAACATGTTAACTATGGTGTGGTTCAAGGCAGTACACTTGGGCCTGTTTTATTTTTAATATATATAAATAATATTTCAAAACTTAATATTTTTGGTAAACTTTTCTTATTTGCTGATGACACTTTAATTTTGAACAGCGGAAAAACTTGGCCTGAGGCTCGCAACAAAGCTTTGCACGACCTAATGGAAACCAAGTTGTGGTTAAACCAGTAGCGGCTAGCCCATAAGGACTCTCGGACGCCGCCCTCCCAACAATACAGAAATCAATATTTTTTTTATTTATGTAATAAAAAAATAATATGTCGTAATTAAAATTAAATTACAATTACTTACGACTACTTAATCAATATGATAATAATATGAAATGAAATAGTTTTAAATTTTGAATCCAGTAATGACTGTTTTGCGATAGTCGCTTTCATAATGTGGATTGCGGACGGCGGCAACCTCCGTCCCAAACTCAATGCATGTAGTCTTATGGTAGAAACACCTAACAGCGCTGAGGGTGCCGTGACGTCATTCCAATGCTTTACAATAGGGACTCTGGGGCAGAGTCCAAAGCTGCGCGCGCATCCATAAATCAGGGCAGCCACCCTAAACTGGATAATTCTGCATCACACACGATTAGGATAGGAAGAACCATGTTGGCAGCGCTGGAGCCATCATCCACACTGTCACTACCATAAACATTAACTAACCTCACTTCTTTCCATGTCCATGACCACAGTTCAGTTATAGTTTAGTGCCAAACGACCTGTTGTTTTGTGATCAATAGTGTTTAGTGATAGTGATGGAGGCGTAAGGAAGGCAGCGGTAGTTTGTTGAAGATTGAAAGAGCTAAGTAGAAATTATTAATAGTTATACTTAATTGATTGAGTTAGTTAGTTGGTATCTTTGAGTCAATAAGTTACGTCTGTAGTTTTAGTATAGGCTAACCTAATCAACCCGAAAACTAAGTAAACTAACCATAGGTAAAGTGACTCGGACAATTTTAGTTATAGTTACTTATTATTAGTCTTAATAAGTTATTACGGGTAAATTTGCCGTGGGTTGAAGGCCTAAATCTAAATAATAATGGACGGCGGCATTTCGTTGTCGTCGACGGCTAACGTCACTAACGAAGTTAGCCTGATTATCAATGAAGGGATCAAAAATATTGACCACAGAATTTCTTTGAAAAAATTAGGACCTCCTAGACCTTTCATGAACATAAACCAAATTCAAAACAGTTCAAAGAATAAGAATAGCTTCACACGAAAATTTTCGCCACATATGTACAATCATGCAGATTGGCTATGTGGTTGTTCAATTAAAAATTCATTTTTCTGCTACACTTGTTTGGTCATGGGGGTTCAAGATAGAGCATGGACTGTAGACGGCATTTCAGACCTTAAACATCTACTGGAAAAAGTAAAAAAACACAAAACAAGTGAAAAACACATAAATGCGTCAATAGAATATGCTGTTTTAGGTAAAGTTGATATTAGATGCCAATTGGACAATGCATATAGGTTAAAAATACAAAAACAAAATGAAGATGTTTCGAAAAATCGATACATTCTAAGTAAGCTAATTGATGCAATTAAATTTTGTGGAGCGTTTGAATTAGCATTACGAGGACATGATGAACGCGAAAATTCAAAAAATCCTGGCATATTTCGTGGTTTGGTTAACCTTATGGCGGAGCTGGATGTAACATTGCAACAGCACATAAATCAAACAAATAACCGAGTGTTTTTGGGTCTGTTTAAAACCATACAGAACGAGTTATTGGACTCAATATATTACGTTTGTCTGCAAATGATTCGTGACGAATTGACACAAACCGACTATGTTGCTATTGAAGCCGACGAAACAACAGACTGTGCCACTTTATCTCAACTAGTATTTGTTATTAGGTACGAGCTGAATGGCACGATTCACGAGCGATTTATCACTTTTATTAGACCAAAAGGCCATGATGCAGAATCAGTTAGCGAAACAATTTTTGAAGTATTAGAGCAATTAAACCTCGACAAAACTCCTGATAAAGTCATTGCCCAGAGCTACGATGGGGCTTCCGTAATGAGTGGCCAACACACGGGAGTACAAGCGCGTGTAAAATCTAAATATAAGAATGCAAATTTTGTCCACTGTTACGCACATCAATTAAACTTAATCATTGAACGCAGTGCTACACAAAATAAGCAGGTTAAGATATTCTTCAGTAATATCGAGGGGTTTTCATCATTCTTTTCCCAGTCAACAAAGAGAACTGCAGTTCTCGATGAGATAGTAAAACGTCGTATTCCAAAAAGCTCAGGTACTCGGTGGAATTTTAAATCCAGAATTGTAAGCACAATTTTTAATTATCAAAGAGAGTTGGAGGAATGTTTAAGTTACATACTCGACGATGACACCAATGACTATGCCACAATAAATAAAGCTGTTGGCCTAAGAAGTATTCTAAAAGACGAAGACTTTATTTTCTGGCTGGACTTTTTCAATCAAATACTGCCCCACAGTGACATTCTGTACAACCAACTGCAGCAAACAACAATTGATTGCGTCAAGGCGTTTAAGTTTGTCGGCGATTTCAAAACTGGTAGATCGCGTAAGAAACTCGACGATGTTAGATCAACCGAGAGATAGTGAACCCGAATCGAGCAAAAAGCGGAGAAGACACGACGATCAAAAACGCGTCGTCGCAAAGGAAGTGTGTGACATAATTACGTCGGGAATTGATGACCGTTTTACGTTTGTAAATCATTTGTCCGCGGCAAAACTGTTTCAGCCAAGTTTGTTTGGGGAGTTTAAAACCAAGTTTCCCGAAAAAGAGTTACACGCTGCTGCGGAACTATTTAGCCTAAATAAAACTGAATTGAAACAGGAGTTAAATGTTATTTACAATAGGGATGATTTTTCAACGGCCACAGGGTCATTAAGACTACTCAACTTTGTCTATGACAACAACCTCAAAGATGTGCTTCCAGAGTCAATCAAACTTTTAAAAATCATAAGCACAATACCTATGACTACTTCGGAAAGTGAACGTTGTTTCTCTACTTTGAAACGAATTAAAACATTTACCAGGAGTACCATGAAACAAGACAGACTAAGTGCGCTTGCTATGTGTTCTATCGAAAAAAAGCTGTTGTCAACTTCAAACTTCAACGAAAAAGTAATAGATCACTTCGCCGGGCAGAAAGAAAGAAGGATGGATTTCACATTCAAACAGTACAATTAAAGTTAGGCCTTACCCTCATGGTTTGGTTTTCTATTCGTTATTGCCGTGGGTGTTTAAATTATACAATTCAATCAATGTCAGGCCTTACCGTTTGGTTATCTGCTCATTATTGCCGTGGATTTTTTACTATTAAATTATCAATTGTTAGTTATATTTTCAATACAGTGTAGTCCCGTTTTACAAGGCCGTAGGCAGGGAGGGGGGTTAGAGGGTCAAACCCCTCCCCCAAAATTCCGAAATTGAGCAGTACAAATTAAAACTAGGTTTAAAAAGTTGAATTATGAAATAGAAACCACAATAGAGGATTAATTGTTATGTTTTGCAATATCTATTCATATTTAATATAGGCCTAGTTCTATTAGGATAATAAATCTGATCTATTAAATAAATTGGTAAAAACTATTTAAAAAATATACTTTACTTTACTCTACTTATGTCTATTTGCTCATGCATGACAAACAACAGGTGAAATGGGAGTTTTTGGACTATTATTGGACACAGTTTTAGGCGTTAAAATTGCTTCAGAAAGTCACCAAACGGCTTTAAAAATTTAAAAATTTTTCCGGGGGAGGACCCCCGGACCCCCCTCTTCTGTTGGGGGGTGCTCCACACCCCCCAAACCCCCCGGAGCCCCCCCCTAGACTAGGTCCTAGAGCCGCCACTGGGTTAAACCAGAATATACTCTCTTTAAATTTATCAAAAACTAAGTTTATGCCAATTTCTTTAAGTTTAAAATCTGATTACAATCTAGAAAATCTTGTTATTCACACCTGTGGTGATTACCTCGACGCCAACTGTACATGCGAATCTATTGAAAAAGTAGAGTCATTCAAATATTTAGGAGTGGTCTTTGATTACCGTCTTAAGTGGTCTAGTCATATTCAATATTTAAATAGCAAAACTAGAAAATATATCTATGCTATCGGTCAGCTGAATCAGATTCTAAATGAAAGTGAAATGAAATTAATGTACTATGCTTTTGTTCAATCACTTTTATCCTTCGGAATCATAAGCTGTGGGGGGGTTGTTCTGAAAGTATTTTAGAGCCATTAAACATAACACAAAAGTTAATATTAAAAATTGGTTTTGGGAAGTGCAAGCGTTACCCATCTGACACTCTCTTTAAGGATGTGTCAGTTTTAACGATCAGACTACTTTTCATAAAAAACGTTCTAAGTCATATTTTTAAAAATTATAACAACATTTTCTCCATAATTTCCCATACACATAATACTAGATATTCTACCCGAATTGGAATTTCATCACTACAACTATACAAATCATTTTCATCGACCAACTCATTTTATATTGCACACGTTCTATTTCGTAACTTGCAAAACAATTTTCAAAGCGTTAATCTCTTTGACTCCCCCACTTTAAACATATTCAAACGCCGTGTCAATGAGTGGTTACTTGGTCTAGGCAGGGACGAGGCTGAGCTTATCATCACAGCTGATTACAGACACAGACGCTCCTGACACGACATGCGACCTGACCATTGTACTCTGACGACTCGTTCTCCACCGCCCGCCCCACCCCCCTCTAGACACACTTTGAAAACCGTAGTACCGTAGTTATATTATTTTTTATTTAAACTTAATTATGCCACTAGTTTTTTTTCACATTGTTTGCTCTTGTAACTCCATTTAGACCATATCTTCACCTCATCATATCTTCTGTTATTTATTTATTTATTTAGATTTTGTTTTGATAAATAATGTAATGTTTGGATGCAACTGCAGTCGACGCACAGGCTCGCTGCCCATGTCGGCTTATTCTTTATAAACATGTACGCTTTGTAAACATATATGTAATCCAAAGGTTAATTTTATGTTATTCTTTAAATTCACTTATGTTTTTCTCCTTTAAATATGATTTGTGTACAAATTTCTGTAAATAATTTGTTGGAATAAAGATATAATTCATTATAATTCATTCATTCATTCAATTCATTCATTCATTCATTCATTCATATATCTGACAAAAAAAGACATCAAATACGGCGCCGCCTAAGCTGAGACGCACACGTGTATGTATGTGGCTCAAACATGGGTCGGCATGTCACAGTTTGTAGCACAGACACAGATTCTCCGACTCAGGCACGACAACTTGTTTGTAAGATGGCAACAAACAAGTGTCTGATTGAGTGTGTATGCGAATTATCTGCGCTGTATGATGTTAACCACGATGATGCAAAATGTTATGATCGGTGCGGAGCTTAATAGTTAAAAAAACTGTTTCTACAATTTTGGTCCCGTATATTTTTTACGTTAAAAGCCCAAACGGTTTAATATATAAAAAAGACAAATAAACAAAACTGACCATTACAAACGCCTATGGTATTTTCACAGAGAAAAATCTATTACTGTATCGTAGTTGTTTTATTTATGAAAATATTTTTAATTACATTTGGCTAGTTTTTATGTATTTAAAAATTACCGATTAACTTTTTACTAAAAAATATGTTAATCCATTGACTATCCATTGATACAGTGAGATGTTATGTTGTATCAATAGTGAAAGGTTGAACAAAATTCCATATAACTAAAGAAAAAATTCAATTCCCATATTAGATGAGTTTGTTGCTACTATCGTTGATTTTGGTCAAACATTTGTGTGCTGCGAGGCTTGCGCCGAGAAACTTGACTTGCGTGCGCAGTGTCACATGCGTCTCAGCATACACCCGGCTTCTTATTGTCATGTATAATTACATTTTAGACTGCATCTATAAGGAAGCTACAAACAAAATTGTTTTAACATATTTCGTATGGTCTCCATCTCCACTCATTACCTGTCACTGAATAGCCTATAATGGGATGAAAAGAAGTAAATAACTTAGTTAAATTGATGGTATAAATCTATAAAAAAGTAAAAATGGCCAATTTGATTCCAAAGAAAATACATATTTTGATAGATTTAAAATATGCCTTGGCAACCAATTATTAAATTCTTCTTAACAGGTAATTATGGAACTAGAATGAACCTGTTTCAATCATCAACATTATCTACTAAAAACTAAAATATCTCACCTAGCTTATATACTTTAAATTTGTTCTTGGGTTAAAATAAATATAAAGCGCACCATAGGTTAATTATGTGATAAACGGGTTTTATACCTTGACTTAGACACAAATCCAGGTTGTTCTGACCCAGATGGTATTTCATACAGTTGATAATCTGTACGACTAAGGGCAACATCAAATGCACTGTGCCTGAGGCATTCAACGTATTGGGGTTCCAGCAGGGATGGAAAGTTCAGCTTTCTGTCTTTGCTCTGTATCTGTACTACATGTGTTGGGCTTGTGTAGGTTATAATCCCGCAAGCCAAGCTGACACCAAACCCTGCATTTAAACAACAGAATTCAATATATAGGTTGGTAAAACATAAGGCATGAGTAGAGAATACTTAAATGTAAAAACCCCCCGCCGCAGCAAACCTGCAGACTAAGCGAATTTCAACTTGTCTGATTACATATTAACTAAAATATTTCCATAAATAAGACATATTTATTCCCAATTTAAATAACATTAGATTTAACGTGTGCTTAGGTTTGCTGCTACGGGGAATGTAAACAGTGTTTTTTTTACCAAATGTAAGGTACCAAATTTTAAGGGGGGTAAAATCGTACTGCGAATAAATGAACACCAGAACTTACCCGATTTTTACCCACAATAGCCTACTCCTAGGCCTTTGTGTTTGCCATAGCTTGGGCTATGGGCCAAAGAACGTAGGCCTATTTTTAATCACGGTGAAGTACATACACACACCCATAACTACATATTTATTCAAAATAGCACTTCGTTTCACATAATAAAGTTAAACCGGCTGATTTTACAGATATTTAACGCCGACGACGACATAACCCCAAACTGGTGTTTGTTTGTTGACAGACGACAGAAACTAGACCAGCTCAACAGTTGAATATTTGATCAGCTGTTGTCTAGTAGTACTTGAGTTCGCCGCTTGAGCGCGTGAGCTTCGAGCGGGCAGGAACGAAGGATTTTACTAAAAGACATGAAGATTCGTTCGTATGCCGTCTTCGAAGTAACTTCGTCGTTACATTCGCCCGTTATCAGCGCTTGCACGATCTGACGATCATCGATAATTCATTTACCAAAGGTTGGCCATATTAGTTGATCACATTGCTACAATTTACATTTAACATTCACATTCCCGTTTCCAAATTTGATTTTCAATAACTAAATTTAATAACTTAAATTTCGCCGACTTGATTTTAGACCCGCCAGTTCCTGCCTGCCAGTGACTAGCGGTGATTATCGTTTGGTTTGATTTAAATCAATTAGTTTCAAAATTACGATTTCTACGAATGATTATTACGTACGTTTATTCTAATTAATTCACAGTTTTAATGCCCCAAGACTTGTCGTCAGAGCCCTAAACCCCGTCTTTGGCGGGCGGCGGGCGAGAGAACCTAGTCTTGGGAGTAGGCTGATTTGAACAATCAGCCACGAATATTAGTATTAAATTTATTTTAAACGTATCACGATAAATTCTCCGCCTAATTATATTAATTAGGCCCCGACGACTCTGAAGGAATTGTTTTTACCTTTTATTCGATATTATATCAATTATCAACGTCCTTAACCATTTGTTTTGAAGTTGAATACGAGTAGTTACATCACATTGGCCAAGATAGAATACTCGTCGGTCCTACAGAGTCAGTATAAAAGTTAGGAAAAATTTAACAAAACATGTTAGCGAAGGTGAGGATGAAATAGCTCCTACTGAGCGTGTGCAGGATTTCCTGAGCGCTTCTAGAGCTCTGAGCCTTTGATTAAATTTTAATAAAAATTGGTCAGTCAAAGTCGTGGCAACTTCGTATCGACCCCTGGATTTTTCTCAGCTCCTTCTGAGCACTCCAAGGTAGAAATTTGAGTGTGACCGGTTCTAGGGGTGCCCAGGCCTAGCCTGACTTTGGTGAATACTGGTTTATTCCCTCCCCCCCCCCTATAATTTTGCGTCACACAAACGTCAATAGTATAGGAAGAAATAAATAAATTTGCCAAAATTGATCAACATATATCCATAAACAAGTAAACTACAACAGTTTTCATTTTATCGATAAGAATAACATGGGAATTTAAAATTTTCATTTTTTTTTTATTTTATCTGTAATTATTTGGCATACAACAATGCTTCAATATACTAAATTATTAATTTTTTTAAGCTCTACAAAATGGAAAGAAATTCCAAAATTGTATCTTTTTACGGCCAAACCCATTCTTGGGTGAAAATACGCACATAGTGGCGTCCCCATCTTAAATAATTGATAATTGAATTGATTGATAATTGAAGAAGTTATTTTGTGAAGCTAGTCAAGCAAAATTAGCAGCAAAATATAGGGATACAAGAGTAAAGATTTCCACGAAGATTATTGGCCGGTGTTTCCGATAGCCAATAGGATATATAAGTAGGGACGCCATTCAAGATTCTTGTCATTCGCCTATTGGGTCTGATGATGATTGGAGTGTCCAATTGAAAACGATCACCACCAACCATCTTTTGTGTATATTTACGGTCTTGTGAGTAATAGTATAATCGTAAATATATGTTTTAAGTGTTATAAGTCGATTCTTTTATTTATTTTCCGTAAATTTAATAACACTACAATGCTGATGAAGAAGTTATTTAATCCTTACCATGTGTGTATCCACTAAAAACTTGTTTTATATTGTTTGGAACTTTATGTTCACAAGTGAGGGAGAAGCATAACAAAATAGTCATAGTCAAATCACTGAATAATACATACAGTTCAAAAAATAAACTATTGCTTACCTTTGGTGAAACCCATCGTATTAACTAACCATGGAATGTCACTATAATTCTCGTCCGCAAAATCGATAAGAGACTTACAACCTTCAATGTACTTTTCTGGGCATTTAGTTACATCAACTTCTCCCAGGTAGACGGATCTGAAAACAATAATTTTTATATAACAATGAGTATCACAATAGTTAGCTAAAAGAAAAAAAAACAGCATAATACACTGAAGCTGACTATATAAACTCCCTTTTTTCAATCTATAAACAATTTGCAATCTAATAAACAAGACAGTAAGCATGCAACAGCCAGGAAAGTATTTTACCAACAAAATTTTCAGTTCCAGGTCTAAATCATCGTTTGCAGTGGATGACTCGGTTTTTTGGCTTCTGTCAAGCCATAATCGCATCAGGACTTTAAAATTATATATCTTTCAATGTTATAAAACAATTAACACACAAAAGGATACATACAAAATAGTACAAATCAAGATAACCAGGCTTGGACTTAATACTGAAAAACAGTCAACGGTTGGACATTCTTTTATGGTTTTCAATAATGAACTGTACAATCTATGCTGCACTCGAAGTTATTGCACGTAAAGGTGCAGAGAAGTGCAACAGTAACGTGAGCACTAGTTAGGCTAATAAATATTACTTGCATCATTATTTTATGTAGGGCCTGGACATCTTACCTTACTGGCTCTTTCAGATGTGAGAAGTTGGGGCCCAGAAGAGGTTCTTCTACGACAGTTGCAGAGATACAGCCAGGAAGTGTAAACTCACATTGGCCGAGGTCAAAGTCCAGCACCAAAATCTGCTTCCACTTGTACAAACATTTATTGACAAGGAAGCGTAATAGGGAGCTCTTGCCTACTGACTTACCACCACAAAGTATAACCTTCGGATGATCTGAAATGAAAAGAAATACATAGACGGATAAAAGAGTGATTTCATTAAACTTGTTTTAAATGGATTAGGTTTAACTCTAAGCAATGTTTTAAACAGAACTTAAATTCATAAGCTTTTAGTGGCTGGTCTCATTAGAATCCATAGCAGTTTTCGGCATCCACACTGTCTATTAGATATTGCTGCCAGATGCTTTTAAGTACTTTTAAAACTAATGCTATATAAATATGGAATAAATTTGATATTTTTAAGGAGATACTAGAGTGTAAATCCGATCAGGCAAATGAAAATTCGCTTAGTCTGCAGGTTTGCTGCGGCGGGGGTATATTTATTGTTTAGGGGCAGTAGTAGAATATTATGGCTATGGTAGATGTGCAACACTATAGCATATCGTAAATTAAAAGAACACAATTTTCTAAAAAGGTGTCCTCTACCATTGCAAACGCAAAGCACAAACAGCTGCAATAAGCATTGTATACTTATATGCCAACCCTCACACGTAGGACAGGTAATCTGCTAGTAGGACATTTATAGAGAAACCCAAAGTTAAGGAGAAACCCATTTCAGGAAACCGGTTCCATGAAATGAGAAAGTTTGGTTGCTTGCAACAGAGAGATTAGTTTAACACAGAGCTGTGCACACTTGTAATTTGTAATTGTAATTTCATTGGTTTCTTGCAAATGTGTTAGATGGAACTATAAAAGGCACTATAAACTGTAGGTATCTTAGTTAGGGGCCTACTATTGACTGTATGGGCTATTAGTTAACACGTTCGCTGCTGATGACTTCAATCGGAGACATGCCGCACTGGCACAGTGTGTGTACGACTCCGGTCGGAGTCACGGTGCAGGCTTCAACAAGTTGGTCTACTGTGACCTCCGCATTTATCGGGTTCAACTAAACTATGTCAGCATGTTGTGCTGGTCCTATACTTTAATTTGGTGTAGGTTGGGTTTAGGTTGGTAGTAAAATTTCCCGTAAAATCCCGTCTGGCAATGCTTTTTGTCCCTTTTTAGGGATTTTCTCTCTTTGAGCAACATTACAAAGACACTGGCTACGGATCCAGGCAGTGGTGCTATTTGTGAAATTTCAGTGAACTACGTCCACTCTTGGAGTAACACAGCAGCTTCACCACCGCTCCGCTGACAAGACTGAATTATTTTAATGCTAATGCTAATTCACTGGCGCGCCAAGGCTGCGTCGTATTTCCGACCGTACTGCCAAAGGGGTTCTCGCAGCGAACGTGTTGACCGCTGTGTCTAAGGAACATGTCGGCCTTAGTCACTAACAAGACTACAAGATCGCACCACTCATCCTACACTCATATTTAGGTTCAAATACGCATATAGTGGCGTCCCCATTTAAAATAATTAATAATTGATTGATAATTGTAACTTCAGTGGTTAGGCCTATGCTGATATAAATTTAGATCACCTAGTGATAAAATACATGCTAGGCCTACGTACTACGGTACATAGTTTGTCTAGGAGTAAGATCATATACAAAAAGTAGGCTACACCCTTATCACTCAGTAATCATAACACTACTGAAAATGCTACATGGTTCTTACCTCTTTTTAAAACATCATGTTCTATAAGTGACCATTCTGCAACTTCAACAAATTCTTTAAGGCCAACCTCTTGTATATTTGATTCAAATAAACAATTGATTTTACGCTCTACAACATGGCATGGTCTTGAACTATCTTGAAAAAGATGTTTGTTGATAGAAAATGAAAATGATGAATGGTGCTCGAAGAATTGAGGCCAAACAGTAGTACTCACATCACTCTTATGGCGGGCAACAGTAAATAAAATACTATTTTCTGCTTTCTTCGAAACATTTTGCGATAATAGTTCAGGTAATCCTAAGGCAATTAACTTTTCACTTATTTTTACACAAGATGTCTGATCACTTGGAAGGAAATTTCCTTCCTTAGCTGTAAGTGATAAATGAGACGAACCTTGTAAAGAAAATACCAACACTTTTTCATTTTCCTTGTATAAATTATATCCAAAAATTTCTAGCGATCCTTTCAATAGTTGTATTTCAAGGGTCCCAACAAGAGCAAGACTGCTTTGTGGGTGCATCAATACTAGGAACATGGAGGAGCCTAATTCATAAAATTTAACCAGTGAGTTTTTGTCATTTGTCTTGACTGAAATTGAGCACAATGGACTATTTGATTCATTAGATGGTGAATTTGACAATTTTGTATTAGATGGCTGAGGTGGTTTATAGGTTTTTGAAGTGAAATGATTCCTCGGCTCCATCACAACTGAGGACTTATACCCCTCTATCAATTCCTCGGAATTGGATTCTTCAAAAATTGTAGATTCCATCGCACCATTACCTATTAAAGTACCTAGAAAAGATAGTGCACTTTCATCACTCTTTTTAACAGTATTCGAACAAATGCCTAGTATTGTGGGCTCCTTACTTTTACAACAATGCCTTTTGTTTGACATTTTTACTATTGATTGTTTCAGATTTGAATTTGCATGATCATGTTTATCTTCTAAGATTTTTGTTTTAATGTTACGTTTTCTGGCTTTAACACGATTAGGCCTATTATCCTTAACTCTTTTTTTTAGGATTGAACTTTCTGGAATACTTTCAATGATTCGGCTTTCCTTACTAGGAGATGACAGAGTTTCCACACACTTTATGGTGCCGCAAGCTGTGTTCAGAAATGATATTTTGGTGTCACCCAATGAAATCTGATTCATGTTTGTTATATTTCTAATTCTTGTTTTTTTCTTTGATGTTTTCTTGAGGTTGCTCCTATTGAGTGACATAGTCATAAATTTTAGTTTTATCTTCATAGATGGTATTTAACTCATTTTTATATTGTGTTTATTTGAAAAGTACCGAAAAGTTACTGTCTAGGCCTAAAATATCAAATAAAATACATGAGAGACTTTAAAGGGGAAGAGTAACTTAAATAGCCTAGCCTAACAGGATAAAATATTATTGCTGACTTCAATGTAGCCTAGCTCCCTATCCTCATGTATTTACGATTTTATTTTCAAGGTTCGAAATGTATCAAGGACTACACTTAATAAGAACACTTACTCCAAAATAGAGGTAACACTGATAACCTAAAACTTGTGTTTGACATCAAACAACTTGCTTGCTTACTCACTCACGTGGTGAAGAAGTCAAAGTCACAACTCACAACCAAAAATGTCACTGTCAGCAGCTGAGCGCTGAGCGGCAGCGGAGCTGCAGTTCAGCAGAAACGTTTTCCTAGACACAAAAGGTGGCGACTTGGTTTTGTTCCATGTGGCCTCAGGGTAACATTTTCTTCTGATTGTCCCCCAATACTCTTACCATAGATAAAACATACTCCTCAAGTTAGTTTTTCCATTGTACTCCTATATCAAGTAATCTTCAGTGTAATCTTTGCTCAATAGCAATAACTGATGTTTTCCCTTTGTACTGCATTTTATAATTTGCTAGTATACTGTGGATGGCTTATTATAAACACACGTTACAAGTCTTTTTAATCAGAATTAGAGTTTTGTTGATAGTTTTAACTGTGTTAAACACGTGTTTTTGCCAATAATGAATTATTTTCAACATTTAACCCGTTCACTGTGCTACAAGATCCCGAGGTCTCGTATCGTACCTACCTAGCCCGTAGTGTCTATCCATAATTTGGCTTCTTTCCTAAAGTTACGACAACGATATTTCGGCCTACAGTTATCGTAAAGAAATGAAACTTGTACATATATAATGCATTTTTCATGATGTATCAACTAGTAAAAATGAAATGAACGAGATAAATAGATCTCGTAACGCACTGAAGTAATAAACTTTTTTACTTTATTACGATACGAGAGACCTTTGGGTCTCGTAACAAAAATAGTTGTTCCAAGCACCACATGGCTAATGGGGTGATTAGTATAGCAACCATGGCAACTTTTGTTGAATGCTTTGATGAAAGAAGGAAACCCAATAAATAATTCAAGAACGAAGCTAAAGAATAATGGCGTTTATTATGTTGTTATCTTTATGAGATACCTATCTGGTTTACATAATAATAGTTTTCAACTATGGGAACATAAATTATTTTTAATTATTGACGTGTTTCTCTTCTAAAACAGCACTAACGGATGCGTAATGAAGGTCATTGGTAAATGACCTAAAATATCACGATTGTGCAATCATAGATAAAACATACTCCCTTAGTAGATTTCGGGTCTGACTGAAGGGAGGTACAAAAGAGGCAAATTTAGTTCAAATTTCCTCCGTGAACAGCGCTGTAGTAGAGAGCACAGCAGGTCATGACGTCATCGTTGATTCGGTTGAGTACTCGAGTCGTCAGTCGCCAACTATCGATCGAATCGATAGATCCTACTACAATCGATATTTGCCCTTCGTAGTAATCGTAGTCGTACGTTATCGTAATCGGACTGGTTGGTTGGTTTGTTGTTATGACGACAGACTGACAGACACTTGAAAAATTTGACAGTGTGTTGTGTTGTGTAGTATGTGTACGTTACAAGTAACAAAAATGGAATATACCGCGAAATCCCTCACTATGGGAACATACTGTATTAACATAATTAAAAATTAACCAGTTTGAGTATTCTTTATCCAAGGTATTAACTTATTCTATTTACAAAAACATTGCCAAACTTAAGACTCAGGGGCTTTCATGAAATAAGATCAATCAATTATGTTAAATTACCGGTTGAAATAGAAATCTAGCTTGAAATGATTGGTTAACTTGGCAAAAAATTGTTTATTTAGGTCCCTTTTCACGTTTAGCTTTAAAGACTGGTTCAAAGGCATTTATTACGGTTCCAAAGCCAATTTATGTTATTTAAGTTATTTAAAATAATAGGCCAATTTCTGTTTTGGAGTTAATTTTTAAGAATGCCATTAATAAATCAGCACTATTTATAATTGAAAGCGGACAAGTCTTGCTTTTTATTAAGTTATATCCTCCCAATAAAGAATTTGAATAATGTAGGCCTATAACCTAGGTAGGCTACACCTAATGTAATCGAATATAGGCAAGCTATAGGTACCGGTAGGCTACTATAATACATCCTGTACAAATAATTTCATTTGGTCAAAGATGGTGTCAAGATTTACCCAGGGATGTAAATCCCACCAACCTTTCCACCAGAATAATGATATAGGCCTAGTGCAAGATAACAACAATCCTAAATTGAAAACAATAATAGACCCCAACAAATTTGAATGAGTCACAATAGATCCAAAAAACTTACCTTGAAAATAAATTTGGCATAAAATAGTTTCAAACTGTAGTTTTTGGAATAAAAAGGATCAACGAAATTGCAGGAAAAGATACGGCACTTATACAACATATCATCCTCTCTTCGCTTCTCACGTCAGATTTGACATTAACTTACCGGTACATTAATTTGTTAGATAAAATATATTATTAAGTCTAAGAAAACTGCTATTAACAATATAAGAGGTTCTACCCGCAAATTCACGGGTGTACAGAAGCCACCATTAAATTAATTTAATCAACTTTGATTTTATATTTCATTTAAAGGGCCCAAGTTCAAAAAATTGTCATCTGAAAGGATGGTAAAAAAGCATTGGAGCCTTCAAACCTTACGTCCTAAGGTGTGGTAGTTTTTTGTTGGGGATAGGGTTGTACCTGAACTCGCCACTCTCTTTCACGTCTTTCATACTTTACTTAAACACTTGTCAATGAAATGGCGACCTGTTAAAAATCGGTTACAACCTCTTGGAACTAACGACATACATGGTTTGTTAATCTCATATTCATCGTGTTTCGAACACCTTTAACCGCTCACTTGTATCAAACGGCTAGAGATAGCTTCACTGTCTATTCACCGCACCTCTTTTAAGAACATAAAAGTAAATAATAAAATAAGTAAACAAAATGTAAACCAACAAACTATATTGTAAATTGTATTGGCCAGCTGTTATTCACTAAATTACTCAAATAACGTTAACTTCCAAAACATGCAAGGCGTAGCCCTTTGGAAATCAGTCTGTGGGGCAGACCCCTTAGGGAGTTTGTCCATATCAATATTTTTCAGAAAATCTACACACTCTAAGCTTCATTTTGATATTCCATATGTCTATATTTTTATTTGGTAAATGGCCTTAACCGTTTACATAACATTTGTTTGCATCACTTTAATAATATAGGTAATAGATGTTTCTACCTAAGACACATTGCTGATAATTTTCAGGAAAGATAAAATATTAACGGTCATCTCGCTCTAAATTTATGGAACAATCATCTTTGCCAGACAACCCTAGCAGCCCCTAGAGGTATCTATAGAATATCTTATAAACATTTCACTTACATATTTAAAAGCACTAAAAAAATATATAATCCATAAATACATAAAAACACAAAATAATAAAGATTTAGTTTGAAAAGCAAATTTATCAGTTGAGTATTTTTATGAAATAGTTCATAAAAACAAATTTATTTCAATAGCTTATTCCCTATATGGGACATTCGCTAAAAACTAGAAAAAAGTGTTTTCCCCAGGCGGGTCTTGAACCGGGTATTTTCAACTTATGAACCTCTTACCTTTCCTCTGAACTATCTGTACTTATTGATATTACTAGTTTTCAAGCAGTTAAAGAGATGCTGCCAGCTGCAATGGTACCCAATTAATTACTTAAAATATTTTTTAAACAGACTAAATCAGCCAAGAATTAACCCTAAAGGGTTAAATACATGTTTTTGTACACTACCCTCTATAACCCAAAAGAAGTTCTTAACACATCTGTGTTAAAAACATCTTTTTAAAACACTATAATTAGGGCTAATTAATGAATGTGGTTAGTAAAATGAACAAATTTTATTTATAAGTACCTACAAGCAAAATATGAACACACGTCTATAATAATAAGTTAAACGCATAGAAATTTTCGTGGGGGGTTGAGGGTAGGTATTAGGTGTGTGTATTTTATCTCTTTATTTTAGATAATGTCTACCTAATATTAATTTTTTTTAATACATCCAAATAAATTTAATTCAATAGTTTTTACTGAGGCATGTTATAATAAATATATGGGTACTGTATAAAGAAAGCTGTTAACTGCAGCAGATGGGTCTAGGGATTCTACCATAGAAAATATCAAGTACCGTACTGGTAACTTAATTGAAGTCAAAATAAGATGTTAAATACCGGTTTCTTTGATAGAAGTTTTGATCATACTTTATGTACCTTTGATTTGATAGTAGTTTGATAAATGCCCTACCTAATTTAGAGGCATTTATAAATAAAAATTACTTCACTAATTTATGAATATTAATGGGTGAAACTTGGTATGGTAACCAACTTTATCTGCTTGAGCTCAATTTTTATGTTACAATTTTTAATGTTATAAGCATGTTAAGAAAATCTCTTTGTTCTTGTTTCTGGGTTGGAAAAAGAAAGATAATAAAAATGACTCAACAGAGCGGTGGCAGTGGAAGCTTGGTGTTAATAAAAATTCAAGTGGGCCCTGTGGAATAAAATTATTTTCAGAGATCCTTAGGGCACAATCTTGGTACTGATTTATATCTTCCAAATGTGATGGCAGTCTTAAAAATACACTGATTCTACTTTTGCACTACTGACACCAAATTTTTTTGTTGTACTCAAGGTATGTTTTGTAATGCAATTTATAACTATTTTATCTATGAATACCTGATTTGATTGAATATGATGACCAATGCAAGAATTATAATAACAGGGATAAATAAAAATCAGAAAATAGTTAAAAACTCAATATATATTATAACCTTTTCAACCAGTGTTGTTACAATGAATATTGGATGTTTTACAATGTGAATTTAACTTGAAGAGTTTTTACATTTAATGCCGTCTTAAACTCATATAGCAATTTTTTTCTTGGAATTATTTTTAAAGTGAACAGGCGCTGCCACACGACCAACAGCGACAGCATAGTAGCAGATGGTGTGAATCTTTAATTTGAGACAAATCCAACACCTGCAAGTCCTTTGGGACTGGCCAGCAACAATATATCACTGTAGTAACAATATATCACTGTAGTGCAGATCTCGAAGAATGGCTGTTTGTGTCAGGTTGACTGAACACAGCAGTAATGAATACAGCTTAAGAATATTTATTTTCCTTTTGACAATAATGCATGCATTTGGAATCATCAGTTAAGTAAGGCAATAGTACATGCATAGTTTTTGACAATACAGTAGACTCCCTCTTATCCGGACACCTTTTAACCGGACTACATCCAGAGGAAAGACATCTCTTTAACCTGACAATTTTTATCAGCACATTACATTGGTTTAACCATACTACGGTAGATCGGCAGGAAAGTACTGAAACGACTGTTCTCGTGGGAAAGATTTGAGATAAGTAATCACGTGTCTAAATGCAATGCTCTCCTAAATTTAAGTTGAATATCACAATAAACGGTCCTTTAACGAGCTTTTGAGGACGTCGGTTTAACCGGAAAACCGTTATCCGGACTGGCATCGGTCCCGAGGAGTCCAAATAAGAGGGAGTCTACTGTAGTACATGCATTTGGAATAATCAGTTAAGAAAAGCAGAAAGATCACAAACAACAAATTCTACAAATTGAAATTCAATCAGCATGCTTTTACAAAAACACTCAAAACAGTTCTACAGTAAATAAATAAGTACATACATCTGATAATCGACGTAAATACATCTGAAAAAATACATCTGAAAAAATACATCTGAATAAATAACGTACCCTGCACATATGTGACAACACACAAGAAACGACTGGGGTGATCACCTGGTTCTGAGCTTTGATGACCTGGCGAAGGATTGTGAGTAATGCTAGTACACCTGTGGTAAGCTGATCTATGATTTCGCGTTGAGATTTAAGGTAATGAACCTGAAATCCGGTACAAGCAAAAGAACTAAAAAAATATGTAAAATTGGCAAAGTTTTAGTCTTTCATACACTAGCATAGGTCCGAATTTGCAATATTTCTGTTATACCTCCATTCGCTTAACTGGTATACGGTTAATAGAGGTTGCACTGTACCGAGTTCGTCAAAACTTTTATTAAGTTTACAGTTTTAGTGTATTAAATACAATATATCAACAAAAATGCTCATTTTTTCTGTTGATTAACCAACCATACTCCCTTTTTCAGCTTATGAGGTGCAGTCAATTTACCTCATTAAATAAAATGCATATTCCTTTAAACAATAGGGGAAAAAGTACAGGTAAACAATTCTGACAAAACAATCCTAAGAAAATTGGTTTTTTACTACGTTTCAGAACCGGTAAAACAAAAAAAATTTAAATTTAAAAGTAAGAACTCTAGGACATGATAAAATTAAAGGACAAAAGTTTGAATAATAAAGACAGATAATTAAATTCAAGGGCTATTCTTAGGACTTCTGGATACTCTTGAAATTCCAGGGTTTCCTGGAAGCTTGGGAACCCTGCAAGGATGATCCTGGCTCGTCTTCTTGTTCTAAAACAAAGTAAATACATTAGTAACAATTCATTTTAAAAACATTAACACAACTTTTATGGTTGGGAAAATTTTGAAGCTGATCCAACTAAACATCTTTAAAACAGAAACAAATCTAAAAAAATAAACATAAAATTAACATATTTGAAACAAAGGTTCCACCCAAAGCTCCAACCAAGTTTTTAAGTTTCAACCCAAAGATTCAAGCCCAGTTTTTTACATTCAAATATAAAAGTAAAAAATGGGAGTTAAAATAAATAAATTTGTTGGTAGCTTTATATGGAAAATTACCAGAATGAATTTCAGCGACTAGAACTCCCATTGAATCATAACTTGTTGCACTTGAACTTCTGATGACTCTAACTTGTTTTTAAATACAATACAATGATCATATTATTTCTTTTTTAGACGCTCAAAAAGTACTTCTCTGATGGCAAAATATATTCTCTTTTCAAAACAGTTGATGTAGAGTCATGTACAGGTGATTGTGGTTGTAAAGCCTGGAGCACAGTCATGAGCAGTTGTCTACTAGCTTATTCTATACGATCTGGGACGGTGGCGTCGTCCTGTAATCCAGATACTACGAGGTTGCGAATTATGGATATTTAGAGGTATACACTGTGGATGTGATACTCCCTGGTGTGGATTAACGTCCGCACTAGTGAGTACTACAATGATACACAGTGTTATCCTGATATTTAGACCAGTTCGTTAATTACAAGACAAAAATGTGGTTCAGATTCCACTATTAACTGTAGGTCCCTTAGCTGCCATTGGCTGTATGGACTATTAACAGTTGTGTCTAAGGAACATGTCAGTCTTAGTCCCTAACAAGGCTACAAGATCGCGCCACTCATGCATGCTACACTCGTCTCCATTCATACTTGGACATTTGTATGATGACCATTTCAGAATAAAATATTACACATTTAAAAAAACCTTGCAAACTAAACAAAATAAGTATGCTACTTAATAAGTAATTAATCTGTGATCGCAGAAGATGTCCAGGATTTAACGCAAACACGGGAGTCAAAGATCATATCCCAGCAAAAATTGGAAGATACGATTTCGTCATAATAGGAAGAGACGAAGATGATATTTCCATACTTGCGTAAGGTGTTCACTATTTCTTGCGGTTATACTCAGAAGATGTGTTTGTAAGATTCTCCTGTATTCTATTTCATTACCTGCTTTGGGATGTCATCACTCTTGCATCCTCTCCCGATTTTTAACTGTTGCATTCAAGTGTCTCCTCTTCTGACAGACCCTATAGGACACAAGATATTTATGTAATTCACCACCAAATAATATAGTTAACTCAGCTTTTCCCGAATTTTCCTGGAGACCAAAGAAAATCCCCAACTTCATTACTAGGAGTGTAAACGTAAACCTTTACTTCCTACTGACCTGTAAAACTATTTCAAACCGTTTTCAAATTTTACAGTGAATAAGGACAAAATACTTAATTTGATTCAAAATTCAATAAAAAATGTATTTATGCTTTACTGCTATTTATGTCTGTGGGTAATGATGAGGTTGGTTTAATATAAGTACACCAAATATTTTAAGAGACACCGTAACTTTTCTCCTTCCAACATAACTTAATCCAACAACTAAAATACAGTAGAACTTCTTTAATCCGAACTAATTGGGACCAGTGGTAGTTCGGACTATTGAATAGTTCGGATTACAGAACATATTGTTGTTTTTACATAACAATAGCTAAAACATGGCTAAAATTGATCAACATTATTTTGGGAAAAGTGAAAACATGTTTTATAAAGTAAAATACAGTGTTTATTTAATACAGTAGTAGGCCTAAACATGGTGAATAAACAGTACCGGTACTGTAAATTAAACACAGTTCCAATAAAGAACTGCTGTACTGTGTGTAGAGTACAGCAATGAGGGGTTCGGATTAGGGGGGTTCGGATTAAAGAGTTTCTACTGTATCAAGACAGTTAGGGCCTATCTCTGTTTCCCTGATTTTTAACTATTCACTTTAAAAATTCCCATCTTAAACAATAATAGATTTCAGTTTGTTTCATTTATTCTACAACCTAAGCCCCTAAGTTAAGGACAGTAAAACCTGTTCTTAATACAGTAAACCTTCAATAGTTCGACACTTCACTTGATAGTTCGACACAGGCTGAGCTATTTTGTCAAGTGATATTTAATGGTTACTCTATTGTGGTGTAAGCTGACTTGAACATTAATTTGCCATTTATTGTTGACTTGAGACTAATGAACAGTGAAATAGTTAAGCTTTTATAATATGCCTAAAACTTTACTTTCCTGTTTATTAAACTCCATTTACTCCCTATAGTTTTGACATTTCAATAGTTCGACAACCCTTACGTCCACAAAGTGTCAAACTATCAAAGTTCTACTGTGCAAATTAATAAAAAAATTCAAATCAGGAAAAATGAAGAAAAAATACCTGTGACTCATTGTTGGTTCTGGAAGACAAAGACAGGAGATCAGCAGAAACAGACTTCTTCTTATTAGCAGCTGCAACAACATCAAAGGACTTCTTCCTTTTGTTGGGCCTTTTAAAAGGCAGCAATTGCGACAACTGAGTCTTTAGTTTCTGATTAGGTGCAAATGTCTCGGAAGTACACATTACGGGCATATCTAATGAATTTTTCATTGAAACCTCAGCATGTTTGATTGCACTAACTACTTCATTGTTAAGTTTGTCCAAAACATTCACAGGCACACCATCATCTTCTACTAGGAGCATCAATTTTTCAATATTTTCTTTCAATTTTCTTCTCTGAATTTCTATGTGGCGTTTCTGAATTTCTTGTGTTGTAATGAAACTATTTTCTTCAATTGCTGACTCAGAGAAAAATAATTCATTGCTTTCACATTTTGTGTTCAGTTGTGCGACTACAACATCTCTTGAAAGATAAGAGTGAAGTTTATGCACATGCTTGCATAGAGGCTCTATGTCTTCACATGAGCATGTGTACAGGTGCGAGCATAGTCCGGGGCATTGCCTGCATATGAAAAAGCACAGGTCAAAAGTGCACTCAGTTTCATTGCGAAGAATTTGGTACACTTTTCCTGTGGCTTTCGCAGAAGTTACTTCCCACAGATTTGGGGAAACATTTTTTATACTATTGTCTAATAATTGAATTCCTCTTTTGTGTCGAAGATCAAAGCTGGGTCCCTGATGAATGTCAAATAGGTCGTTACGTTTTCGACTCCAAGAGTCATCTTCGGAAATTGTTATGAGCAATTGGATCAGCGTATCCAGTCTTCTATTTGGCTTTCTTTCCATATATGTGGTTTTTAGTCGATTGTGGAAGGATTCAATGTAGTTTGTAGTGTCAACTTCTCCATGATAAAAGTTACGATGGCATTTTGCCCACTTCTGTTTACGTGGTTCTGTCAAGTAATACTGCTTTAAGTATGACACAAAATCTGGAGCTTCATCCTTAAACTTACTTAAAAAGGCATCACTGTATTGTTCAAACTCTGAATAAGTCTTTGCTTCAATCATGAGTTTTAATGAAACAAACATTTCAGGGATGAGATCTCTTGGAGCTTTCTCTCTAAGCTGCTTCTTGAAGTTTCTGGTGAGGTGCCATAAACATAAAATGTGTCTAAGTTCTTCTTCAAACCCCTTCTCAATAGCATTAATTAGCTTAGGATCATCATCAGTGATCACACAGTTGATGTCCAATTGAGGGATTTTTGACTTCAAAGCTTTAAAAAACAGCTCCAGACATCGTTCATCACTTCTATTGGTAATGAAATGGCCTACAGGCCAGCCACGTTTCTTCTCATCGACGATTAAAAGGTTTAGAAGAGTAAACCCATATTGGTTTGTGCAATGGGTTTCGTCCAATAACAAAATTAATTTGCATCCTTCAACCATCAGTTGCCTTTGATCTTTAGTTTGAAGGCCAAACATAAAGATATTGTTGCTGTCCGGCAAGTTGTTTATTTCTTCGGGTCCGATTTGACAAGGCATTCCTAGTGGTTTATAAATCAACACCATATCAGGGTCTTCTTTGATAAGATGGTCTGTTAATAACATCACCGATCTAGCATCTTCTTTGTCAAACATTTTAGATATGCGTCTTCTGCGAGCACGCTCTTTAATAAGTTTTAGTGAAACAAAACAATCCTTATATTTATCAACATTCTCATCCAGGATGGAAGCCTTTTCCACAGCTTTATCTTTCAATTGTCTTTTAATTACTAAAGGGGAAACCCCAGCTGCTAGTTGTGCATCAATATAATTGTATGTTTCGGATGACAATGGTTGAAACTGTATTGAGGATGCATGTAGTGGGTGGCTATGAGTGGGATAGTAAATTACAATTACAGAACCGTTTTTATGGAAGGTTGCTTTCATTTTTGAAATACAAGTTTTATTAGTTTTGACTCGTCCGTTTGAAACTCTCCTGTCCGTTTTTTTGCTCGGTTCTCCAATTTTTTTATGGGCCTTATCAGATCCGTGTTGTTGACAATAATAGGATTTAACCACATCTCCTTTAGAACTTAGTTTGTCTCCACTTTTTTTAGAGAAATAAGAAAATGTACGGGCCTCTTCTTCTTCTTTCCAAGCAATGAAGTTTTTTTCATTTTCAAAACTTAATGTTTGACTGTCTAACACAGCAGCATTGTGTATACTTTTAAGGTGGTTAATTAGCAAAGTAATTGTTTTGAAATGTAGCCCGCACTCAGAGTAACTGCAGGTAAGTGAAGCCTTCTTTGAAGTGGTACCTTCTGTACCACGACAACTTTTAAAATGAGTTTTGAAACTCTCACTTCTTGTATATACATTTTGACAAATATCACATTTAAAACTTTGAGATTCAGCCAGAGCATTCTTTGAACAATATCTTTCATGTCTTTTAAGATTTTTTTTTAAAATACTTGTGAAGCAGTATTTGCAGGAGACCTTCTGATCCATTTTTACTAAAAAATCATCACTAAAGAGAAAAAAAATTGACAAAAAATTAAGAAAAAAATGCAGAATATATAAAAGGCCTACCCTTAAATTGTACATTATTTGATACTGATAATTAAATTTTGAACTCTGATTGTTTTTTTAAATATCGATATTTACATAAATAAATATATTATTCAACTGCAAAGTTCACTAACTTTGGCGAGTAGTTGCATAACTGCATGACAAAAGACATTTAAAAAAAAGCAAACTTAGCGTGACAAGTCTTTGTCTAAAAAATGCTGTATGGATCATAGCCTAATTTTGTTTTGAAAACTGGTCATGCCATACCGCGCAAAGTGATTTTCCAATGATTTTCAGCCAGATAGAGATCTCTCTTGGTAAATTGGTTTAAGATAATTTGATAGTGTAGACCTTTTTAAGTAGGTATTAATTATATGTTATGATTACCTTACTGATGTATAGTTGTGTTAGTTATTGTATCAAATTTGTCTTTCATAATATTTGTCGAGTTTCTATTATAAATATCGAACTAGGTCTATCAGACATCAGACTGATAAAGATATTAATGTTAAACATCAACAGGTTATACAGTAGAATCCCAGTTAACCAAATTTGTGTCAACCGAAATGGTTCGAAAACATAACACAGGGCTGTAAAATGTTTTAGTAACTTCAGTTGTTTAGTTTAAAGTATTTTCCAATTCACCGTAGCATTTGTTTTGTAGCTGAAATAAAATACTGAATTATTTGGACATTGTCTTAAATTAATTTCCCTACACATCATGGTAATACATTGGCTATTTTTAGCATGATGGGTTAACCAAAAAATTGGTCATTAGAAACTGCTCTCCCCCCTTTATTTCGGTTAACCAGGGTTCTACTGTATTGAAATTAAATTAGCCTAGATAATATAGATATTGAAGGTACGTCTCCGGGAACTGTATCCTATTTATGTATTGTTGACAGAGATAACAATATTATTGACCATGTAAGGTGGGCTTAAGTTCCCATGCAGTCCGCTAAGGCAACACTTGATTATACCTTTCACCCCCTCTTAATCCAAGTGACTTGTTGACAACTTAGATAGGCCTAATAATAAAAAATTATTGTTTTTAAATAGTTCAGTAGGATAAAACCCCTCGCTTCAACATTTTTGTTAACGGCTTGCTAAGAGATTTACAATCAAAATATCACAAAGGTTAAATTGTTCCAAAGATCTAGACATGTTGCATTATAACATCCCAAAACACCTTAGCTTATTTGATTACTTTGGAATAATGTAAAATAAGGGTACTTTGGTATTATCCGGAAGCCAATTATTTTACAGAACATTTCTACTGGAGACCAAAAATAACAACATAATTGGAAAGAACATACTTTAATTGACTTGCTGTTCAAATTTGACATTATTACGATTAGCGGCCATTGAGTTCTGCATCCTAGAAAGCAGCGATGTCGACAAAGATTGAGTTGAATGCGTCACCGCCGCTAGCTGCCACATGTATGAAAATGAGAATAAGAATGATATATTTCCTGAAAGAATCAATATATACAAGGAAAAGTCAATACTGTACATCAAAATGCTTAGCCTAAGCCTGCAATACACCAACACACCATGCAGAGAAGAAAAAAAAATATTAATCACCAAAGCTGCCATGCACATGTATGAGAATGAGAATGAGACTGATTTATTTCCTGGAAGCATCAATTGACAAGGAAAAGTCAATACATCAAAATACTAACCTAAGCCTGTAACACACCAACACACCATGCAGAGAAGAAAACAAAAATTATTAATCATTCAACTAGGCACACATTGACTAAAAAAACTTACTTACTTGGCCACGTGAAATTTCAAAAAACTCTTTGAAGGAGTAAATCGGATTAGCCAACACAAGAGATTCCATCACCTTTTTGTATTTCATTTCCAGCAGGTTCCGAGCTGTACAAGGAAGTTTGTTAAAAAACTTATATCTCTGTATACAATAGCTAGATTAGACCTTCCTTAATCTAACATGGGGTACATTCAAGACGTCCTTCCCCCTAGTATTGTGAGGGTGAATATCACTTCAAAGTTCAAGAGAGCCTGACTCCTGCTTAGTACAGTACCAGAAGAGATTGGAAAATATATAAACCGTACACTGTCATAACAGATTCAGGAATAAAGATAGATTTGCTGTGGTCTAGAAAATCTGCACCTGCCAAGATTCTGACTGCCTTCTTATGGAGCGACAAAACCCTTTCGACTCCCGAAGTGCCACCCCAAAGTCTTAAAACATAAAGAATTATACTCTGAAAACAGACAAGGTAGGCAGTTCTTAGCCATTTATTTATTTGACGGTAACAACCATTTACAATATGGTAGTATGCTATAATATGCTGTAAAAATTAACAAAACAATACGTATGAAAATTTTATGGCTAACATTGGTGTGGTGTGTATAACATCATGACATTCAGTGGGTACAGAGTTATTCAAGTTCCTGAGCAGGTGAATCACCCTGGAAAGTCTACTACATACAACTGTACTCCGCCAAGTAGGTATACAGCGCTCTGCAGCGGTTATGTTAAGTTGGGTTATCATTAATATGTTTGTAGGACTTTCCTCGTTTCGTTATGAACCGAACGATACCAGATGAGACACATCACTCAGGACACTTGACCCAGATACAGGCGGTGAGAGGTGATACACACACTCTCAACGACCTGACCTTAGGGGATTTGGCGGTCGAAAGTAAGACTCATCTGGTATCGTTCGAATCGTAACGAAATGATGAAAGTCCTACTAACATATTTATGATAACGATAACCTAACCTAACATGACCACCGCAGCAGCGCGCTATATAAGGGTGGTCTCCGGATAATATCAAAGTACCAAATTAAGTTTATATTTTACTTCTGGGCTAGGGTTACTAGACATTCCATAAAGTCAGAAAAGTCCAGTTTTTTCACGTTGCGTCTCATCTCCAAAAACTTTGTTGGGAATTAAAAATCTTCCATTTTTTAAGTAACTTATAGGCCTACTTAACATGGATTAGGCTATATAGGCTAAACAAAACTGGCTTAAGCTATGTAGGCCTACTTTAACTTAGTGTTTAAATTTAGATGCAATTGACATTACTTACCTACAGAAGTTTGGTTAAGTATTAAAGATTTTTCTGCATTTTTACCAAATGATAAATGGGATTTTAGTTTTAAGCCACCTTTAATTACAGTAGCTGCACTGCTGCACCTCCTTACTGTAATCGAGAAAAACTATGTAAGTCAATTAAGAAGCAGGATACACAGAGGATACGCACTCAGTAATCAGACGTTGATTAGGCGTCCGGTAGTGACGTCACTGGGTTATGGGGTTCCGGAACGCCATTACCACAACAATACGATGTACCTACCTACAGTCATCGGTGTTTGCGGTGTAGTAGATAGAGTGCTCGGCTGATATGCAAGAGGTCCCTGGTTTGAAACCCATTGGTATTTTTAACCTTTTGTCAAATATTTTGCTCTGCATACCATTTCTTCTCAACTGTAAATTTTTTGTTAGAATTTTTGGCATTTATAATAATTATAATTAGGCCTATTATAATATAATTATAATATAGCCTAATTATTATATTTTATGAACAGAATTTAACCTTCATTTGATTTGTTTATTATCAGCAAGTTTGGTTGGTTACGTTAAGTTATGACTGTAGGCATAACTGCCGGACGCATAATCCACGTCCGCGGTCCCGGTTGCGTATCCTCTGCGAAAAGGAACCTAATGTTATTCTTAAGCAAGTGAGCAAGTTATTCTTAAAACAAAACAATAAACATTTTTTTAGTTTATAGTGAATTTCTGTAATTTATGAGTTAACTGTAGGCCTAAGTTTATTCCCAGCATACAAATTAACGATAACAAAATTAAATTTAAGATGCTCATGATATTTAAAATCAATAACTTAGTTTCACGTACCGGTAGGCTATTACCACCTAGGCCTATGTTTTATAAGTAATAAAGTAATAATGTTATTAGTAATAAAGGGTAATAAAGGGGGCTAGATGCTAATATCGATTGAAACTATCGATTCGATTAGTAAACCTTCAAGCGATTTTTTCACCATCAGCAAGTTTGGTTGGTTAGGTTATGATAGTTTAATTTTTTAATAGACAAATTTAAAAATATCAATTATTAATCAATATTTCCAATTCGATAGTTTCAATCGATATTAGCATAGCCCAGTTAAGAAACTGTAACCGTAATAAATCTTGTAATAAGATCTTAAACCCTTAAAAATGTTGTTGGATTATTTTATCCTCAGTTGGCCTATGTGGTGATTCACAAAAGTAGGTATTTACCTTGCCTAGCCCCTAGCTGCATGCCATTAAGTTATTGTATTTTTAAAACAACTATGACAATCGTGTGATGTGTAAATAAGTTTTAATGGAAAATAAGATTAGGTAAGTTTACAGGTCTAAAAGCTTAAAAACAGGTTGATAAAAGGGCCTAAACGTACTTGATTTCTACCTCAACAAAATTAGCAAATAAGAGACCCTCTGTGTAATTTAATTAGACACTCAGGTGTAGTGTGTTGTAAGTTACGGGGGAGGCGAGATTTGTTTGAATGTCCTGTTTTTATTCTGAAACAACCTGGTCATCCTACTCTGGGCCTGACTTTTACAAACACAAATCAATGACTAGCCTATGCCTATATTAACTAAGCAAATCAGGTTGAGATTAGGTTTTTCTGGGTTTGGACTATCATCTGGCCCATAATACAAATTAAAAATAGCCATAAGCCTAATTATTAATACCTCAAAAGTTAATTAGATATAATTACTTACCTTTAACTTTAAACTGTATGTAGGTCTATAAATAAGTAGTAAACTTAAACCAACTTAGTTGAAGGAGGAGAGGGATGAGGAAAGCACATAAACATAAACAAACGGCAACGGCAGCCGACAGCCATACAATAACGAAAGTCGAAACGATACGATTACGATTTACGATAGTGATAGTACGAGTACGATATTCCACCTTCACCAGATCACTCAACTCAATCGATTACGTCAACAACTTTTTTTCTGACAGCTGACGTCATCGAATACTCTTTTGTACCTCCCTTGAGTAAATCCTGTAGATTTCTCATCCTTATGGAACAGCTGAAGACAATTTTATTGTTAGTTCATGTACGGTTTATGTAGAGGTCGTGTTTTGTTTACAATTTGTTTCCCGTTATTACAGCCATTTAAAACCTCGTTTAACCAAATAATACGATCTAATCATAAACAATAACTTGTCCCCTAGTTATATAACCAAACAGTAAAGCACAAATAAAGAAATTAACCCTAAAATAACGGAAACAAAGTTTCATCGACACTAGTGCCTTTGTGTCACTTACATGAACTAGACACGAAAAACGTGCTTCAAAATTTACAATGGGATGAGAAGTCTACTTGTTTTGGTTAGTCTATGGTGCAATGTTGTATTTTATTTCTCCTGGTCCCTACTAAATCGTACAAAAATTAATACTAAATAATTGTCAAACCGGAGAAGGAGTTCCTGATAAACAACTTTGTATCATTGTTTTGTGATTGGAATCCCCTTTCCCAGCCCTTTAGGAAAGTGGTGCAAGTCTAAATACTGTATAGCTCCAAGGTTGCACCCATCCTTTCCTTTCCCCCCACCCACTCGACTCACGGTGGCCCGCACTCATTTCGAGGTCATTGCCCAACCCCAAAATTATAACGAAATAAACACAGTAATTTGTTAATATATCTATATATCTAAATTCCGTAAGCCCAAAATTTTACAATGAAATTGTGAGCGAACGGGAGGACGTAGAAAGCTGGGAGAGGTCTCATTTTAAAGGTCTCAGCATGAAATTTTGGGGGAAAATATTCATTGCACCAAACTGTCGTTACGGAATAAAATAATTCACATTTAAATAACATGGGAATCTAGGTCATGTGCTTTGTTTACTTTAAAACATGTGGTTTAACTTTATTTAAAGCATATGATATGTAATATGCACTGTAATATGCATACTATTATAAATTTGAAATAGACTTTTCCCTAATTTTAAGGGTCTGGATTGTTTAATGGAGTACGATTTGTTGTGTTAGGTATGTCTGAACAAAGTGTAAAGTTAGAAGTGGTTACTGGAGTAGGCAAAGGGGACTTATTTTTCCATGCCGAAAATAAAACTAATATCTATAGATCCTGATATGCCGTTTAAGTTTACAAGTATTCAATTCCCATTGCGATTAGCTTTCAATATTACTTATTATTAAAGCAAAGGACGAGGCCGAACCCGAACAAAAGTTGGCATTTATTTGAAGAAAAAAATAGTGTTTACCCATGGTCAACTTTATGTTAACCAGGTAAGGCGGCCAGATGATGTCAAAATAGTACTAGAATCAAATAAAGACGAAGGAATCAATTAAAATGGATACCATACAACAAAAATGTTGTTTTCAGAGAGATTTTGTTATAAACTAAATACAAAATACAATATTTTTCTGTCATTGTAATTAGCATTTTACAATCTGGAGGAAGACGTTATCTCTATGTGTTTAATCTAAGTGAATTTGTCTATATTCAAAGAGATTTATATATATATTTAATTAATAGTCATGAAGATTATAATTGAAAATGATCATTAGTTGTATTAACTAGTGGCTTTTAGGGGCAATAGCCCCTATATATGTATAAATATTTTGTCTCATGGGTTGAACCTTGAACCATTGGGTTGATCTCCATTTGTCAACTCGATCGTTTAACATTTTTGTATACAATATGTATAATAATTATTACATGCCTGCATAATGCATTTTGTTATCTGCTCTGTTTAAAATAACAGTTCCAAAAGACTGTTCATCCGGTATTATAACAACTGTCTAATCATTAATACAACTAATGATCATTTTCATGCTGAGACCTTTAAAATGAGACCTCTCCCAGCTTTCTACGTCCTCCCGTTCGCTCACAATTTCATTGTAAAATTTTGGGCTTACGGAATTAGATATATAGATGATTAGACAGTTGTTATAATACCGGATGAACAGTCTTTTGGAACTGTTATTTTAAACAGAGCAGATAACAAAATGCATTATGCAGGCATGTAATAATTATTATACATATTGTATACAAAAATGTTAAACGATCGAGTTGACAAATGGAGATCAACCCAATGGTTCAAGGTTCAACCCATGAGACAAAATATTTATACATATATAGGGGCTATTGCCCCTAAAAGCCACTAGTTTCATTTGTATTTTATTTAGCCTGTAATCAGTCGTAAGGAAACGCATTAAACAGTGAACATATAAAAAAAAGTGAAATATAAACAGTGATAATAGAAAGATAAAATATATTTTTACCACACTATGATTTTTTAGCCGTTTTACACAGGGCCGGGGATAGTTTTACATGCGTTAATTGGTGGCTGAATGCTACGTTTTGCTGGCCATGCCAGCTGTCATCGTCATTTGGGGACCGAGCAAGTTTTTACATCCCTAGGGCCGCAAAATCAGCTGCCCGCTTACTTTGTAAAAACATACCCAATCGGTATCCATAACATTGCAATAGATAAGAATTTTTTTTGACGCCGCTGCCTAGCAACTATTTATTATTTTTGCTGATTCCTCAAATTATTTCTTCACATAACCTTCTTCATATAACCTTAAAGTTGTAGTTGTGTTGACTATCAGAGTGTGCATTTTTGTTGTGGCGAAAAGTGGTAATAGAGTAGGTATAGTGTGGTGAAAAATAGCGTTCGTACCACGGACCGAAATGGTTTTGCAATTCTCGATCATTTTAAGTTCTCGACTTCGTCTCGAACTTAAAAACTGTCTCGAGCCGGCAAAACCTCATTTTCGGCCCTAGGTACGAAATGTACTATTTCACTACGGTTACGATTATTAGGAATTCGTTAACAGATAACACATATTTTTCTTAATTTTTTATTGTAGGAAAAGGATAGGCCTAAATGCAAATAAATAATGAACTATTACAGCTGTTCGGTACGAGATCTCAGGGTCTCGTATAATGATGTCATTTTCACTTCCTGGGCTGGCTGAAGATTGTCAACATTGTACTGGTTCACATAAACAAACACCATGCATGACAAACATACACAGCGCTCCCTCTCTCCTTTCTTTGCGAGGGTATGCTCATGATGAGCAAAAGATTACTGCGCAACGTTATCTTGGGTCTCGTATCGCACATGGGTAATCATAGCGGACGAGACCTATAGATCTCGTAATGCATCATTGGAATAATTCAAGAAAATATGCAACGCAGTGAACGTGTTTTAAAGGAAATTGTCGAAGCTGTCTACAATATCTTTGTGCAAGCATACATACGTAAACTTACGTACGCATACATACTTTTTTTGACATGCAAACATTGGTCATATATATAGGATATGGGTTTTAACTAAACCAGCCTACAGGTCTCGATTTCTTTCCAGAAAGGAGCTCTAAAAATTCTTTAAAACTCTATTAAGGGTATTGTAATAATATTGTAATTTTTTTAGGTTGAATAAAACAACACCGAATTCAAATAACTCATCCCCACGGCAACAAGGCAGCATGATAGAATCTTATCACTTAAGTGCAACCGAACCTCCACTCGGCCGGAGCAGAATAGACAATACTTATACAGGCTCGTTATAACAATTGGCATTTTTCGCCTCGCCCTAATTTATTTTTGAATATTTAAAAAGACACAGTCAAAGAAGCCTTCCTTTCGAATCGAGCCTTCCTACAATACAAAAATAGGATACAAAAATTCACCACTGTAAAGGTATTAGATGTATGATGACAAGTCAGCTGTAATTTATTTATGGTCTTTTGTTTAATCAACCATGAGAAGTCTCAGAATCGTAGATTCCCCCGTGTGCGTGATTTATGTGTCGGCCTCCATTTTAGTGCGTGGTTAAATAATTAGTGCGCCCATTTCAAGCAAGAGCGGATGAAGAGATAAACATTGGGGGTAACACCAGGTTGTGTGGGGTGGCAGGGTGAGAAATGGCAAATTTGTATTTACGGTTTTGTATTCAACCGACTTAACAACTACAATTTAAATAAATAGGGTACGTGGAACATATAGTAATTTATTTCATATCCTCTTGTGTTTTTACTTAGGATTAATTACACTATTGAATTGGTTGTAGAGAAAATGATTAAACGGCAAGAAACTTTGGATGAATATCAACTTACTCAAGCTTAACCAAACATGAAACACACTTTAAAATAGACTTTAGGATGCGTCTTACTTGCTGACAAAATACAGTAACAAAATGTATGTTTAAATCACACAAACGCCATTGCTTTAAGCCCTTATTGGCCAGTGAGTTGTCAGATCCATCAACAATTTACATCAACTGCTGTTACACTGGACATTTTACATGCTAAACTATGTCAAAATCATTTTGGTATACTACTACAGCATCGTAAAATCCCTCATGGTTTTCTATGGTTTTTCCAACCAGCTACCAACACCATTTTCTTCCCGATAGCCTTTTCCACAAATAGTAGGATACATGAGATGAGCAAGGCAGCAGCGTACACTACGACCAGAGCTTTTACATGGCCAATGGTTACTTCCTAAAAAATAAAAACAGAACGTTTTAGCTTAAAATGAGATGGATAAACAAAAGATCTGAGAGCTCTATGTCAGTTTGGGTAAGTGGATATAGATTATACTCCGTTCAAACAGCCGTGGCACCTGGCGGATTAGGAGGCCCCAAAGGTTTCCATGGGGTCTCCTAATCCGTCAGGTGCTACGGCTGTTTGAACGGAGTATAGTGACAGTAAGAGCCAAACAAACATAGACAAGTTGTAACAAAAAAAGGTTTCGCTTCTGTTTTTTTCTGATGAGTTGCGGAATGGCTGGGATAAAGACAACAATTACTTTAGCTCAATTTCTAGACTGGTGCCTTGTGCTTCTTTATGACTGATACAATTTAGTGAATATTTATTTTTAGTTCAATTTCAAGTTAGAAGAAGATTGTTTTGCTTCAAATCTTGATCATATTTTCGTGAAAGTCACTTTTAACAAATTCTTGAATACCGTAAAGAAAAATGACTTTTATGTTTTAGCAGCAGTACCCAAAGAATAAGCTTAGCTCGGGTTTGATTAAACATTCAATTTATTAGATACGTTATTTAGCTAAATAAAGGATATTTATTATGTACGGTATGTACATAATAAAATCTTTACGCCTATATATTTATATGCTATATTTATATGTGAAATTATTTTATATGATACAACGAAAACATTTTAATACACCTTCATAAATTCATAGAATGCAATAAAAAATACCTGTATCAGCTTTCTTCATTAACTACAGCTACAAAAAGGTATTGACGATAACATGGGCACTTTCAAGGGCTGTACGGCGGAAACAGGATTTTTCCCAGTCTTGAGACCAACCCCAATCGATTTCTCATGGACAAATGCCCCTCAATTAATTAACAAAAATATCAAAAATCCTTGGACGAAAATAAAAGTTTGTCCGTACATGCACTTGTTTTGGACTATAGGAATAGGATTTATCATACTTCATTTCATACTAATAATACTAATACATTATTTAATGGAAGTTTGTGCGTTTGTTTGTTTGAAGTTCGATCACGCATTTAACTACTGGTCGGATTGGGCTGAAATTTGGCACGATGGTAGCTTACATTCCCAATTGATTTATAGTCTTATTCTTATCTCAAAAATCGTTTCAGGCTCCGCCCCAGTGGCTTTGGAGTTTTCCATGTTAGAGTATTCATATTTAAAAGGAATTAAAGACTTTTTTCAGCTGTTCTTACTAAACGAGTTAGTTCTATCTAAGGGAGTATGTTTTATCTATGGTTCTATGCTATTCAATTCCATTAAAAGCTATAAAGTTTACTAACAGGGTGCAGCACTAAACAATGTTTGCAATTATGACAACTAACAGCTCATTTGAACCAAGTAGCAACAACAAGCTGTGATACACAATGAGAACTGCCGAAGTAGGATCGTTTACAGTTATGTTGTTTTAGCGAATTTCCCTGTAGGGAAGTAGCTATTACCGTAGGTCTCATGGTAAGACCTAAGCCCGGGACCGATTTACTTTTTCATTTTGATGTCCCCAGAGGCCAAAAACACCATTCGTTCAAATTTTTATATATCTATATATATATATATATATATATATATATATATATATATATATATATATATATATATATATATTACTAAGCAAATCAAAATACCACAGTACCCTAAAAACATTTTATTTTATATTACTTACATGTTTCGGACATTAATGCCATTTATATGTATGAATTTATATGTATTCCATTCAGCTCATCCTTAAACAAAACCTTAAGAAAGACATTACCGAACTCAAAATTTAAACTAAGTTATAAAACAAGGAATAACGCTTTTAACATAATACAAAAAAGAACAAATCCGATACCCAACCCACCAAATGTATATAAGAAATCAGGAATTTACAAATTATCATGTAACAACTGTGAAAAATACTATATTGGTCAAACAGGTCGAACATTTGAAGTCAGATACAAAGAGCATATACAGGCAATCAGATCAAACAATATGACAACCCAAAAATCCTCATACGCCGAACATATACTTCAGACCGACCATACATACTCAAAAATGAATAAAAATATGCACATTCTGGATATTGAAAATAAAGGTGAAAAAATGAATACAAAGGAAGACTTTTATATTTATACTCATCATATTAATGACAAAGACAATTTACTAAACTTGACACAAATTCAAAATCAAAACGTAATATTCAATGAAATTATACATCTTAAAGAAAACACCTCCTTCCCTTAATATAAAAATTATCACCTGTTCTTTAAAAAGAAATATCTAATAATGTTTGTAAATAAAAGAAACTAATAGGTTATATACTATACTGTGATCATGGCATTAATGTCCGAAACATGTAAGTAATATAAAATAAAATGTTTTTAGGGTACTGTGGTATTTTGATTTGCTTAGTAACATTTAAAGTAGCCCTCATTGATGTATACAATAACAAAATATATATATATATATATATATAGGTATATATATATATGTGTCCATCCGCACGATAACTTGAGTAATTTTTGTCCGATTTTGATAAAATTTGGTTTGAAGGTGTAAGGCAGGATAAACTTGAACGAGTTCGCGAACCAGCATGATCGGACTATGGGAACGGGGGTTTATGGGGGGTTTTATGGGGTAAAAATAGGTTTTCCCCATTTTTGACCGTAAAAACACGAAATTTCACAATTTCTTTTTAAACCATTTTGTAGAGCTTAAAAAACAAATAATTTAGTATATTGAAGCGTTATTATGCGCCTAATTGTTACGGAGAAAATTAAAAAAAATTGTAATTTTAAAATTCCCATGTTATTCTTATGGAGAATAAGTCAGCTGTTGTAGTTTGCTTGTTTATGAACATATTTTGATTGATTTTGGAAAATACTTTTATTTCTTACTAACCTATTTATAAAAAAAAATCTTTTTTACCCTCCCTGTTACAGCAAACCTAAATACTCGTTAAACTAATTCTATTTAAATAGGAAATAAATGTGCTATTTTTATGAAGGCATTTTAGTGTAAATCCAATCAGGTTAATGGAAATTCGCTTAGTCTGCAGGTTTGCTGCGGCGGGGGTATTTAACTTAATAAATGATTTGTGATATTGTGCGAATTGCGAATGATTGATAGTTTACTTATGTCTGTTGTTTAGGTGCAGTGGTAGGACATTATGGCTATGGTAGATGTGTTAAACTACAGCGTGCCGTTAATTTAAAGAACAAAATTTTCTCTAACCGTGCTCTCCCCAATTGCAAACGTAAAGCAAGAGTATAACTGAAAAAGAAATTTATATGGAGGATTTATTTATATGCCAACCCCGTACGAAGGACGGGTACTCTGCTAATAATATTATAAATGTGAATGTGAACGTCTGTGTTCTTGTTTGTTGTTTTGAAGTTCAATCACACATTAACTTATTTATTGTACGTATGATTTTATATGCTCCTAAAATGATTACACATTTCATAAATATAACCAATAAGATAACTACAAATCTCGAATTTAAAATGGAAAACTGCATTTATGCTTAATATAATATTGATTCTTCTAGTCTTTGATTGTTATGGTAAAGGCAAACTGCCATCTTTATTGACGGGCTATCAACTGTATAAATCAATAAATCTAGATAAAACTATAGTCTAATGATAACAAACAGCCTGCGTCACTTCCTTACTTCAAAATCCGTGATATATATTTGAATAATTTTACAACTTTATATTGCTCTGAGTTAAGTTAAAAATTATATATTTTTTAATGGTAAACATTAAATTAAGAAAATAAAAAATATAACGTCTAGGTAATTTTCTTCTTTTCATTTTATACAAATAACATTACAATATTTTACTTGAATTCGCTAAAACATCACCAACTGTAACGATAACACCATTTATGTAAACAGAAGAACAGAATGTAACAGATGTAAACAGAATCATGGTCATTTATTTTGAATTGCTTTAAATTATAACCCAATATGCATATAAAAATAAATATTTAGTGGTTGATTTGCCGCCCACAAAAATCCAACAAATTCTTTTAATAATATAGATAAAGATTTCCAGCGTTTGAAATATAATAAGGATTCTCGTAAAACAAATCAATTACAACGTTCTGTTCGTTCGCTTGGCACACCCCGTGCTACCTAGCGAACACTCGCGCAACTAGAGTGGAGTCGGTAGCGTAGATTTTAAACTCACATTACCAGTAAAACAACTCATTAAAAAAGCAAATCGGCAGTTTATGGATTTCACAACAAAATTTACACAGTAGTCATACACATTACTGGTTGAATGCTCTGTATGAAATTCATATAGATGTTTGAAACGTAATTGTAAGTTTTGATTCTCACAGGGAAGATGTGTCCATCACTCGGCATATATACTGGTCGGTTGGTAAGCACTGCCGGTGGACCGATGCTTCTAGGTGTCAAATGAGGTAACTCACTAACTCTGTCAGACATCTCTCGTTCTGTGATTGAGATGCACAGCGCTCTTCGGAGCAGTCGTCTACTCCAGTTAATGGAAGTTTACAGTATCCAGTCATTGTATCGGATACAAAACTTACACCTCAGAAGCAACCTTTGTTCACCTTAAATTTTTGAATTTTGATTATCGGAAAATTAATCACACCAATTTTTCAACTATTGTGTCTAGTGATGTAGCTTTAAAATATACTTTTGAACACGCAAAAACAAGTCTGATCTCATTAACATTACACAGACAAGGAACATTTTACAATATTTTTTGTTTTGGGGTTTTTTTTACTAAAAACCAGTCAACAAAATCAACCATTATTCATGTATAGGCTAGTTCTCCCACCACAGCAAGCCTGCAAACCAAGTGAATTTCAATATGTCTTATTGGATTTTTACTAAAATATTTCCATAAACAATTAAGACATAGCTATTTATACCTCTTTAAATATCATTAGATTTGACGAGTGCTTAGGTTTGATGCTACGGGGAACGTAAAGTGTTTTATTTACCTAACGTTGATAGTATGGGACGAAAAAATAATAATTTGCCAAATTTGATCTACTTATATCCATGAACAAACAGCAACTACAACAGTTTTCTTATGCTCCATATGAATAACGTGGGGATTAAAATGTACAGTCATTTTGAAATTTTGCCCATTACATTCAACAAAATTTTAATATAGAAAATTATTTGCTTTTTAAGCCCTAGACGATGATTGACAAATTGGTAATTTCCATGTTATAAAGGGGGGAAATAAAAAAAACACCTTTTTAATCTTTAAAACCCCCATAATAGGGTTCCCAGCACCCGATACGTTCGTGAACTTCATTCAAATGAATCCCACCCTACACCTTCAAGCCAAATTATATCAAAATCGGATCAAAATTACTCGAGTTATCACTTCACGGACACACACGCACACACATACATATATAAATCTGTATACATAAAAAAACATTAAATATATTCGGTCCCAGGTTCAGGTCTTACAGTGCCACCTACGGCAATACAGCTACAACAGTACTGTACCTCCATATAGTGAAATAAAAACAGTTGGAAATTGAATGTTTGGTTGTGGTGGGGGGTGGGATGCATTAGCTATTCTCCAGTCCTGACTATATATACACGCTATACTTATACGCTACTGGTGAATTTATTACACAGTGCATTAAACAGTACACTTATTCCCACCTGGTATTTCTGTGGTCCTGGAGAAATGTCTTTCTCAAAAAGGAATCTTTTCTCCAACAAGTCAAGTATGCCTGTGTTTTTCATCTTGAGTATCCTGCAAAATTGAATTTCTGTGTTCTGTATTTCTTTATTACACTTGTATGTTCAGATAAACTTACACTTCATAACTTATAAGAAATTGATTAATTTAACATAATTCATCCGTCACACTACCCATATTGGGTACAGTTTCGTAGCGAGCCTGCGATATATTATCGGATTAAATATCAATGCATATCGATTATAATACGGCTCGATATTACTATTGCATCGAATTTAATGTTACCATATCATATAATAAAAAAAATCAGTATTGAGTTGTTTTATCCATATTAAATCCCAAATTACCCATGAACGTTTGAGACAAAAATGTATCAAACTGTGTCCTTCCCCATTGAAAAAGTAAAGCTGGGGTATAACTGCAATAAGAATGTAATACTTACATGCCAACCCCGTACGAAGGACAAGTACTCTTCTAGTCGTTCATAAAATACATATACATTTTGTTTTTGATTTAACTTATGGATGACTTAAGTTAGTTTCATGTACTAATAACCAATAAAACCAATAAAAACGCAATCAGGCCATTAACTTACTCAATTCGATGTTTAACTTAAAGTCTATTTAACACCAATAAAAATGTCTACGGATCACAACTTAATTTTGATGTTTATACCGGGAAAACATTTTGAAAGCAATATATTAAACCGAATTATGATTGCTATATTTTTTTAAATAGATTGCGATATCGGTTTTTAAACGAATAATACATTGCAGGTTCTCTGCGGACTTGTACCCTTTATATTAAACACATCATGAGTATGCTACCTATTTACCCCTATACTCTTATACGGCATGAGAAATGTTTGCTTGAACAAGCATCTCGAAAACGGTTACGACTATTTCTTGCAAAAGCAAAATATTGTAAAGCATTTATTACCGGGCTAAAACTGATGACAACCACTACCTCAGCAAAATAGTTCCGATAAAATAATGATTAATTTACTTGGCCCACTCATACCAAAACTTAATCACCAAAGTACTAAATAAGTATAAGTAAGTAGGCAAATGTCAGTAAACTGCGTATTAACAGTGAAAAATAAATACTTATACATAGTTTTATTTCATGTAAATTAGGATTTGAACAAATATTTTCAATGAGCTGTTATAATGAAATAAAACTGCCAAGACTACGTCACTAGTCCTGAAAATAGATGTTTACCGGACGAATGTGGTCCCTTGTGAGGCGAAGTCAAGTGCAGGATTACCAACGAGTCCGGTAAATAGGTAGCCTACATTTTGGACGAGTGGCGTACGATATTTTACGTCATAAGCTAACTTAACAGTAAAAAACCTCTCCAAATCCTTATTAAATAAAGATTATTTTATTAAATTATTAAATTTTATTCCCACCGATTAAACGACTAATAATCACTTCTCAAAGAGGTTATGTTTTTGTTTATAGCCACTCATTGCCAAATATATAATCAGCTGGCTGGTGTCCGGTAAAACTCATTCCAGTACAGTACAGTAGTAATCTTTCAAATAGCTTTTTTCTGGACTAGATCCTTGCATGGAATGTTCGTTAAAACAGTGTTAGTGTGGCGTAAAATAAATTAATGTGTCGTGGGTTGCCAGGTTACAATTTCCACAATAATAAATTGAAATTCCACTGAAACTTAAATAAGAAGAGCCAAGCTCAGTTGTAAATATAAAGTGAGTTTCCATTATATTTTTGCAATTGAAATAAAGTAATCCGAGCCACGGCTCGGTCCCCCGGTGCTACAAAAATAACGAAGTGAACCATTTCTTAATAAACCAATTCTATGAACACAATAGCAAATTACATACAATAGCAGCAGAGCCTACTGTGCAACTAAACTATCAATCCTGACACAACAATTAGCTATAACCATTGACTCTTAATACAACAATAGTCAATGCTATAACTCAATAATTTAAGTCTAGTTCAGATAATTTGTATACTGTTGCCTGAGGATCTTGGAGTAAGCAAAGTGTTTCTTGAACATGATGCTGATCTGGGAGAAGACTTTTTTGGGTCTGATACGCAGCATGACACAATCTCTGCCAGCCACTAGCAGACGACTCATGATGTTGTCTGACTCAAATATGAGACATTGGTCCTTGCATATGTTACTTGCCATGTCCTCAGTGGACCTAGGGTCAGGGTGGCAAGGACCTTTGTTGATAACATTGTTCCATCGAGGCAACAACTCTTTTGAGGAGTCGTTCACCTGAAACTCACAACATTTGGAACACATAATTAAGACACGTAGACATTATTCTCACTAACCTGATTCCAGTTTTACCATTCGGGTCGCTGGAATTTTATCCCCCTTGAATTTTACCCCATGGGCAAAGCTGACTTCTCTATGACGTAGTAACCTAAGCACACTAATGTTTATTCGCGGGCTGAATTATTTTACCCTATCGGATTTGGGAGTCCAATGAAAATAGACAGAGCATCATAAATTAGATCAGCAATAAACCCGGAATTTTACCCCCTGTCCATATAACCATATTTTTATAGAGTGTAGGGTTCCTTTAAATGTACGGCCTGGATTTTTACCCCCAGTGCAGGTATAGAAATAAGTAAAAATAGATAATTTTCTGATTTCAGTTTTGATTGAATACTAAACACTTTATTATTAAGTAGCCTATGTTAATTTATTCATAATCTCAACTAAGTAATCAGGTTTCGCTGTTTAATTTTAATATTTGAGTTTCGGGATTCGACTTTATGGGCCAACTGTTAGTTTAATCTATGTAAACAACTGAGTCCATTTTAATGATAGCTGGAGAACATTTCTTAAGCTATTTATTAACCACTATTTATTAACGAACCGTGGAAAACAATTCGATGTTCTGGCCGCACATTGTGTTCGTCTTCACAATGAAATTTCATTGTGGCGTAGCCCCTGAATACCCTTGATTATTACAATAGTAGGTTATAATATTAGGCCTACCTGTTTTTATCGCCAAGTGATCCTGTTCATTAAATAAGCGTACTTAATCAATGACGCTTAAAATCGAAGCAGACACAAGTCTTGGAAACCATGGTGGTCTAACAACAAGTAGCAATTGTAATGAAGAAATTGCTTAACTTTCGTTATTAATTCTATAGCTTTTTTTAATATATTTCAAAAGTTTACAAGTACAGTTACTCCTTAATCTAGGTTCAACCATCGTATCTTGGCTGCGTTGGTATTGAACAAGTTCTTTTGGTCAGTTGTAAAACACACACTTTTACACAAAAACATACATACTTGACAAGGACAAATATAAGATCAAATCAACTACAGTTAATGCTCAAGAGGAACTAAACCTAGACATAGAGATGACAGTACTGATGGTTCTCATGCTGAGGTAGACAGACTCCATGTCAGGAATGTCCTCTAGGCTGGTAAAGTAAGGATGAGAGTTGCATACAGTGTGAGGTGACTGAGAGGAACAATACCTGGAACATGGAGATGACAGCACTGTTGGTCCTCATACTGAGGTAGACAGACTCCATGTCAGGAATGTCCTCTAGGCTGGTGAAGTAAGAATGAGAGTTGCCTACAGTGTGAGGTGACTGAGAGGAACAATACCTGGAACATGGAGATGACAGCACTGTTGGTCCTCATACTGAGGTAGACAGACTCCATGTCAGGAATGTCCTCTAGGCTGGTGAAGTAAGAATGAGAGTTGCCTACAGTGTGAGGTGACTGAGAGGAACAATACCTGGAACATGGAGATGACAGCACTGTTGGTCCTCATACTGAGGTAGACAGACTCCATGTCAGGAATGTCCTCTAGGCTGGTGAAGTAAGAATGAGAGTTGCCTACAGTGTGAGGTGACTGAGAGGAACAATACCTGGAACATGGAGATGACAGTACTGATGGTTCTCATGCTGAGGTAGACAGACTCCATGTCAGGAATGTCCTCTAGGCTGGTGAAGTAAGAATGAGAGTTGCCTACAGTGTGAGGTGACTGAGAGGAACAATACCTGGAACATGGAGATGACAGTACTGATGGTTCTCATGCTGAGGTAGACAGACTCCATGTCAGGAATGTCCTCTAGGCTGGTGAAGTAAGAATGAGAGTTGCCTACAGTGTGAGGTGACTGAGAGGAACAATACCTGGAACATGGAGATGACAGCACTGTTGGTCCTCATACTGAGGTAGACAGACTCCATGTCAGGAATGTCCTCTAGGCTGGTGAAGTAAGAATGAGAGTTGCCTACAGTGTGAGGTGACTGAGAGGAACAATACCTGGAACATGGAGATGACAGCACTGTTGGTTCTCATGCTGAGGTAGACAGACTCCATGTCAGGAATGTCCTCTAGGCTGGTGAAGTAAGAATGAGAGTTGCCTACAGTGTGAGGTGACTGAGAGGAACAATACCTGGAACATGGAGATGACAGCACTGTTGGTTCTCATGCTGAGGTAGACAGACTCCATGTCAGGAATGTCCTCTAGGCTGGTGAAGTAAGAATGAGAGTTGCCTACAGTGTGAGGTGACTGAGAGGAACAATACCTGGAACATGGAGATGACAGCACTGTTGGTTCTCATGCTGAGGTAGACAGACTCCATGTCAGGAATGTCCTCTAGGCTGGTGAAGTAAGAGTGAGTGTTGCCTACTGTCAGGCGACTGACTAGCACAGATGTGTAAGAAGTCATCATCAAGGAGTTGAAAATAAGAAGAACAACCAGCAGTACTCGCAGTGAACACACCTTCGTCCTTATCTGTACGTCTGGAATGTTAGGGTAACGGTTTTGACCTTATTTTGTAAATTTCGTTGCCAAATACAATAGCCGTTGCACATTAGTAGAGTACTTTTGCTGAAGTATTCATGGACTTTAGAAAATAACCTCACAGACTAGAAATACTATGATGATAAACAGTTTAAGCTAATATTTTTTACAAACTAAGTTTAGTAAAGTAAAGCTACCAAAGAGTACACTTTCTTGCTTGTCTCTCCTTTAGCAAATTTATCAGTTGGCATTTGTCCATGAGAAAGTAGGAAAATGTATCTTAACCATTCTAGTATCAGCTTAAAATACAGTAAGTCTAACATGTGTCTTGATTTCAGTAAAAGTAGTTAAAGACATAACTAAGTTAACTACTAAGTCTAAATCTTGTTGACTGTGGCGTCTCGTGCCACTTCTTCATTAGTCCCTTCTCTGTGAAAGAGCACCTACTAATTGGATGCTGTGGGTCCAAGCAACTGATACAACAATTAAGGAAGTATCAAACCTTGTTGAGTAGCAGCTCCAAGAATGACCAAGAAACAATTCCCAAGTGACAATAATTTGACTTCGGAATTGGCTCTCTTTGGAATTAAATGATCATCCCTCGTTTTTAAGTCCAGTCCAACCCACTTTCTGAAATGTAATTGTTAGGTATTAACTACACTCCTCAGACCAAAATATTTTTCGATTGAAATTATGAGATTAACACTTAATGTCATGCAATAGTGTGTGTGTTTCTGATTCTTTAGCGATATTCCCAAAATATATTGGTCTGGTTATATGATTTACTCTAACACTCAACAGCGAACGACTCCTCCTCTTATTTTCAAGGTTTTTAAATTCTTACCACACTTGCTTAAGCTTTAGGTATCGCACTACAAAATCTACTGACTGCAGAATAATTATGTAGAACCCACTCTCACTGTCCACTTCAGTATACAGTATACAGTTTTACTTTTCATCTTGACATTTGATTCAAACCTCAAACACAGTAACAAACATTACACAGGTTCAAACATTAGATTCGCTTATTGGGTCTGATGATGATTGGAGTGACCAATCGAAATCGATCACGACTTACCATCTTTCATATGTCTTGTGAGTCAACAGTATAATTGTAAATACCTATATTATTACTAGTGTTATTAGACGTATATCTTCTTTTTTTCGTATTTTTCAGATTTGGTTCAAAAAAGATTTCTACCAGGAAAAAACATTCAAGTCAAACCAATGTGTCATGAACTGTTCAAAGTTAAACATAACAGAAACCAGAAAAGTTAATTGCAGCCCTTTGTTCCTGGAATTAAAAAAGTTAGGGAAAGTTTCAATATGAGTTAGTTAATTTTTAACTAGATGAAATACTTTTGCCAACAGAGTTATTACATTTAATTTGAAACTGCCATTTCTTCTGCAGGCTGTTTCACAAAGTCTTCTTTTAACATTTAAAATAGTTAATACCCCCGCTGCAGCAAACCTGCCGACTAAGCGAATTTCCATTTGTCTGAATTGATTTTCAGTTAAATATATTTTAATAACATTAGGTTTAACGAGTACTTAGGTTTGCTGCTACAAGGAAACTAATAAAGTGTGTTTTTGAGTAAAATATTGATAGCTTAGTACAAAATAAATAAATTTGCCAAGTTTGATCAAAATATATCCATAAACAAGCAAACTACAACATTTGACAATATTCTCCATAAGAATAACCTGGGAATTTTAAATTTACAATTTTTTTTAATTTTCTCCGTTACTAATAATCGAACAAAAATACTTTTATATACTAAATTATTTGTTTTTTTAAGCTCTTTAAAAAGGTCTAAAGAGAAATCAGGAAATTTTGTGTTTTGAGGGTCAAAAGTGAGAAAAACCAATTTTTACCCCATAAAACCCCCCGTAAAGCCCCGTTCCCATGGTCCGATCGTGCTGGTTCGCGAACTCATTCAAGTTTATCCCGCTTTACACCTTTAAACCAAGTTTCATCAAAATCGGACAAAAATTACTCAAGTTATCGCGTTCACGGACGTATATATATATATATATATATATATATATATATATATGTCTATATATATATATATATGTCTATATATATATATATACATATATAAAAATTTTAACGAATGGTGTTTTTGGCCTCTGGGGACATCAAAATGAAAAAGTAAATCGGTCCCGGGTCTAGGTCTTACCGTGCCACCTACGGTAATAGCTACTTCCCTATAGGGAAATTCGCTAATACTGTGTAAACGATAGCCATACCGTAGGTTGGTCATGGTGTACAGCAGTAAGGTACAGAGAGTCAATACTTCTATATACGAGATCCAGAGAGAGCGACTCCAGGTCCACAGGTAGGAGGAGGAACTTCCAAGGTCATCCGGAGCTTTGAAGTAGATACTATATCTGCAAACCATCACAACTAGTATAACATAATTTCATGATGACAAAATGAGGAAATAAAACATCAAAGTAACTGTAACACATGCTATAAGATGCTCATTCAATAATAGAATAGAATGCTATCTTGGAGAATAAAGCTCTGGTTTTTATCAACGGGTTGTATGTTAATTATACTTCACCTAACCGAACCTAAAAACATAACACTAAAATCAATTAAACAAACAATTACCCAATGTTTACATCAGCTGGAATATATAAAACAAGCAGTCAAAACAGCTGGTACCATATGGACCGGTACTTCTATTAGAAAATGACTGGATCTTTGACGGCCTGTGGGGCAGAGCAGGGGTAATTTTTGACACTTCTAATATTTTCTAATATTTTCCAATATTTTTACTTAATATATATTCTAATATTGTCCTTGAATGAATCCTAAAAAGCTATATGCTACCATTTTTCTAGCTCGAGATATTTCGTGGGAACTGATTCGCTTATGGAATGAAATATAGGCCTATAGATAGGAAACTGTGGGATTATAAATCTTGTTTGTAGTTTTAAATTGTTCTCCAAGAGAGTCCATGGAAGCTAAACAGCCATCTTGGGATGCCCACCATCAGGGCAATGTTAATTTCGTTAATTTCAAACAGCCACTAAAGAGTTATTTACCATCTCAAAATATTGTTTCCAACACCAGAGTGATTGTAGTTTAAATGTGTGTAAACTGTGGGACTAGAAACTTTCTTTGTAGTTTTGTTTATATTATTTTACGAGTTAGAACCTCTAGGCTCCGAGGACTCTTAAAGGTTGTCTGCTTTAATGAATCCAAACATTTTAGTACTAATAACCAAAACTAATAAGCTAAACTTTTGTTACAAGATTACAAAACTAAAGTCAGATTCAGTTTCTTACACGGATGTTGCTACAGGGCCACCAATATCAAAGTCTTGGAGATCTTGAGCCTCGAAGATAACGGGGGAAAGCATAACATCGGCCAAACCAGCTGCAAGAATTTGTTTTCCCCTCCAGAATGTTGTGTTGCGATACTCACTTCTGTCTCAGCCATTGCATAGATTAATTAATACTCCACCGCAGAAAACCTACGGACTAAAATTTTCTGGTTTATTTCCATTTAAATAACATTAATTTTAATAAGTACTTAGGTTTGCTACTACATGAAAGGTAATAAGTTGATTTTATTGAAACGTTGATAGCTTGAAATAAAATATAAAAAAATTCCAAAAAAATAGAGGTAATAGCTACTTCCCTATAGGGAAACTCCCTAAAACATTGTTCATATACAACCTGAATTGCAGCTGGTTTTCAATAACTTTCCACATCTCCCCAATATAACCAGTAAGATGAACAGTGTCTTCTTCTTGAGTGAAGAGAGTGTATGGCATCATCTGTAATGGTGTCGTCATAGGTAGCTTAAAATTAAAATGGTATAAATCTAATAAAAAATGTCTTGAAAAATTCGTGGTTATAGCATAACCTTTTATAAAAATAAAAGGTGCACTCATGTAACATCCAGGATTAATGCATGATTAAAACTTTTCCCAACAAAGAATACTAAATCTTAAAAATCATATAAAATTGTTGTCGGTCATGCAAAAAGTCGTGTGTAAAAAACTATACTTTTTAGGGAGCAAAAAACAACTAAAGTCGCCCAAAGATTAGGCTTTGTTTTGACGTTGTAAAAATGCAAAACGGGTGTTTGGTGTCAATGCACAAGCACATATAGTAATCAGATCCTTCCTGTTACTATATATATAAAGACGAAGGCCCGTCACACCGGAGCTTCCTTGGGTTTCCTGGCAGCTTGTGTCCATCGATGTATAATGGGAGTTATTATACATCGATGCTTGTGTCAGGAGCCTACCCCGAGGATGCAGATATCATTCAAACTGTGACCTGATGAAGTCCAATATACGAGCAGAACCACTCGGCAGTTACTGGTATTTTAACCTTTTTAAATACTGTAATTTCACTTATATTCCAATTCCTGGATTAATTGGGAAAGAATCTCCCAAATTCCATCATGAGTTTAGTCGATTTTGATGGAGCACTTAATTGGAATTAAAAAATAGAGTATATGACCATTAAATTTAGCATAGAAGGGAATTCATTTGTAGTATTTTACAATTCTTCCAGACAAGGATAGCTTTGTATCTGACACATCCCTTCATGAAAGCCCTGTGATAAAAGTATTGCTGATAGGATATCAAGCTAAATACTCCTTTGAACTACAGAGAGAATTTAAATCTTACCTCATGAACTATTACTTTCAGAGAGACGTTTTTCAAAACAGATTCATCAATGTCTCCTTTGTCTCTAAATGCAATGTATGACTTGTTCATATCTACAATTGCTTTTTCCATCCAAGTCTTCAATTTCTAGCTGAAATACAGAACACAAATAATGTTTTGTCAGAAAGAATATTTACTGATCAAAGTTCTTCACGTAATAAGTTCTTATGTAACACTATCGTATATAGATTTATACACATAGTTATATAATGTTAAAACCAGTACCTACTTCAGTTAGTGGGATTAACTGTTTTTATTTTATCAAATTTTCCTATAGTAGATTTTTGTAAAGTTAATCTACCGACGAATACAATGTGCTATATTCTCAGCAATACCTATACAATGTAATCAAGTAAACGACGATTGTTCGGAACGTTAAATTAAATGTATCAAGACACGATTCTAATACAAACTGTTAGAACAGACTGACAGACTAACACATACTATGTGCTAATCCAGTAATAATTTGTTCCAAATGTCAAGAAGATATTATCTTGGAATGAGTTGCTTGTCAATTAAATTTCCTTGATTTCCATAATTGACAGCATGTTTTGGTTGTTAACAAACATAGTTGATTGTTATGCCACAATTTGACATATTTATCTCAATCTACAGTTCAGCACAGCAATATTATTACATAAATACCCACGCCGTAGCAAACCTGCAGTCTAAGCGAATTTCCATTTGCCTGATTGGATTTACACTAAAATGTCTCCTTAAAAATATCACATTTATTCCCTACTTTAATAGAATTAGTTTAACGAGTACTTAGGTTTGCTGCAAAAGGGAGGGTAAAAAAGTGTTTTTGTTGTAAAACACGTAAACAGTTTAGTAAGAGCCATAAGTAAAATATATTTTTGTTTCTCAAAATTGTAATTTTTGGTGCACAAAGTTGGATACATAACATTTATTTCACGTTTCGGGGAAGGGTAAATATGACCTCTCCGACCTCCCACCCTGGCACTAAAAATTACATTTGCTATCAAGTCAGCTGATATAAACAACTTTGTCAAATCTGGGAGGAATCTTATGACTAAACAATCATTCTCAAATCAAATAAACAACTATGTATAACATCAGTGGCATTAATAAAGAGTAACATTACAAAATGTTTCCTTAATAGTATACTTCGTATCTAGGACCAAAAATGAGGTCTTGCTGGCTCGAGATCATTTTTAAACGATCGAGAGCTGCAAACTCCTTTCGGCCCGTGGTACGAAAACTATTTGTAACCACACTATACACAATTGAGAAAATATTTATAACAGAGGAAGTTTGTATATTTGAACGTTAAGGACTCCAAAACCGCTCTGCAGATTGTAATGAAACTTTCAGGCAATGTGGACAATAGTAGTTTCATGTGATTATTGTTTTGTTAGTAAATTATTGTTTTATAGAACCGCAATTCTTCGAGATCTTAGTGAACTACGGCACGACACCCAGACGAAATGAACTGATGGTTTAAATACATTCCGAATCGCCGAGGAAAACTTAAAATGATGAAGTAGTTTTACATCTAAGTGGTGGAATCGCAGTGGCAGTGGAGTGTATACTAAATTTCACGGCAAGGCGGCAAAAGGTAAGAGGCTTAACATTTATTGTGCGAAACTTGGTTCAACCCTTGGGCTCATAAAACTGTCCTACCCTCGTCAAAAACCTGTCAGCTCAACTTGTGTGCCAGCTGCCATATCTGACCTTAATTTGTTTGTCGCAGAGGTCATAAAGTTTACCAGACCGTGAGGACGATGCATGCGAATGGCTTTCTCTGGCAATCAGACTTTAACGTGGAATTCCCGGTTTGAGCTAGAGCCCTATTGGTATTACACATCTACCATAGCCACAATGTTCAACCACTTCACCTAAACAATAAAGACAAATAGATTATAAAAAATTCGCAAAAAATCACAAATTATTCATGACATTAAAAACATAAACCTAACTGTAAACAATCCTACTTTGACAGTTCTCATTGCGTATCACAGTTTTTTGTTGCGGCTTGGTTCAAATTAGCTGTTTACATAAATGCAAAAAAAAAATTATAGTGCTGCACCCTGTTGGTAAATCTTATAACTTTTTAATGCTTTTGCATATCATAGAACCAACTTTTTAGTTGAAACAGCTTGAGTAAATTCTTTTATTCCCTTTAAATATGAATACTCATAAGGTTAACATGGGGAACTACAGAGCCACTGGGGCGGAGACCGAAAGGATTTTTGAGATAAGAATATGCCTATATGTTAATCGGGAATGTGAGCTATCATCATGCCAAATTTCAGCCCAATCCGTCCAGTAGTTTATGCGTGACGAACTTCAAACAAACAAACAAACAAACACACAAACTTTCACGTTCATAACATTAGTAAGATTAGAATATGCATTTATTGTATATTCCGTACCTATAAATACCACCTCTGCAGCAAACCTGCAGACTAAACAAATTTCCATTTTCCTGATTTGATTTTCAATTAAATCTATTTAAATAACATTAGGTTTAGCGAGAACCTATGTTGGTTGCTTTAGGAAGACTAATAAAGTGTGTTTTATCAAAATATTAACAGCTTAGAATAAAGTAAAAAAAAAACAAGTTTGACCAAAATATATCCATAAACAAGCAAACTACTACAAAGAATTACAATATTTTCCATGAGAATAACATGGGAGTTTTTAATTTACATATTTTAATTTTCTCCGTAAGCAATAACAAAACAGTAAACATAACAGTACAGTAGTCGCAGCTAGTCTGGGCGCGCGGCCGCGCCTGGGCGGGGGGTGTAGAGGGGAGTGTTTATTGCTCATTTCCAAAAACATCTGGCCCACACGGCTCTCTGAGGTTGTGCCTCAGCGCTGTCTTCATAGCTTTGGCGTGGGGGACGGTTAGTACACAAGGGTTCGCGCGCCCAGACTAACTGCGGCTACTTGTATTTAGTACATTTTACAAAACAGTAAAATGTAATAAATTATTCGTTTTTAACTTTAAACTGGTCTTGAGATAAATTGGGAAATTTTGTATTTTAAGGGTCAAAAATGAGAAAAAGCCGAATTTTACCCCATAAAATCCATCGTTAAAGCCCCGTTCCCATGGTCCGATAATGCTGGTTTGCAAACTCATTCAAGTTTATCCCGCCTTACATCTTCAAACCATATTTCATCAACATGGGACAATGATAATCAAGTTATCGCGTTTACGGACATAATTTAATACGTAAAATAACGAAAACCACAGCACCCTGAAATTTATGTTTTATTTAGGTTATACCATAGAAAAAACATACCGTCATGTGAGTAAACAGTATTAAGTGAAAATACATTACTGTATTACAAGTGTTATTTGACGTATTTTGGTTCTATGAGCCAAATTGAATTCAGTGTAGTACTCAGGGGCGGCGGAAGCAAATTATTGTTAGGGGGTCAGAAATCTATGGTGGAGGTCCACATCCGGGGGGTCTGGGGGGTATGGAATTACCACGGAACATTAGTTTGGAAACACGGCCTCCAAACTACATATAATACTTGGGGTTTCGTCGCAATCAAATGCATAATACAGACTACCACTACAAATCCAATTTTAATTATTATAAAGTTGTAGGTTATTATAATATGATTATGTAAGAGATTCTTATTCAGTTATGCCAGTTATTCAGTTCTTATTAACAGTTGTGCCGATATCAGCAGCACTG